GCGTAAGGGCGGACAAATGGAGTTCTAAAGCGCAAGGTCTATCATATGACCAACACTCGAGGACTCGTCTTCGTCAGTAGCAAACTTTAACGAATGGACACTAACACACTTCTTTTCACACGACACAGGTGCCATTTATCGCCTCATCCTCCCTCTGATCATTTATTTCTCCCGGTTTTCAAGAGCCCTTTGGAGAGAGCCCTTTTTCGCCTTGATTATTTCCAGCTAACGATGCTCTAATGGTCAACACAACCTCGCTTGACGACGGCGTAGATGTGCTTACCTCGAGCCTTGACTTGACACCATCAACCTCTCGACGGTGCGCGCGCGCTGTCGCCCACACATGCTTCTCATGAGACAGACGCGAAGGAAGGCCCGTCCATGATGCGGTCAACGAATTTTGGATATGCTTTTCCTTGAGTTCAAGAGCGGCGAGTTCGAGTCTAGCAGACCGTGTTAGTGTCATGAGTTGGATGTATGGGCAAAGGTAGTACCGGTTCAGGTCTGCCTCAAAATACTCTCCCTCGCGCAGGATACGCTTGTGTTTTCCATATATGTCAGTCACCTCCTTGATAGCGTCCTCCAGGGAGTTAATTGCCGAGCTGGGGAGGACCGAGGGGGAAAATGTTCGGGAGTGTATACCAGAGAACGACAATAAGCGCCAATGTGTTGACAGCTGTCCCTGGGTTCGTCGATGTTGCGATTGTAGTCGCAATTTCCCTCAACTTGGCCGAATTCGAGGAATTCTGTTCGTTCTGCGCCATTGAGTGGTAAACAAGGTGTGGCGGCTATACTGCTGTATCGTTCTGAAGGTCAGCAAAGTTTCGTCATCTTCTTGCGCTAAGAGTGTTGAATCTTGTTTTCAAGGACCGGTGATGCCCACTCTTGCCAGGAGCATACCGACATGTATACATCTTAACGTCTTAATCGCTTACGTCTTTGGGGGTCACAAAGAGTTCTGTTGACACGATTTCATTGGGAGTACACCCTCCCGTTGACTCGGCTTGCTTCTTGTTCGACCTTTGTGCCAAAGGGAAGGGGGGGGGCTTGTTCTGCCTCTCACTACTGCGTCAAAATGGTGGAGGAAAGCAGCCGAAGGGAAGCTTCTATGCCATCAAAGTGTGGTACATCTTTGTAAGTATCCTACTCGTGCTCATCATGTGGGCGTCCCTTTGAGCGCTAACGTCTCTGTTCTGCAGGTTGCATCAAAGTGTATCGGCGCTGGGGTATTCCCTGTCGGGATTCACTTGTTCCCTTATATAGAGTGTCGGTAACCCAATCCAGTAGTACTCTCTTTGGCCGGCTGTGCATCCAGCCTACGACAACATCACTGGCGAGCTGTTTTTCGGCCTGTGCTATAGCCTTGAGCTCTGGATTGAAAACTTTTCAGCGTGCACGAACGACTGTATTCCGTGTTCTTGATGCATTGATATATGTACTTGGGCATAGCGGAGCGAGAAGTTCGTGTCTCGGTATCTTGGGTCTCTATTGCGGCTTTGGACCTGTAGCGGGATGGTCGCGATCGTAGAACCTCAATGAGAGACGAGGTTTGATTCTGTACCGCAGGTGGCTTATCAAAGTACTAAAAATTTCACAAATTTTTGGAGGTATTGATATTCAGGGTTACAAGGGAAGAGAGCTCGCCGTAAATTACACAGTAATACATCTCTCATAGGCAGCAATATTGCTTGTGGACCTGAGCTACCGACTCGGGGAACCGGCCACGGCCACGGCAAATGTCGATGCTTCTCTCCTTCCACCATACGCGACTCATCGACGTGATTCCTTAGGATGACACGCAAGTTATCTGCTCGCCTACAATGCTAGAATACCGCTGCCTCAAAATTGTATCGGGTGCGTCTTTTACTCGGTTGCTTGACGAATAACCATAATTCTATGCCTTAGACGAGTACCCGGCATTACGACCGCTTTCTATTTGGGCCTTCATCTCGGTTGTTGGAATGCTTGTATGAACAAATTCTGCGACATATATGGTTTTCTCGTATCGTCGACAGCGGAGCGACCCTCAATACGAGAGTCAGACGGGAGATTTGAAACCTGACGTCAGAAGGATCTTCTCTGGCGGATGAAGCTAGGGCTCGCGTTGTTTACGCTGTCGCGACGAAGGAGCCAATACGTCAATGTTGGACATTCAAATGAATTACGGCGCGTCCTTTATGATTTTCATAGCATATATGCGCACTGATATTAGTCTTACGCAGCTGTTTAGGCTTCTTTTTTATTTATTTATTTTTACCGTGGACAGAAACGCCTATCGTCGAAAGACTGTCATGTTTTGGGTGCGATATTAAGATAGTGGCCCAAAGGATACTGAGCTGGGATCCTGGTGCGTCATGTTCCCTGGTATGCATTCACTGACTCATCCAATCTTGCAGAGGAGCATGGAACGAGGAGCTCGAGTCCTTTCTCTGGTGGTCTAAGCATATACCCCCACTCTCTAACGCTTGGAATCGAGGCGAAAGAGGACAGGTCTATATTCCAAACTTTGTACACTTTGCTCTTCTGCTCTGCTTGATTTCGGGCTAAACGACGCTAGGCAGTTCAATCTTGGAGCCATCGACTAGAACTATGTGCTAGTTCATATCGATGATCCTTCCAACAGTCGTGATCTTCCCCTTCTTCAATGTAGACCAATTCTTGCAAGGGAACTGCGCTCTTCTGCTTCGGTTACTGGTACACTGGGAAGCTCGTCTATTGCTCGCACCGTTATCTTGAGCAAGTCAAGGACTGGAGACTGCTCATACAACAAGGCCATCAACCCAGTTCTTCGGGAACCACAATACGAAGTGACCGCTGTCTTCACAGTGATCACGAGCGGCCTCTACCGGTGCCCACCGTGCCAACAAACATTTGGTGCTGGGAAGTCATGCCTTTGTTGGGTCCCAGACGGCCGGTACGCGAAGAGCTATCCAACTTAATCAGTACAGCTATCGACATCAATGTGAATACCGACAGAGGAAGGAAAAGACATCGTGTGCATGACGGTTCGTCACACCTAGGCGCTTGTCCCAACCTCACCAGTCTTTCGACTGTTTTGCCATCCCCTCAGAGTCGGCGTACTACACGACAAGACGCCGAACCCACAGAGACTTAGAGCCTAGAAACGTTACTGTCAAATGCAGGTTCTTGATGCATGCCGCTGCTTCCGCCGTTCCCCAATTTCCAATCCATCCTCAAGTGGTCCGCCATCACCTTATCATCATTTTCCTCCCGCAGGTCCCACTGCATATATGCTTCCACGGTGGAGAAAGGACATGTCTTTTCTCCCCAAATATGTGCGAGAGCTTTACTTAGCCGCACCAGCGTTTTGTCTATGCAGACTATCTGCTGTCGCGAAGCCCTTCATTCTTCGATGTCATACGTCCGAGACAAGCGGATACATTCGTTGGCATCGTAATAGCACGGTCCTGCCTTCCAGAGTGACCACTTCGTCCTCGTCAGCACTGACGAGGGAGGTCGACCTGACGACATCTCACAATGCAGAATAACGCAATGGTGAGACGATGCTAGCTCATGTCACACAGGTAAGTCGGTAGATACCTACCTGCTTATTCCTATCTTATTATGCCACAGGAGAAACGCTGGTATATTAGTATCAACCATCTTTTCGACGAACAAGTCAAGCAGGTCAGAACGAGGAATTAAAGGTTCTGGTGCTCCGATCAGATTGGATGCCCATTCGAAAAATGGTGCCCGAATGACCCGGCCCGATGTTACCGATGTTAATCAAGTACACTACCGTACTCGGTACTCTTGAGTGTACGACGCTTCTCAAGCCAAATCGATTACGCTTGTTCCATACAACACTCGCCTACGCACCGCCTCCCGCATACCCCTGCTCGCTCTCAATCAACAGGACACGACGCCAGATCACCCTCACTTATTCTCTCATCGACGTCGGGCCCAACGGAGCATAGTCATTCTATGTTCCTGTCATCCCAGACGACTCTACTGTGTCGCTGTCTTTGTTGTACACGCCTGCTTTGATGGGATCTACCTTCTCTGGGCGCGTGCTCATACCCATCGGCGCGATCGCACTTCAACTCGATACAGTAGTTAAAGTTTCTGCTCTCTTCTCGTCATTTATCCGCACGAGCCTAGTGGTAGCATTGGATATGAAGAACAAACTCAGCGGGAATGTTGATATGGAGGCAGAGGGATGAAAACTGAAGATGCGGACAAAGATGAAAGTGAGCATTGGAGGATGGACAAGTGCAACAACGTTGTCACGGGAAATGAATGTTTGAACCATCACGGACACAGTGATTTACGCGTTCTTGTGATTCCTGGCAGAATGCCCGGCGGAGAAGAGTTTCCGACCGTGTAGGACAGCATCTGCATTATCCTTTTTTCTTCGACATGTACCCCGCCTTTCTCCCTAAATGTGATCTCATCACCATTATCAAATCTGGTTCAAAACTACGGCCAGACTCGTGCCATCTGTTGTCAGAGGAACTCAGCGCCTGTCCGAAATTCTGGAACTTCCAGACGTGGATCATGCGCTGCACTTTTTCAGATCAAGACGTCTACGCCTACAGGAGATACTATCATATCTATCGAAGTACGAGTCAAGGGGAAATAACGCGTCACAGAAGCACTCAAGGTTCCACACATCGCAGATATGCCAGGCATCGCGTGCACCATCATTCATGCTTTTCTCCTTGACCAATGATATAGCAGGTACTTGTTATCGACGGATAGGTCAGATTTCGACCGACTTGATGTTATAAATGAAATTTAACGAATCCCCCCAGCTCAAGAAGTATTACCAAGTTCCCCGTTACTGTCATTTGTCTATACATTCCGACTCGGACTCGCCTTCTTCGACTTCTTCCACCCGTGGGTAGGGCTTTGATCGGCCCTTTCCTAAGGGTCAAGTGCATCGTTTCCTCCGAATGTAAACTCCCTGAAACAGCCGTCTCAATTTTTTAGTATCTGACCTGTTGCTGTGGGAGATTATGCCAACTCGTATGCGAACCAATCTCGTGCTCTTGGAAATCGGAGATGATCAACTATCTCGGAAAGTTCTTGTATACTCCCGGCCTAAGTGGTAATCCGTACCGCGTAATGATGATGATATGCATGCTTACATTTTCTATAAGGTTGTGGGTACCGGCTGCAGGCCAATATAAGGACCTTGTCTTCCACCTATTCTCTACGCTCCCGACTTCTGTCTATAAGAATGCCTACGGCCACGGTCAAATTGAGCACCGGAAAGACTACGTTCAACTACACAATATCGACACCCTCAACTTCTTCAGCCATCTCGATCGACAGAAATCTGCCAACATTGCTATTTATTCATGCGTTCTACCTAGGATCACGAATCTTTCAACGTTAGTCACATACTGTCTTACACCGCTGAGAAGCAGTTCAGTTTGACACTCACTTCAGGGCAATTCGAGGACCCACAGATAAGAAGTTCAATTGTGTAGCCGTGGATCTTAGATTACATGGGCTCACGACGAGCGATCCGCTTCCCAAAGGTTACAGCGCAAAGGACACTGCTGAAGACGTCGCGTTGTTCATGGTGATTGACTCGTTAGTTCAACGCGGCTTAACTGATTGCGAGGTTCACAGGACACCATCAAGTTACCTGCCTGCCACATCGTGGGCCTATCGATGGGCAGTACGATAGCGATCTCCCTCGCTGTCTACTACCCAAATCAAGTCGCCTCTCTTTTCCTTGTGTCGCCGCTAGGACTGGAGGAGGTGCGCTTATGATGTGTTTAGACGGTAGCTGAGATTGATACTGCTCGTAGCCGGCAGATGTCGCCGATGGCCGGATGGGAAATAGCAGAGTACTGGAGGGAAGCGTTCAAGACAGACGATCCCGACATGGCAGCCATCTCTGACTCGGTCTACGGCGCCCATCAATTAGGTTTCAACAATAATCTCGACGACTTAGTGAACGCGTGCGTATAGCGGTATCCTCCGTTCTATTATAACTAACTGTCGTTTCAGGCTAACCTAATATCTCAATTCCTTTGGTTTTGAAGAACTGTGTTCCAGGTTCCTTTGAGCAGTATGACAGAGCTGTGGTTGGTTTTATAAGCAACCGAAAGGAATACACCAATGATCAGTTTTCTCGGATAAGTGCCCCTGTCAAATTGGTCCATTGCTTAGGGAGCATCGCATACCCTCAGGAATACTCGGAAAAGTTTATGCAACAGCTGAAAGATGCTGCAGTAAATGTCAGCCTGGCCACTATACCAGAAGGCACCGCACTTCGGCGTTGTAACACACGGGGATATGTGAGCGAAATTGCTTCAGGCTACCAGAGCGGACGCTGATACTTTTCTAGTGTGAACCGGCTACTCTATGCATTCATTATAGACAGCTGGTGGATGTCTGTTCCTCCGGCACCCCAAGAAGTCAGCTCTCCGTGGGAAGCAGAGTTGGCGAAGGCAGGTTGGAAAAAGAGTGGGAACGACCCTGAGGACGATTGAGACCGGTTCGCTAATCCTATACCCTTCTTTTTGCTTTTAGGTACAGATTGTTAATAATGCACAGTAGAGTATACACGCGCGGTCCTTATGCGTTAGAATCATACTTGTGAAGCTAAGGCCGACTCGGAGTTGACGGTGATTTGGTTTTCATTCATTGGTTGATGTCGTAACTGCACCTTCTCTTCAGCCTTTTTGTTGGAGAAACTGACGCGCCACTCAGATGGCCTCGGTGAAACGCAACTGGATGGGTTTAGATGTCGGGTTTATGGTGAAATCCTACAAAATTGTCCAACGGTTAGAATCACGAAGACCATGGTGGTCTGTCAGTTTGCCTTATTCTTTCTCTCAAGTGAACCAACTGATCGGGAATGCAGTGGTCCACTCCTTTTTAGTTGAAAGGTTTGCAGCAGCGTCATAGTTGTCACCGCCGATCTCAAACACGACTATGGCATGTACAGAATGTGACAAGCAAAGTATCTGCCACTCGAGGAACTCCTTGGTTACGCCAAGATCAAATCGCGTAGAAAATCGCCGTAGGCGGTCTTATGTGACTGCCCAAAAAATACGCCAAAGTTCACCCGCTAAAACACAACGTCTGCTTCTATGTCCGTATTCCTAGATTGAGCTCAACAAAATTTCTAGGCTTTGGCTAGCTTGGAAAAGTCTTTCTGGTGGTATATTTTCCCGCTTCATCGCAGTTTTGATTCGACATCCCAAAGTAAAGCTACAGATCAGGCGTCGCCCGAGACCGCAAAATCCTCTTTCTTTTGGTACATTTTTACGACCGATCCTGTTTGATTCCCGTCTAAGAGCCACAAGCAGGACAACGATGGGCGCTCAAGATCAGCATTTCTTCCTTCCCAACGCGACAGGGCAGTCATCCCGTTCCTGCACACCGAATGCTTGTCGCAGGGTACGCTCCAAGCAAGAAGGAGCCAAACGTGTCTGAATGTCTATACTCTCGAAATAAACACGACGTTTTCAGTTACGATGGATGTGTTATTCGAACTCTTGGCTCCCGCTGGAGTAAAGGGAGGAGACAAGAGCAAGAACATCAGCAGGATATCCAAGAATCGATTTCAACTGTCGTGCCCTTGCATACATCCTTCTGCTCATGATCCCGGGGGATATTGCGTTAAACGACTGGATCCAATCCAATCCTAGCCTGGCAAGCCGCTTTATTAGATATTCGAGGAACTCGTATCTGTATATTCGAATCCTTAGCGCAGATCACGGTCACATGACTACCATGACACCGCGCGACGCCTGCACCTGCGGGAAATTGCTTGTTTACAATCGCTGCCATGTTTTCGTAGCATATCCATGCAAGGCATTCTACGTACGTATTTATGCCTTAACAATCACCCAGTGCGTAGTTCGTGAAACGTTTCTTCTGTTGCCTGGGAAACGGTTCTCTCGTTGACCACTTTTTCTCGACCCGTGCTTGCTGCTTCACATTCACGGTACGGCAGGGCTACCGCTATGGTTGTCCTCGGTTTGGGTATACGCAGAGGCGTTCCATTCATATCTACCACGGTTACAAACAGATTCAGTTCAATCGCTGTAACGTTACCAGTCGCTTGTAAATAGGGCTGCGCACCGTACCGTATACGGTATACGGCCGTAAAACCATAATCCCAGACGGTCACGGAACTGTCCGTATACCGTACCGTATGATCAGCTTGAAAGCCTTGTCGGCGTCGGTATGGGTACCTTACGGCCGTCTACAGCCGTTGACGACCGTGCACTGGAGGACAAAATGACTTTACTTATATAGAGTCACCGTAGAGAATTTATGGTATGGTCTGATGGCTTTTGGATGGCTCGAGAGATGAAGAAGATAATATAAGCATGAAGGCAACAGATTTCGGAGGGGAAGACAAGTCAGATGTGTCCGAGATCACGAAGGAACTGTAAATCGCACCTATATTGAACTAAGTGGACACACATATGTATCCGAAAGTTACACATGCTACTCTGAACGCAAACAAGACAGCTGCATGGTGCCATTTTGCATGAAATTTTGTTCTAAAGAAGGCTCTAGATAAGATGCAAGGTGAAGCCGTATTACGACGTTGTACGGCCGTATGTAAGAACTCTTGACGGCGACGGAACAACCGTACACCGTACCGTACACATGGTCATTAGTGTGCGTTCGGCTTCGGTCCGTCTTCCGTATAACGGTTACCGAAAACCGTATAATACGGTGACGGCGCGCAGCCCTACTTGTAAATACACGACAGAGAATCTTGGAAGGGCAGCTGTTACGCTGACCCTTGCGTAGTAGTTCTCCATCAGCTACTTTCTCATTCAGATTCTGGTGACGGTTGCAAAGCAGAATGCGGTGGCTAGCATGTCAGTTCTGGCATAGCCGTTCGCTTTCTTACACCCAGTTACGGTTTCGAATTTCTTAGCGAGTAATCATGGATCACGTCTTGCATTACGACCGTCAAATCCTTTTCGTCGAGTAAAATCAATTCGAGACAGACAACGGCGTTCAACAAAGAAAAGCAGAGTCACAATCAGCAAGGGGAGAAGAAAAGTATACTTCTTACGCAACAACTTCAAAAGGTTTGAAGCTGTCCAGGTACTTTCCCCATCTTCCGTTGTTCCAAGTGGCGATATCGTTCCACTCTTCGCTCTCTCGGCCAACCACGCTCCTAATCAACCAAAGAAACGCTCCAATCACCGTATCCGCAAAACAAGGTTCTTTGCCCATAACGAAGTCGCCCTCGCTTCCTTCCAACCACTTGTCCATCTTCCCCAGATTCCTTTTCGTCATGGCCCACATCTTCTCCCGCTCCTCACCCTTCGAGGCTTCCAACGTATATATCCCGGAAAGCTTCTCTCTCATGCATGCCGTCGTCCGTTCGTTCATCTTCGACACCATATTCACATAAAATAACGGTACACGGAGATGCTCAAGGGCCTCGGCAACTGCATCGGTGAAGGCGAGCTGGAGAGCCATAGTCCCGGCGGGGATGAGCACAGGACCAACGGATGGGTAGGTCTTGTCAAGGTAAGCGGCAATGTCAGGCGAGTTGGAGATGACAACGCCGGTGGAGCGGTCTTGGATAATGGGAACCGTGTATCTGGGGGACACTCCGTCTAGTTGCAGGCCGGTGGGGGCAGCACCGATTTTCTTGGCGAGAGCTTCGATATCAGGGACCTCAACATAGACCGTCTTGTAAGGCAGGTTTTTGAGGTTGAGACAATACCTGCAAATTCAAACGGTCGGTTATGAGATGTGCATGCGAGGGAATGCACATGTACCTCGTTCGCCAGGTTGTCATGGTTCCTGGAGAATCTGCTGCTTTGGAGGGGATATCGTAGAGAGTAATCATGATTTTAATGCTATGGCTGTAGGGGTCCTAATTCCACCTGCGTTATATAGAGAAACGCTGCAGCGATTCAAGCGGATATCACCCGGGGTCTATCAATAGCCATTGCCATTTCAGAGTAGGAAATATGAAGGTAAAGTGGAGGTATGGCTTCGTCGGATTGAATGAAAGAACTTGAGCTTCGATAAGCAGCTAAGCATGCTGAATTAGACTAAGCAACGAGTTGAATAGGCAAGTCACTTAGCAATGCTGAATGGAGCAAACATGCGAGCGAAAGCTTCGGGTATAGCATCTCAGAGCAAAATGGCGCACATTGAATGACTAGAACCGGGATCTGTGTCGAAGTATCGGTATTTGCCGCACCTCTTGTTTCTCTACTACCACCACAGGATGCAACGTAATTCGTCTGCTCATTACAAGACGTTCTTACCAACGTACCCCTTCCAGTGCTTTGCTCGCCTCCGACGCGAAAGCAGTGAGCACGAAGGTCTATGAAGGCCCTGACAGTATGTCGTTTTCTCCATGTTATGATCCTCACCTCATCACCTTTAGTTTTCGATAGCTTGGTCGAATTGCCATGAATCCTGTCCCCCCAAAACTCTGGTTGTCTCTCAACCGGTTCGTATATGCCAATTTCTTCCCGTATATGCATTCTCATGGCCATCAAAAAGGCGTCGCAGGACGGGACAGGTCGTAGTGCGGCCTACGTCGTAATCGCATAATTCTTCACCAGATAACGGAGGGCTGGAGCCGGTAGGTCTTCTCTTTTCGTGCATTTGCATTCTTTAATCATTAACTTCTGTCTAGCACGCGAACGAGTGAATGAGTATCTTTTTGTGTGTCATATCTTGCAAAGCAGAGAAGGTGCTGTTGCCGAACCTACGAATGAATTATTGTCCGTGTGTACCAATTTTCACTGCGTATCTGCGCGCTGATATATGGGCCCAGATAGACGATTCAGCGGTCTTTCTTGCTGAGAGAGCGTTCTTCGATAGATTCTCGCAGACACAAGAATGGAAATCGTAGTTCTGCTCCTCTCGAAGCCCCAGAACCCTATGCTACCATGAAGCGAAGAGGCTAGGGAGAGCCGCACGTTTTATATGCTAGCTCGTACCCTTGTGCTCTTAATGACTCAAGTGGCCCGGAAGGTTGTCCTCCGACGTAGTCGAAGCATATCATCTGTCTGATGGCACGAGAAACTCCGCGAAACCCCAATATTAAATGTCGGACAATTAAAATCATTTAATGTCGCTTTCCCATAATTTGGTAGCCACGTGCCATGAACTCGGCTGCAAAGGAATGACGCGATCTTCGACCGTTGTACGTCTTTATTGGTGCTACTCCGTTGAGTTTCGAACTAGCTGCCCTAGCTCCAGCCTTTCACTCTGGCATAATGCATATGGCTGTGGTGATGAGGCCAATACCCAATTCTATTGAAGCCCACTTGCCAATTTCTGTTCATTTATCTATTATCGGTCCCGAGGAAGCACATCTAGGACAAGGATCAGATATCAGTGCAATTTTACGTGGCATCCTCTCATCCGCGACGAGTCTCACCAGGGAATTTGTGCACCACGATGTTGCAAAAAAATATACTCAGACAAGGAGTGTTCACACCTGCGAAACGAGCGCCACGTTCTCTTCCCGCTCAACCCTCATTCGAACTCCATGCTCCCGCCTTCTGCGGCTCCAGCGAAGAAGTTCTATAGGAAGCGCAAGAGACAGCCTGTTCTATCTGAGAGGAAGTAACGAAAGATCTTCGAATGTTGGACTCGTGTTACCCCAGTCACGTCTTCGCATGCGCTCATTTGCTCAGTGGCCCTTTCAAACTACCAAACCCGTCACGATTCCATCGTTGTCAATCAGAGGTTGGCATCCCTTGTCGGACGCTGCCTCCAGGTTACCCCTCAGACCTACCACAGACAACTGTGGGTCTAACCTTCAGTTCTTACTGTTCTGCCAATACTAGGTTGTTTCCAAGTCTGCTCTATGGTGCGCGCAGACCAAATACCTGGATACGAAGAGCAAGGATACAACTCGAATCGCTGTAGCCGCCATAATCCCCCATCTATATCCGATCATTTTCCAGTCGAAACTGAACCTCGTCGGACGACGTCTTCGTTCCTTGTCGACACCCCAGAGAGGGCTTTTGTTTTACTTGCAGTTCTTTTATGGATTTGACGGGTACGTATGGCTTCACCGCAATCTGTAAAAACGAGTAACTGACTCGGACAACACCTAGCGCAAGGAATGGTTATGTCGACAATAGCGAAGCTACCCAGTACTTCGTAGCGTCTGTTCATCTATCCAGAATTTGGCCGACCTAATGGAGTCTAGTACAGCGTGTGCTCAGGCGGATTAAACAACTCAACCATGTTTTAGGGGACAGAGAATGGCACAGAATAAGTAGAAGATATACATGCTGTAGTCTTCAAAGTTGCATCTAATAAAATGTTTGTGAAATGAACCTGTGGTTGTTGAGATGCAAAGTGTTAGACTCTATGCACCGGAGGCGCAGTACATAAGTACAGAAAGACTAGACTGCAATTATAGGTAGCTTGCTTCCTTTGGTAAAGAAACTGCTACGGAGGACACGGGTAGGTCGATGCCGTTACGTTCCGTACAATTTCGCTCCGGTGGAGCGGTCCGATATCTCCGACCACGATTGAAGTTCACGGAGAACGAGTGGGTCGACCTCGCAGTTGGTCACCCAAACAAGCGTAAACTGTACAACCTGCTTTCGCTCCACACCATTGCGATTGAACATGTAACCGCTACTGAAGTCTACGACCATTCCAAGGATGCATGAGCTCCTCCCGTTGCATCCAGACCTGCTCTATGCCTGCGTTCTTATTTCCCCAACTTTTCCCAACAGTCCCCAGCCAAACCACAGCTCCCCACCCCAAGCCTTCCGGAACCTGCATCTTCATCGACCACGGTTCGCCATCATGTTGTGTGTCATGGATCGGACCTCCGCTAGACTTTGCATCCTTGCTACTCGCTACTTGCCACCACTTATTTATTGGCTCGCTGCCACTCCCGCCTTTGATCCTGAACGAGCCCACCACGACAAATACATCACATTGGAGGGTGATCCGGAGAGGATGCACTCGTCGTTTCGAGTCTCAAAAAATACCAGAGGAGATTGCACTCCGTTCTCGACCATGCAGTCCCCTCAGCGGTCATAATAATCCTAGTAAGTTTCTTTTCATCAAAGTCTAGACTTTATTAACGCAGAGCGTTTACAGTTTCCACTTTAAAGAATTCTGTCTGTTGGTGGTAATGCCAGCCGGAGTGCTAAAATGCTGCCTTCTACGAGAGCACGATTGGGAGGAAGGTGGTATTGTGAAACAATCTTTCTTATTTGTACGACGAAGGCCCCATTTTAAGGGACTGCTTTATGAAGCATAGTATACCCGGCACCAACGGGCAAACGTTAAGGACCGCGTATACGGGTAATGTCATTCGTGCTGCATCTGAATGTCGAGATTAACGAAAGTGATATTCCAGCGGCTCTGAAGGCTTACATTGTCTATCCCCAGCGACGCCTCTCTGGTGGCCAATAACAGCGGAATGAGAATATCATAGCATCATGCCTTGATCAAAGTCGGAACTTGCACACGTTGAGCAGTCTTCTCTCATGACTCCCACTTACATGACGAAGATTACAAGACACTGGACAAGGCGATTCCCTGGAGCCTCTGCTGATAGAAGGTCCTTTGCCCGATACTCAACAACACTACAGGACGATGCCGAGGGACAAATCGCAGGCGTATCCATCATGGATGCTGGAGGTCTTAGGCCTTCAGCGACATGGTTGCTTGCTCGTACTTTATCCTACGATCTTATCTCATCAAGTCTACTCCGATTGTCAAGACTTTTCTGGGTCACGTTCAAGAGTGCATTCGAGGCATAAGGGTGGACAAAACGGAATTCTAAAGTGCAAGGTTCATCGACCGATGCTCGAGGACTGGGCTTCGTCAGTAGCAAACTTCAACGAAGGGACCTCAGGCGCTCACATCTTTTCATACGACAGAGGCATTATTTGTCAGCCTGGTCGCCTGATCCTCCCTCTGATCATCCACCGCTCTCCAGTTCTCAAGAGCCGTTTGAAGAGAACCCTTCCTTGCTTTGATTATCGCCAACTAGGGACACCCTCTCAGTCAACACGACCTCGTTTGGCGACGGCGTGGATGTGCTTACCGCAAGCCTTGACTTGAAACCATCTACCTCTCGACGGTGCGCGCGTGCTGTCGTCCACGCATACTTCTCATGAGACAAACGCGAAGGAAGACCCGTCCAGGAGACGTTCAACGAGTCTTGGATGTACTTTTCCTTGAGCTCAAGGGCGGCAAGTTCGAGGCTAGCAGACCGTGTTAGTGTCATGGGTTGGGCGTATGGACAGAGGTAGTACCGGTTTAGATCGACCTCAAAACACTCTCCATCACGCAGGACACCCTTGTGTTCGCCATACATGTCCAGTCACCTCCTTGATAGCATCCTCTAGGGAGTTAATTCGCCGAGCTGGGTTGGAGCGAGGGGAAAATGTTTGAGAGTGTATACCCCAGAACGACGGCAAGCGCCACTGTGTTGGCAGCTGTCCCTGGATTCGTCGATGTTGCGATTGTAGTTGCGATTTCCCTCAAATTGGCCGAATTCGAGAGATTCTGTTCGTTCTGCGTCATGGAGTGGTAGACAAGGTGTAGTGGCTATACTGCTGTATCGTTCCCGAAGGCCGGCAAAGTTTCGCCATCTTCTTGCACTCAAAGTGCTGAATCTATCGTTTTCAAGAACCCGGACCTTTGATGATGCCCAATCTTGCTAGGAGCATACTGGCATTATATGACGTCCCAACGTCTCTCAATTTCTTATGGCTTTTGGGGCCATAGAGAGCTCTGTTGACACCAGCTCGTTGGGAGTACACCCCTTCCGTCGACTCGACTCGCCTCCTGTTCGACTTTTGTGCCAAAGGGGAGGGGGGAGGCTTACTCTGCGTCTCACTACTGCGTCAAAACTGGGTGAAAGCAGCTGAAGGGACGCTTCTTTGCCACCAAAGTGCGGAAAGTGCGGTACATCTTTGTAAGCATCCTACTCGTGCTTATCATGCGCGTGTCCCTTTGAATGCTAACGTCTCTGTTCTGCAGGCTGCATCAAACTGTATCGGCGCTGGAGTATTCCGGGCACTCAGTGTCGGGATTTCCTTATTCCCTTATATAGGGCGTCGGTAACCCAATCCGGTAGTACTTTTTTCGGTCAGTTGTGCATCTATCCACAACAACATCACTGCGAGCTATTTTTCGGGCTGTACCATAGCCTTGAGCTCTAGATTGAAAAGTTCTCAGCGTGCACGAATAGCTGTATTTCGCATTCTTGATGCATTGATATACGTACTTGGGCACAATAGAGCGAGAAGTTTGTGTCTCGGTAACTTGGATCTCCATTACAGCTTTGGACCTGTAGCGGGATCGTCGGGATTGTAGAACCTCAATGAGAGACGAGATTTGATTCTGTACCGCAAGTAGTGTTGTTTATGGCTTATCAAAATACTAAAAATTTCACAAATTTTTGGAGATATTGATATCTAGGGTTACAAGGGAAGGGAGCTCATTGTAAATTACACAGTAATACATCTCTTATAGTCAGCAATATTGCTTGGTGGACCGGAGCTACCGACTCGAAGAACCGGTCACGACCACGGCAAATGCCGATGCTTCTCTCCTTCCACCATACGCGACTCCTCGACGTGATTCCTTAGGATGACATGCAAGTTGTCTACCCGCTTCCAGTGCTAGGATACAGGTGCCTCAAAATCGTATTAGGCGCGTCTTTTATGCGGTTACATGATGAAAAACCATAATTCTAGACCTTAGAGGAGTACCCAATACTACGCGTACGACCGCTTTCTATTTGAGCCTCCATCTCGGTTGTTGGAAGACTTGTACGAGCAAATTTCGCGACATATGTGATTTTTCGTGGTCGACAAAATACGTTTTCTCGTGTCGTCGACAGAGAAAGTTTTCGGAAATACGGGACGTTTGAAACCTGGGCGTCTCTTTCTGCCGATTCACCTCTCAGCCATTATTTTCTTGACGTCAGAAGGATTTTCTCTGGCGGATTAAGCTAGGTCCTGCATCGTTTACGCCGTCGCGACGAGAGAGCCGACATATCAACGTTGGACATTCAAATGAATTACGGTGCGTCCTTGGCGATTTTCATAGCGTATATGCGCGCTGATCTTAGTCTCACGCAACTGTTTAGGCCTCTTCTTTTTTTTACCACAGGCAGAAGCGCCTATCGTCGAAAGACTGTCATGTCTGGGGTGCAGTATAAAGATAGTGGCCAAAAGGATACTGAGTTGGGTCCCGGTGCGTCATGTTCCCTGGTATACATTCACTGACTCATACAGTCTTGCAGAGGAGCATGGAACGAAGAGCTCGAGTCCTTTCTCTGGTGGTCTAAGCATATACCCCCCACTCTCCTAAGCTCGGAATCGACGCGAAAGAGGACATGTCTATATTCTAAACATCGTACGCTTTGCTCTTCTGCTCCGCTTGATTTCAGGCTAAACGACGCTAGGCAGTTCAATCTTGGAACTTATTGACTAGAACTTTGTGCCAGTTCATGTCGCTGATCTCTCCAACATCGTGGCCTTCCTCTTCTTCAATGTAAACCAGTCCTTGCAAGGGAACTGCACACTCCTGCTTCAGCTATTGGTATGCGGGAAACTCGTGGTCGCACCGTCAACTTTAGGTGAAGTCAAGGACTGGAAAGTGCTCATACGACAAAGCCAACTCAGTTTTTCGGGATACGGGATACCACAATACGAAGTAACCGTTGTCTTCATAGTGATCACGAACGGCCTCTACCGGTGCCCATCGTGCCAGCAACCATTTGGTGCTGGGAAGTTCATGCCTTTGGAAGGAAAAGACATCGTAATGCGTGACGATTCCTCACCAGTCTTTCCATTGTTTGCCTTCCCCTCAGAGTCGACGTACTGCACGGGAAGACGTCGAATCCACAGAGACTTAGAGCCTAGAAACATTACTGTCAAATACAGGTTCTTGATGCGTACTGCCACTTCCGCTGTTTCCCAATTTCCAATCCATCTTCAAGAGGTCCGCCATTACCTTATCGCCATTCTCCTCCCCACTGCATATATGCTTCCACGGTGGACAAAGGGCCCGTCTTTTCTCCTCTAGGGTTCTCCCACATATGTGCGAGAACTTTATCTAGCCGCACCAACGTTTTGTCTATGCAGACTTTCTACTATCGCGAAGTCCTTCACTCTTCGTCGTATGCCCGAGACAAGCGAATACATTCGTTGACATCGTAAAAATACGGTCCTGCCTTCCGGAGCGAACACTTCGTCCTCTTCAGCACTGACGAAGGAAGTCGACTTGCTCAACTTGACAACGACGTCACACAATGCAGAAAACGTGATGACGAAACGATGTTAGTCCATGTTGCAGAGGTAAGTCGGTAAATGTCCACCTGTTTATTCCCATCTTATTGTGCCACAGGAGGAACACCAATATATTAGTATCAGCCATCTTTTTGACGAACAAGTCAAGCAGATAAGAAGAGAAATTGAAAGTTCTGGTGCTCCGATCAGATTGGTGCCCGAATGACCCGGGCCGATGTTAATCAAGTACACTACCGTACTCGGTATTCTTACGACCCTTCTCTCGTCTGTAAGCCAAATCGATTACGCTTGTTCCAAACAACACTCGCCTATGTGCAGACTGCTGCATGCATACCTTTGCTCGCTCTCATTCAACAGGACACGGCGCCAGATTATCTTCATTTATTCTCTCATCGACGTCGGGCCCAACGGAGCATCGTCATTCTGTTCTTGTCATCCCAGACGACTCTACTGTGTCCCTGTATATTGTCGTAGCCGGCTGCTTTGACTAGATCTACCTTCTCTGGGCGCGTGCTCATACCCATCGGCGCGATCTCACTTCAGCTCGATGCAGTAGTTGGAGTTTCTGCTCTCTTCTCGTCATTTAAACGTGTGAGACTAGTGGTGGCATTGGATATGAAGAACAAACTCAGCGGGGATGTCGTTATGGAGGCAGAGGGATGAAGGCTGAAGATGCGGGTAAAGATGAAAGTGAGCATTGGAGGATGGACAAGTGCAACAACGTTGTCACGGGAGATGAATGCTTGAACCATCATGGACACGATGATTTACGCGTTCTTGTGATTCCTGGGAGAATGTCCAGCGGGGAGGAGTTTCCGGCCGTGTAGGACGGCATCTGCATCTTTTTTTTCCTTCGACATGTACCCCGCCTTTCTCCCTAAACGTGATCTCATCGCCATTATCAAGTCGGGTTCAAACCTGCGGCCACACTCGTGCCATCTCTTGCCAGAGGGAACTCAGCGCGTGTCCGAAATTCTGGAACTTCCAGACGTGGATCATACGCCGCACTTTTTCAGATCAAGACGTCTACGCCTACAGGAGATACTATCATATCTATCGAAGTACGAGTTAAGGGAGAATAACACGTCACAGAAGCACTCGAGGTTCCATACATCGCAGGTGCGCCAGGCATCGCGTGCACCATCGTTCGTACTTTTCTCCTTAACCAATGATATAGCAGGTACCTGTTATCGAAGGACAGGTCAGATTTCGACTGACTTAATGTTATGAACGAAATTTAACCAACCCTCCCAGTTCAAGAAGCATTGCCAAGTTCCCCATTACTGTCATTTACCTGGGGTATGGGGCTGTACATTCCGACTTGGACTCGCCTTCGACTTCTTCCACCCGTGGGTAGGGCTTTGATCGGCGCTTTCCTAAGGATACCTCCGGCCCAAGTGGTATCCGTACCGCGTAATGATGATGACATACGCGCGAGGATGTTTTGTAAGGCTGTGGGTATCGGCTGCAGTTCAATCTTTCAAAACGGAATCTTCCCAGCGCTTACTTTAAGTCCAGGCCCTCAGTTGATACAAAATCTATACTAGGTGCTCAACGTTGCATTCGGCACTGTCTGCCGTCATCCACGCCTTGGCCTCGTGTATCTCTCGGAGATCCGTCCGGAGTCTCTGCATCCTACTTGAGTCATGGAGTCACATTGAGGCTATCCCATCGAGAAGTCGCCGCTGTACAGCGAAGCACCTCTCGGCTGTGACAAAACTTTATTTCCGCGTGGCAATTCCTATAAAGAGATCGTATCGCTCAAATCTTCTCTCCCCGGTTTCTCTTTCCCGCCATCTTTCCCCTATCGTAGCACATATTATCGCAAACATGGCGGCTAAAGAGAAACCTAGTCAATCGTCTGTCGATATCCCCCTCACACCTAATAGTACGACATCTAGCAATGCCCAGTCCTCAACCACCCCCATTGCCTCAAGCTTCTCCGTTCTTGCCTCAGCCACCGCCCTCCCAGGTAATGCTAATCCGTTGTCTGCGATAGGAAAGCAGAAACCGGCCATCCCGCCGGACATCGAGGCTGTCGCTCTCCTCATGCGTAAGCTGAAGGAGATGAACCAGCAGATGAAGGGTATGTACGAGTGCATAGAGACTCATACAGAAAGGGCAGCTACCCTTGGACCCGTCATCAAAGCCGGTGAGGAAGTGAGTTACTGATAAGCGGATTTTGGGTGTCAATCTCTGACTCCTTCGATAGATTGCAACGTTGAAGTCCAATTTGGAGAAACAGATAATCGAGCACAACGCGGAGTTGTCCTCCGTGCGAAAGGAGCTTGATATCCGAGTGAAGGAACGCCTCGAAAGTCGCCTCAGACAGTACGTGACTGATGAGATCCGGGCATCTATGGCGCGAAAGATTGAGGAGAAAGTTCGGCAAGAGGTATGTTTGCCCATGCCGCTGCTCTGTGTCTATTCTCATATCGTCAATTTGTCTAGCTGGAGAAACAGATTCCTCAAGGTCTTCGCAAGCAAACGAATGAGCACACACGTCAAATGGTGGAGATCGAGGTGCATATTCACAACTCGTGAGTCTAATTTGAAGGAAGGAGAGCTCATTTTTATAATTATCGGTTCATCAGGGACGCGCGACGAATCAATGCGACGGTGACCCGCAAGGAAAAGCTACGACCGCTGATACCTCCGAACGGGAGCATGTCGCCATCGCCTTTATTCCCTAACAGTATCGATGCTTGTCTCGCAATGTCGGTGAAGGATGTTAAGCAACTTCTAAAAGATTATGAATTGGACAAGGCTTCTCCGGTTTCGCCGGGTGGTACGTCGTCCAAGGTGGAGAACGTTAACAAGTTTTTGGATCATATAGGGGTGCGTACGTATTGACAATATATTCTATGGCATTCTTGTTCGTTGGCTCATCATGTCACTTCTTGTTCCAGGCGCCGTACCACGTCCTTCCCATCCTGACACCCGTTAAAGCATCCTCCAAGGTAGGATCTATACTCGTCACTAGGAAGCCGGTTGTATGATAGGACCGACGGTTTTTTGTTACTATGAAATTGTACTATTATACTATCACGCGAACTGTATACTTAAAAACGAATCGACAATTGTTCCCTCTTGTATCGAGGCATGTGCACGTGATTGGCCACAATTGTGTTTCTCGGCGGAACCGCATTGGCAGTTCGAAATTTGTTACTCACTCGCGGGGTGCCATTTGCTTGACCCTCTCCCTCGAATGGCCTCTGAGCATCTCTCGTAAGGTCACAGACTTCTCAAGGAGACCTTATTTCAATGGATGGTGCTCAAACGGGAAATTTTCGTGTCTAGGTATCTCGATTGGGGTTTTGGACTCTTCGTGGGATCGTCGACGCGTAGAACCTTTATGAGAGGAGAGGCTTGTTTCTGTACGGCGAGCAGCGCTGTTTATGGGGTATCAAAATCACGAAATGTTCACAAAATTAGGGAGATATCGATAATCAAGTTTGGGAGAATAAAGAACTCTTAAGCTTTGTAAAGTTAATTATACAGTGTGCATCTCTTACAGTGTTGCCTCAAGGTTACGAGAGACTGAGTCACTTCCCAGTGGTCCTGCTAGAACAAGCGTCGGCAAATGCCGGTGGCTTCTCTTCTTCCACCCTCATTGCAACTACGCGACATTTGCTCCCGGCGTGGAAGAAAACTGTCATTAATGCGATCTTTCAGGAAGACTTGGAAGTCTGCTAGCTTCCAGCCCTAGGGTGCAGGTGCCGCAAAAAGCGTCTCAGGTGCGTCTTTTCCTCAGCTGAATGATTACCGACCATAATTCTAGGTATCAGACGCGTCTCCAATGCTGCGACCGCTTTTCCATGCCTTTTGACGTTCGTCTCAATGGTTGGGAAGTATGCACAAGCCAATTCCACAGCACATGTACATTTACATGGCCAACAGAACGCGTCACAGACACCGTGCCGTTGACGGGAGCAATCCAAGCTCTTTTGAGGCGACGTTCTTCAATACAAGAGTCAGGATGGGAGGTTCGACACCCAGTACATCCTTTTTCGTTGACGCACCTCCCTCCGTCATTAATTTTTTGATGTTAGAAGAATATTCTCCGGTGAATGAAGCTAGGGCCTGCATCGTTTACGTTGTCGCGACGAAAGAGCAGACACGTCAAGTTGGTCATTCAAATGATTCACGGTGCGTTCGTTTTCCGGTTTTATAGCATATATGCGTGCTGATATCAGTCTCACGCAGCTGTTTAGGCCTCTTCTTTTTTACCACAGACAGAAACGCCTATCGTCGAAAGACTGTCATGTCTTGGGTGCAGTATAAAGATAGTGGCCAAAAGGATACTGAGCTGGGTCCCGGTGCGTCATGTTCCCTGGTATACATTCACTGACTCATCCAGTGTTGCAGAGGAGCATGGAACGAAGAGCTCGAGTCTTTTCTCTGGTGGTCTAAGCATATACCCCTCATTCTACAACGCTCGGAGTCAACGCTCAAGAAGACAAGTCTACATTCCAAACATTGTACACTTTGCTCTTCTGCTCCACTTGATTTCAGGCTAAGCGTTCAACCTTGGAACTTATTGACTAGAACTTTATGCCAGTTCATGTCAACGATCCTCCCAACATTGTGGTTTTCTTCTTCAATGTAGACCAATTTTTGCAAAGGAACTGCACTCCTGCTTCGGCTATTGATGTACGGTCAAATTTAGGTGAAGTCAGGAACTGGAAATGCTCGGATGACAAGGCCATCAACCCAGTTTTTCGGGATACCACAATACGAAGTAACTGCTGTCTTCACAGTGATCACGGGCGGCCTCTACCGGTGCCCATCGTGCCAACAACCATTTGGTGCTGGGAAGTCCATGCCTTTGGAAGGAAAAGACATCGTGTGCATGACGATTCCTCGCCAGTCTTTCGACCGTTTGCGTCCCCCTCAGAGTCGACGTACTACACGACAAGTCGTCGAGCCCACAGAGACTTAGAGCCTAGAAATGTTACTGTCAAATGCAGTACCACCGCTTCCGCCGTTCCCCAATTTCCAATCCATCTTCAAGAGATCCGCCATCACCTTATTATCGTTTTCCTCCCGCAGGTCCTACTGCATATATACTTCCACGGTGAACAAAGGACATGTCTTTTCTTCCTGACTATGTGTGAGAGCTTTATCTAGCCGCACCAGCATTTTGTCAATGCAGACTATCTGCTGTCGCGAAGCCCCTCATTCTTCGATGTCATACGTCCGAGACAAGCGGATACATTCGTTGGCGTCGTAATAGCACGGACCCGCCTTCCAGGGCGAACGCTTCGTCCTCCTCAGCACTGACGAGGGAAGTCGACTTGACGATGTCTCACAATGCAGAATAACGCGGTGATGAGACGATGCTAGCTCATGTCGCGGAGGTAAGTCGGTAGATATCTACCTTCTTATTTCCATCTTATCGTGCCACGGGAGAAACACCGATATATTAGTATCAACCATCTTTTTGACGAACAAGTCAAGCAGATAAGAACGAGAAATTGAAGGTTCTGGTGCTCCGATCAGATTGGATGCCCTTTCGAAAAGTGGTGTCCCGAACGACCTGGTCCGCCCGATGTTAATCAAGTACACTACCGTACTCGGTACTCTTGGGTGTACGACCCTTCTCCCGTCTGCAAGCCAAATTGGTCACGCTTGTTCCAAACAACACTCGCCTACGTGCCGGCTCCCACATACCTTTGCTCGCTCTCATTCAACAGGGCACGGTGCTTGATCACCTTCATTCATTCTCTCATCGACATCGGGTCCAACGGAACATTGTCATTTTATGTTTCTGTCATCCCAAACGACTCTACTGTGTCACTGTCTGTCGTAGACGCCTGCTTTGATGGGATCTACCTTCTCGGGGCGCGTGCTCATACCCATCGGCGCGATAGCACTTCAACTCGATGCAGTCGTTGAAGTTTCTGCTCTCTTCTCGTCATTTACCCACGCGAGCCTAGTGGTGGCATTAGATATGAGGAACAAACTCAGCGGGAATGTCTGTATGGAGGCAGAGGGATGAAAGCTGAAGATGCAGGTAAAGATGAAAGTGAGCATTGGAGGATGGACAAGTGCAACAACGTTGTCACGGGAAATGAATGTTTGAACCATCACGGACACGGTGATTTACGCGTTCTTGTGATTCCTAGCAGAATGTCCAGCGGCGAAGAGTTTCCGGCCGTATAGGACAGCATCTGCATCATCCTTTTTTACTTCGACAGGTACCCTGCCTTTCTCCCTAAACGTGATCTCATCACCATTGTCAAGTCTGGTTCAAACCTGCAGCCAGACTCGTGCCATCTGTTATCAGAGGGAACTCAGCGCCTGCCCGAAATTCTGGAACTTCTAGACGAAAATCATACGCTGCACTTTTTCAGATCAAGACGTCTACGCCTACAGGAGATACTATCATATCTATCGAAGTACGAGTCAAGGGGAAATAACACAGTCACAGAAGCACTCAAGGTTCTATACATCGCAGATACGCCAGACATTGCGTGCACCATCGTTCGTGCTTTTCTCCTTAAACAATTATATAGCAGGTACCTGTTATCGAAGGACAGGTCAGTTTCAACCGACTTGATGTTATAAACGTAATTTAACGAATCCCCCCGGTTCAAGAAGCATTGCCAAGTTCCCCGTTACTGTCATCTGTCTGGAGTGTGGGGCTGTACATTCCGACTCGGACTCGCCTTCTTCGCGGGTTTCTAACCTCTCCTTCCACCCGTGGGTAGGGCTTTGATCGGCCCTTTCCTAAGGGTCAAGTGCATCGTTTCCTCCGAATGTAAACTCCCTGGAACAACCGTCTCAATTTTTAGTATCTGACCTGATGCATAGATTAAATTGGCTGTTGCTATGGGAGATTATGGCGACTCGTACGCGAGCCGATCTCGTGCTCTTGGAAATCGGAGATGACCAACCATCTCGGAAAGTTCTTGTATACCTCCGGCCCAAGTGGTATCCGTACCGCGTAATGATGATGATATGCACGCGAGGATTTTTCATAAGGCTGTGGGTACCGGGTGCAGTTCAATATAGGGACCTTGCCTTCCATCTGTTCTCCACTCCCAACTTCTGTCTATCAGAATGCCAACGGCCACGGTCAAATCGAGCACCGGAAAGACTACGTTCAACTACATAATATCGACACCCTCAACTTCTTCAGCCACCTCTATCGACAGAAATCTGCCAACATTGCTATTTATTCACGCGTTCTACTTAGGATCGCAAATCTTTCAACGTTAGTCGCATGCCATCTCTTACCACCGAGAAGCAGTTAGGTTGAGACTCGTTTCAGAGCAACTCGAGGACCCACAGATAAGAAGATTCAATTGTGTCACACTGGATCTTAGATTACATGGGCTCACGACGAGCGATCCACTTCCCGAAGGCTACAGTGCGAAGGACGCTGCTGAAGACGTTGCACTGTTCATGGTGATTGACTATTTTGTCCAACGAGGTGTAACTCATTTGCAAAGTTCAATAGGATGAGATTAAATTACCCGCCTGCCACGTCGTGGGGTTGTCGATGGGCAGTATGGTGGCGATCGCCCTGGCTGTGTACTCGAATCGAGTCGCCTCTCTTTTCCTTGTGTCACCGCTAGGGCTGGAGGAGGTGCGCTTATTGACGTACTTAGGCCATAGCTAACACTGCATGCAGCCGGTAGATGTCGCCGATGGTCGGCGGGAAATAGCAGAATACTGGAGGGAAGCTTTCAAGACAGGCTCGCCCGACATGACGACCATCTCTGATTCTATCTACGGCGCCCATCAATTAGGTTTCAACAATAATCTCAACGACTTAGTGAACGCGTGTGTATATCGGTACTCCCTATTCTGTTATGGCTTACTGTCGTTACAGGCTGACTAATATCTCACTTCCTCCGGCCTTGAAGAATTCTGTTCCTGGGTTCTTTGAGCAGTATGACAGAGCTGTGGTTGGGTTTGTAAACAACCGAAAGGAGTACACCAAGGATCAGCTTTCTCGGATACATGTCCCCGTCAAGTTGGTCCATTGCCTAGGAAGTATCGCATACCCTCAAGAATATTCAGAAAATTTTATGCAACAGCTGAAAAACGCTGAAGTAAATGTCAACCTGGCCACCATACCAGAAGCACCACACTTCGGCGTTGTAACACACAGTGATATGTGGGTAGAATTGCTTCCAGCCACCAGAGCGGACGCTGATACTTTTCTAGTGTGAACCGGTTACTCCATGCATTCATTATAGACAACTGTCGGACGCCTGTTCCCCCGGCACCCCAAGAAGTCAGCTCTCCGTGGGAAGCAGAGTTGGCGAAGGCAGGCTGGAAAAAGAGTGTGGACAACCCTGAGGACGATTGAGACCGGTTCGCTAATCCTATACCCTTCTTTTTGCTTTTAGGTACAGATTGTTAATAATGCACAGTGGAATGTACCCGCGCGCTTCTTATGCGTAAGAATCATACCTGGAGGCCGACTCGGAGTTGACGGTGATTTGGCTTTTACTCATTGGTTGATGTCGTAACTGCACCTTCTTTTCAGTCTTTTCGTTGGAGAAACTGACGCGCCACTCAGATGGCTTCGGTGAAACGCAACTGGATGGGTTTGGATGTTGGGTTTATGGTGAAATCCTACAAAAATGCCTAACGGTTAGAATCACGAAGACCATGGTGGTCTGTCAGTTTGCCTTGTTCTTTCCCTCCAGTGAGCCAACTGATCTGGAATGCAGTGGTCCACTCCTTTTTAGTTGAGGAACTCCTTGGTTACGCCAGGATCAAATCGTGCAGAACATCCTCGTGGGCAGTCTTATGCGACCGTAAGCAATACCCGAAAAATACGCCAAGTTTACCCTCTTAAGACATGACGTTTGCTTCTATGTCCGCATTCCCAGATTGAGCTGGATAAAATTTCTAGGCTGTGACTGGTTTGGAAAAGTCTATTAGTAAGCATCGGTGTTTTCGTCGCAACTTTTGATTCGACACCCCAAAGAAGCTCTTCAGATTAGGCGCCGGACCCGCTTTTAAAGTGCTTGGTGAATACTACTCCCTCGTCTCGGGCCGCGGACCGCTTGTATTTGGTTAAGACGGGGACCTGGTGGGGACCGGTTTCACTTTTCCCTGTTTTCCGCATCACTGTTTACAGGTTAAACGATTCCGTGCTGACCTCACAATCCGGAGGGAAACTGACACCCGGGGACTCCAACTCCGGAGACCACCCAAGCGCTCGATATGCACTGCACGGGGAGCAACGTGGTCAAGTACCAAGCTTTTTCGGCGCTGCCGTCCTCTTGGTTTTGGGGGGAAAATACGCTGTCTGGATTGTTTCACCATTGTACTGCTAGTCAGAGTGTGACATCCATCTGTCTGCACAGCGTTGAGTAAGGGCTTCCAGTGACAACTCTCGTAGCTCTTTGATTCGTCTGTCAAGTAAGCGATATTAGCGACTGTATATCCGGCCGTTCTCATTGGAAGTGGTCCCTTTGGCACACTCGAATAGAAGCAAATTGATAATTTCGTCTCGATTCCGAAAGGTCTAAGAAGCTGCGTATGGTGAATCGAAGGTTGCATAGTTTACCTCTCAACAGGTGTGTATCCCGGACATTTTGGTTTGATTGCCCGCCATCCTTGAGGCCTGGAGTCTGAAATTGATATAAGGCAGATACATACATATGGAGTCATCGCCAACGACGTTGGATGCTGTTCAGCTCCGATTTGGAACTTACATCCTCATGCTTAACTCTCTCTTCGGTGAACTCGCCTCTGCTCGAACTCTCATTGCTCAGTTTGAATGCGAACATGGAAGCGGCTCCAATAAGGGCCGTCCCGTTCACCTCCGTTACTGGTTCTTCTATGAGTTGCATTTGTCCTTGTGACCCGAATTTTTGTGAGGACTCGGAACAGTACCTGTGCAATCATCGCGGCAAGAAGCATTATGACTTATGGGCTCTTTGGTAAAATCGTCCTATTCAACGATCTCGGTTCGAATCCGAGGGGGGCCACTAGCAGGAGGTATGATGGGTTGTTTATTTTATTCTTGGCACTCGGTCAAGAGTCCAGCACTCGAATAAAGTTTCTGGCCCTTCAGGCGCGACCTAATAACACCCTTGCGCTTAGAGCGAAGTCATGGCTACAAGGCATGTGCAGAAAAATGCTTTCGTTTCTTCCCTCAGTCACCTGCGGTTCCTCTTGTTTTTTGTTTTCGTATCTTCACTTGGGCATAGCTGCAGCAGACGGTGATTTTCCTTGCCAGTTGACAGTCATTTTTCATATGATTTCCCGGCCACTCTTGAAGTCTGAAATTGATGGAGAGCAGATATGGAGTCATAGCCAAGGCTGCTGCTCAGCTCTAATTCCGAATGTGAGCATGGAAACGCTCCATCTTTGTGACCGAATTTCCACGTCGTGCATGAAAGTGTGCTTTGAGATTCAAAGCAATCGCTGTCGAATGAAGTTGTGGCAACAATCATGATGATTTATAGGCCCTTTGGCACAATCGTGCTAACGCGCATTTAGCGAATTTAGCGATCTCGGTTCGAATCCGAGGGGGTCCATTATGACAAGAGTGTGGCATGAATTTTGTTTGAATTCTTGACGCTCGGTCAAGACTCAAGAGTCAGTCAAGCTTCAAAGCTTCAAGATTCAACAACTTGGCGCTTTACTTTAAAGTTTAACGATTAGCCAGTCCTTCAAGCTTCATTAGTCACTGCCTCATAATACTTGCACTTCGAGCAAAGTAATGAATTCATACTAAAGCCAGGCTACAAGGCACGTGCGGAAAAATGATTTCGTTTCTTCCGTCCGTCACTACAGACGTTCCGAAAAACCTTGTCCACACTGCCAAAAAGGGCAGGTAAAATCAAAAAATCAGATAAATATCAGAAAATCGTAGAAATAGCATACAGACTTCATTTGTGCGTGTCATTTAGTAGAAAGATACAAATTTAATGATCCATGGGTGCTGCAGTATGTCGTAAAGAAAATACTTGAAATAAGAGCATCTGACTGATGAAAGCGCCGCCAGATTTACATGTTCAGGCTGTCTCGCACCGAACAGCCGGTCACACCTTCGTTCTTGCCATCATCGTCATTCAAGAGACAGGATTTTGAAGAACGATTCTGCATTCAGTCAAGGAGGCCGCCGCCGTGATTTTGCCACAGTTTGGACGTCGACAGCTCCTGGCTTCCTGCAACACAACGCCATAGTCCGCCCACACTATTTCACTGCGACAAAGACACCTGCAACTGGATATCCTCACAGCTTCGAATCGATAGGCAATAAGCGGTGATGTCGCCTTGCCTTCTTCTTGCCCGTTGACAGTCATATACGGGCCCGGGCGGTGGGCAAAATTCGGATCTCCAGGACGACTCAGAATCTTGCCGACAGCGACTACATCCAGGACAAACGCTATAATGGTGCCCGTCAAAAACGATTCACATCGCCTGATACCTGTAGGTCCTTCATGGCATGGTTTCGACGCTGGAAAGAAAAGGCAACGGGTGTGTAAACTATTTCTTTTCTTGCAGACGACGAATCTTATAGCTTTTAGGGTGTGATGGATTCTGAGACCACAATCCTCGTTGGCGCCAGTTCGAGGAGACGAAGACGAGGACAGGACGTCTGATCAGCCCATTTCCACAGTGCGACTGCTTCCATTTCGCCGCCCTGCATCGCACCTTTCTCGACGTGGACGACCAGTCGCGGCTACAACGTCAAGGCCATCGGCTCAAGGAAGCTTTATCCATTCTGTTCATTGCGGCGTGGACCAGGCGCGCGCACATCTCATCACTGGCTCACCTCCGCGTCTGACTTCAAAGCTCTCAGCCAAAGCATCGGCGTGAAGCGCGACAGTGTCTTCATATCTGTTATTCAGAATCAAGGCGGCCGGGTACTATCATGTTGCGGCCAATCTCGATAAAACGTAGTCTCCCCTCAGACTCGTCGTCGTCGTCCCGCCCACACAGACACTCTCTTGATCCCCTCCAGCTGCTCTTCGTCCCAGAAAAGTTAGCGTGTTTACATCTACTGGCCCGAGTATAACCATCTTGATAGTGGCTACGAGTTGTTGGACCCGTTTTCACCCGGCGGGGTGAACTCCTGTCATCCGAGGACCATTCAACTCGCACCTCCTTATTGTCTAGTGCATGTCGACCATCTCAGGACGTGCCGTCTTTTTCGGGAAGCGACAGCGTCTCCATATCCATCATTCAGAATCAACATGGCTCTACCGGTACCACCATCTTACGGCCAATCTCGATGGGGTGTAGTCTTCCCTTGGGCTCGGTGTTGTCCCGCCAACGCACACACTCTCTGATCCGGGCCTCCAGCTGCTCTTCTTCTCGGAAAGGATAGCCCGTCTATTGGCCTGGGTATAACCAACCTGTTTTAGTGGCCGCCTCCGAGCGGGGTGACCCCTGCCATCCGAGGACCACTCAACGTTCAACTGACACCTCCTTCATCGTATCGCCTGGTTGACATTGTCTAATGCTTGCCAACTACCTCATAACGCGCCGCCTTTTTCGGGAATCGATGTACTGCTTATGAGTAGGCCGGTCATTGGTGCTACTGCAGGGAGGTCGTTATCTGCAATGCCCATGCTCCTCGGTCACAACTCGAAGGTGTTGGGGAACTAGGCGTCTCTGGGAAAGGTTGTTATGGCATTCGCCCATTCGGCGCAGACCCGTTATATCTTTCAACAGACGCGTATTTTCGTTTTTTGCAGCCGCCGCCCAAGTCTCATGAATTAGCACGCAAACAGAAACTATGAACAAATCGGCAACTCTGTTATGGGATTCTGGTTTTGGCGCTCGTCTGCTGTCGTCTGCTGTTAGCGTGAACTGCTTCCATCGATACGAGGAGGGGATGCTATGTCGTCACTGCTACTGAGCGACCAGCTGCAAGCCTACGACATGTGAAACGATTTTGCATGACATGTTCCGTAGCGAGGTCGCAGCTCCTGGCTTGCTGCAACGGGTTTATCAGAACGGAAATGCTAGCGAGGCTCTCGGAATGTCGATGCTTGGATATCGAGTATCAACCAGGATAACACGTAAAATGTTTACTAGCCGCTATAAGAGTTATGTGACCATAGACTGAAGATGCTCAAATCTAGATGGATCATCTTGCTCGTGGTCTTTGTGAAAAGACTCGTTGGCACAATCGTTTACCGCGTTTGGTGAATCTCGGTTCGATTCCGAGGGTGGTGATATCGAACCAGCGTTTGATGATACGCTTTTTGAAAACATCCTTTCGGTGACACTCATGCTACTGTTGCTTTGCCAAGCGTACTACCTCAAGATTAGAATCGCTTTTTTTGCACGTGGGACAGACGATTTTGTTCTCGACCGTGATCACCTTACCGCCGTATCATGCTTTATTTTCTTCACGTCATTTCGCCGGCATGTCTGCCAGGAGCTGGTCTCGTCTTTGTGTACTTGGCCTCTGAGAAGGCGAACGTGAGGTGAACCCGGTGCGTTACCCTTCCCTTTGCAGAGAACGGCCAATCTCATGAACACTGTCAAAGCCAACGCAAAGGACATTGCCTCGCTTAATGCAGTAGCGCGATGGACTCGTAATAAGGGCGTATACGTGGATGTTGGAAAAGCAAGAAAAAGGTGCGCAACTGGTTTTATCTTGCAGACCGCGAATCTCATAGTCAAAATTTGTTTCTAGGAAGGTACCAAGACTCTACTTCCCAACAACCGATCCTCTTCTCGCCGCTTCGGAGAGGAGACAGAGAGACTCTCAGAGGAAAAGACGCTTCACCAGTTATATCGGCTCGAGCCTGCAGGATAGCCTACAACGCTAGGAACATGCAACAAATTCTTCGATTCCTGCAGAGATACGACCAGTCTTCTGCTTTGCACGCCTTGTGATCCCATGGCCCTTCTTCGCAGGCATGAACGAATCGACGGCGGTATATTATTGGGGACGAAGCTGGATGGTATCGAAGCTAGAGGGTGATAAGCTGTGGGGAAAGGTGGAAGAGAGCCTTAGAAAGACGAGGAGTACGCTGAAGAGTAATGTGTGGCATATTCGGTGGGTGTTGGTACGTCTCCACTCCATCCTCATCGGCGACGAATCTCACAGGCTAATACAGGTAGCTACGAACAGGCATCACAATGTCATCCTTCTCAATAGCCCATCATATTCTCGCGTCTATCGAGGAAGGGCACAACGTCAACAGCTGGCCGTTTCAATGCTATCATTCAGGGGAGACGGAGAGACAATTGCAGAAGAAAAGACGGATATCATGCGTCCTACAGCTATACCCGTTTATCGTCTACAACACCAGGAGCTTTCCGGACTCCACAGAGACGCAGGCAGTCTTCCTTCATTCCGCCTTCCCACATGTTTTGGTCCGTGCTCTTCGTGATTGGATGTGGATACAAATTCGAGTCACCGCCCCATCGAGGCCATCATCCCAGTGAACAATATACTCCAACCGGGCGATTCCATTCTGCGGTACTTGGTGGCCTCTAGTCGCGGCGAAGCACGGTTACTCTGTACTAATGTCCCATCACTTCCCAGTGACGAGCGCGTCTCGCTCGATGACGCTGCAGCTATCTGAACCTGAAATACCTGCCATCCCTGACTGTCTGCGTTGCCATGGACGCTATCGCCATCAAGGTTGGCTCCAGATGAGCCGGAGTCCTCCTCAGATACGACATCCCATCATCCAAGACTAGCATCATCGTCTCCCTGTCTATCACGACAAAACGTACACCTCCTTCAATTTGGGCTTGCCCTCATCTGCCATGACGATGCTTCCTTCTCCGAGTCCATTGCCGTGATTGAACCCGTTTGACCGTTCTTTGCGGGTGCGATCTTCGCTGTGCTGTAATTTTTGAACGCGATGCTGGATTACGTTGAAGCTCCAGAGGGTGATAAGCTGTGGATAAAGACAAAGAGGAACCTCGGTGCTTTGAAACATGCAGTGTCGGGATGTTTTGGAAGTACCTACATCCAGTGGGAACGGGTATGTCACTACTTCATACTCGCAGGCGACGAATTTCATGGCTAATATAGATCAAGCTACGAGCCGACATATTATCCTTCTCAACAATGCATCTCTTTCTAGCTGTCTGCAAATCCAGCAAAGAGAAACGGACTTTCTGAAAGTTCGTGTGCGTAATCATTTGACCCTAACGATGAATCTCATAAGTTCGACTAGCTCCTAGGGGGTGCCCAGCTCTCAGTAGCCCAACAGCTTCGATGCCGCCCAGAGGAGATAGAGACACATTCCTTGCCTGTGATTGCACGGCTCTTTCTTTTGGTACGATTTCTGATTGACAATCTGGTTTTAATTCGCATCTAAGATCTACGAGCAGGATAACGACCGACGCTCAAAATCAGCATTCTGCCCTCCCAACACGAGTCTATTCCTATATAATGAATATTTGCCGTAGGATACACTCAAATATAAGGGACGGGATGTATACACTCTCGAAATAAACACCATGCTTTCTTCTCACTTGTGACTCCAAAACTATCCGAATTCTTGGCCCCCACCCTTGACGACTTCTGTAAACGAAGCGGGGAAAGAAAGAGAGTGAATGCTAGGCGGTATGCAGGTACGAGTTCTGCGAGTGTCTATACAGCGGCTAGCTAGGCGGACTCCATTTGCCGCGGTCACATGACTACCATGACACCGAAACTCGCGCGACGTAGGCACCAGTGGACGTTGTTGTGGCTAAAACTCACCTGTTTATAATCGCTACCGGGTTTTGGGAATCTGTCCATACAAGAGGTTCGGAAATTTCTCATTATCAACTGCCCGGTACTAACCCATCCTTCTACTAGACTATGATTATGTGCCGGAATACTAAAGGTAAAGGGTGCCATACCTGTAATTTTCCTTCATGAATGGTATGAGATGATCATCTGGACGTCAGTATTCCATCAACAGGTTATACTAGGAACGAGATCAGGTAGTTTCATGCTGTGTCTCCTAACGATGGACTTCTGTAACCACTAGGACCCAGAGAATCTCGATTTGGACATGAGTATGTTGAGTCACTGATATACACATATTTAAGCTCCCCAGTCGTCCAGGGTGCTATTCTCAGTCGAGATCAGTCCATGGCGCCTATATCTATCAAGAAAAGAAAGCTTGGTTCTTGATCCCCACCTTCTTTTGCGTGGGAAAACACTCTCTCATTGGCCACTTCTCGACTCGTGCTTGCCACGCTTGGGCCTCATGCCTGCTTTTCTCCATAGTCGTGGCACAAGAAGCGCCGCCGCTTTACAATCCATATTTCTGACTCCAACCCCCATCCCAACCTGAAAAGCAAGGGTAGGCTTCCAATTCCCGACAGGATATCGCTACTTAACGAAGCAGCTTCAGCTGGCATGGACGTTCTCGGTTTTGTTATCTTAGCTTTCCTTGTGTGTGCGATGATCAGTGAGTTCAAAATCCGCATTGTACGCCGGGACGTTTCATCCATATCCGTTATCCTTACAGACAAATTCGGACCAGTCTCTGGAGCCGAAATCATGATTCTCATCCTGGCCGTATTCTGCGCCGTTTTCTTCATTGGAGCCGAGTTCGCTGACTCGTGGCCACTGCTATGGTCTGGCTTGGAGAGCATTACCGGTCTTGTTGGCGGATCAATCAGGTTCATCATCCACACATTCTTTCTCATCGCCCGCGTACTTTATATGATCGGTAATCTCGCCCCTGCCGAGGAGCGAGGTGTTCCAATTTTTAACTTTTTTTTGAGTCCGCTGCTTTTTTTAGGTTGGGTATTAGGATATTAGCAGGGTCCATTTGTCTGCAAGATCCTGTGTATTGTTTATTCGGAAGCTCAGGTTGGAACTTCTATGGGAACAAAGTCAACGCGGATAAGGAACACTAGTATGGCTAGTAAATTTCTGGTACAATACATCATGTAAACAGCGCCTTAACACAACACAACGTCGAAAGCAAGTAGAAAGGTTGTTGCATATATATCAATGATTAGAAATTCCGCGCTGACCTCACTTCAGAAGGGAAACTGACATTCGGCGGCTCCAACTCCGGAGGCTATTCAAGCGCTTGCAGACAGATGAGAATGTATGGAGAGCGACGTTGTCGAGTAATAAGCTTTTCGACGTTGCCGTCGTTTTGGCTTTGGGATAAGCCTGACACGCTGTCTCTGGGTCGTTACCATCCTCTTACTAGTCAGAGAAAGTGGAGCGTATCAGGATGAATAAGGGCTTTGAATGACAACTCTCGTGGCTCTTTGATTCGTCCGTCAAGTAAGCGATGTCGGCGACTGTACAGCCGGCTGTCTTTGATTTTGTTCTCGAACATGATCACCATGCGTATCACGCTCTATTTTCTTCGTATTATCCTTGCATTTAGGCTTCCAATAGCCAGGAGTTGATCTCGTCTTGCTTTACGGTCGTATACTGGGCCTTTGAGGAATCGGACGAGGGATGAGCCTGGTGTGCTACCTTTCCCTCTGTAGAGAACGACGAATCTCATATGTTGCTACCAAAGCCAACGCCTGCCGTAGTCTGATGGTCTTATAATGGCGCATACATGCAGGACCTGGATGGTGGAAAGCAAGGAAATGGTGCGCAACCGTCTTCTTTGGCGGACCACGAATCTCATAGTCAAAACTAGTTCGAAGGGGGGTACTCAACGGCCGATTCTCTTCTTACCTCGTCAACGCCACCTATCAGAGGAGACAGAGAGAGGATCGCAAGGGAAAGGAGTCACGGACATCATTCGCCTCACCAACTATCGCCATGATGGTGCGGCGCTTATTGCCCCCAACACTAGGAGCTTGCGATAACTCTCCTAATCCAGAGACGCGACTAGTCTACCGCCGTTTCACCTTTTTACACGCCTTGTGCTCCCTTTGGCCCTTCTTCGCAGGCATGTACGACACGGCGACGGTGTAGTTGTTGAGGACGAAGCTGGCTGGTATCGAGGCTCAGGCTCTGGAGAGTGATAACCTATGGGACACTGAAGAGTAGCTGTGGGGCAGGAAAAACGTACATTTAGTGGGAACTGGTACGTCTCCACTTTATCCTTACCGGCAACGATTCTCATGGCTGATACAGGCGGAAACCATTCCAGAGAAAAAGGATTAGCCATGTTTCGTCGAGGAACCCCCACAATATGTCCGATCCCCGTATTCCCAACACTCTCACACTCCTCACCAGTCATATCGACCCTCGCCAGGCTTGCCGTTTATCGCCTACAATGCCACGAGTCTGCAACAACTTGCCTGATCCCTGATCCGAAAGCAATCAGCATATACTTCGCAGGCTGGAATCACGATTTGGACGTTACAAATACCAATCACCACGACGCCGAGGCCATCATCCCAAAGACCAAGGATTGTCATATATGCTGTTGCCGAGCGATTCCGTTCCGCGGTGCTTAGTATTCTCTGGCCATAGCGAAGCATGTCCCTTCCAAGGCAGCCGACTTTCCGTGGAGGAGCACATCTTTCTTTCTCGGTGTCGCAGACTGTACCCGAAATGCCTGCTATCTCAGTTTTACTGCGTTGAGATGTCTAACATCGACGCTGCAAAGATCAGCGTCAGCGTCTGACGAGACAGAGTACCACCCCCAGATACGCCTCCCATCATCCGAGACACCATCGTCTTCCTGCCCATCTCGATTAGGTGCAGATTTACTTGAGCTGCCATGACGAAAGCTCTCCAACTTGCCATCTCCCGCGCCATACCTCTTGGGGGGGAGGTGCGATCAGGTGAACGAGGCTGCCACGCTGTAACTTTCGAGCACGACTCTGCCGAGTAATAGTTAAAGCTCTGGAGAGTGTTAAGCTGGGGACAAAGGCGAAAGCGAGTTTCCGGAAGATGGACAAGCATTTTGAAGAGTATAGATCTTGTCGGATATTTGGAGAAACGTACATTCAGTGAGAACGGGCATGTCACCACTCAGGCGATGAATCTCATGGCTATTACAGGTGAAGCTACGAACAGGGTGCCAAAGTATTATCTTTCTCAGTAGCGTGTCACTTGCTCGTTATCGTGACATTTGCGAGCCCAGTAAAAAGAATGGGAATTTTGGAACGTTCATGTGGGTGATCATTTTATTCTCTCGCAGATGATGAATCTTATCGTTGAGACCAGCTTCTAGGAAGTGTCAAGCTCTCAACGTTCAACAGCCCAACAGCGTCGACACTGCCCGTCAGAGAAGATAGAAACATCTTTGCCTGCGACTGAGCGGCTCTTATAGTACTGTTTTCGACCATTAATCTGATCTGGTTTGTATCTAAAGGCTGCGAGAAGGACAACGATAGACACTCAAAATCAGCATTCTGCCCCCCGACACGACCCTATTCCTATAGACAGAATATTCGCCGTAGGATACACTCCAAACAAGAAGGAGCGAGATGTATCCAGACGTTTATACTCTCGAAATAAACACGATATTTTCTTCTCACCTGTGCTCGGACAGACAGTATCAACTCTTGGCTCCTTCCCTCGATGACTTTCAGTAAACGATGCGGGGGAAAGGACGAGAGTCAATACGAGACGGACTCCATTCGTCGCGATCACATGACTACCACGACACTGAAACTCACGCGATGTGGCCACCCGTGGACGTTACTGTGGTTAAGAGTCGCCGTTTACAATAACTACCGGGTTTTGGGAATCTGTCTGCGCAAGAGGTTTGAATTTTTTCTTGTTATCAGATGACTAGCATGAACCCAGCCCTTCTACTAGACTATGATCTTACATCAATATCTCATCAACAGGTTACGAGAAACCTCCCGAAGCAAGGACCAAGTAGCTTTGACGCTATGTCTCTGAATGATGGATCTCTGCGACCACTCTACAAGAGCCTAGAGAATCTCGATTTGGACGTGAGTATGTTGAGTCATTGATTCAAGCTTTGCAATTGTCCGGAGCGCTACTTCTTAGTAGAGACCGGTCCATGGCGCCTATATGTATCAAGAAAAGCTGATCCCCGCCTTCTTTTGCGTGGGGAAGCATTCTCTCATTGGCCGCTTCTCGACTCGTGCTCGCCACGCTCGGGCCTCATGCCTGATTTTCTTCACAGTCATGGCACAGGAAGCGCCGCTGCTTTAAAGCCCAGGTTTCCAACTCCAATCCCCCATCCCGAAAACAAGGGTAGGCTTCCAAGTCCCTCAAGGTTTCGCTACCTAACATTCGATATCGAAGCAGCTTCAACTAGCATGAATATCCTCGGTTTGGTGGTTGTATTTTCTATTGCATATGCCTATGTGGATGAGGTGATTCGTGAGTGCAAAATCCGCATTGTACGAGACGTTCCCTCCATACTAGTATTATCGTTGCAGACGGGCCCAGACCAATCATTACAACTCATATCATCCTAATACTCGCCGTGTTCTGTGCCGTCTTCATTGCTGGGAATGTGTTATGGCCGCTGTTATGGACTGGTTTGGAGATCATTACCAGTGTTATTGGCTGGTTAACGGAATTCATCATCTTTGTGTATTTTATCATCGGCTGTCTTCTAGTTTTTTTGGTGATCGGTACTCTCGCACTTTTTTTCATAAGCTTGCTTTCATATATACTTATGATTATCGCTATCTTGGTAGTGAGTGCTTGACATCCTTAAATATAGATCAGACGAAATCCAATTCATGCGATACTCTCCTGTCTTTGAAATTATATGGCGTATATTTTCTTCGATTATCGTACATAAGAGTAGACTTATGAGACTCTATGACCAGCATAGCAGCTATATAAAACATGCGTTATTCATGGGCACTAGTACTGCCAGAAACGTTAGCGGAGTGCTATTAGCGCATCAGCATCGGCAGATGCCGACGTCTCTCTCCTTCCATCCTCATTGCAAGTACGTGACATTACATGGACGCACAAGAAAGTCTGGCCCTTCCAACGTGATTTTGCAGGAGATCAAATTTAGTTTTTAGGGGGTACCAACTCAACAGCCGATCTCTTGCTACGTCGATGCCACCAGTCAGAGGAGAGGAGACCCGGACATCATCGGAGCGTCCGTTGCCTACAACACCAGAAGCTTGCATGGATACAAATTCGAGTCACCACTAGCTGGTACCAACACCACCACCACCACTGCATCGAGGCCATCATCAGAGAACAAGGATCTCCCTATATGCTCCTGCCTCTGCGGTACTTGGTCTATGGTGGCGGCGAAGCACGGGTACACCACATCCTATCCAAGGCAGCCTACTTCACGAGACATGCGCATCCCGCCTGATGCAGACGCTGGCATGGTTGCTATCGCCAAAAAGATCACGAACCGGAGATACAACATCATCATCATCATCCAAGCCTCTAGCGCTGTCATCTCCTTGCCCATCTCGACAAAGCGTACATCTCCTTCAATTTTGGGCCCGCTGCGCCCATTATCGCCATGACGATGGCTCCTTCTCTCACGCTGCTCTCTGACCGTTCTTCGCGGATGCGACCAAGATGAATGTCGCGGCAGCACCGAATACGATGCCGGACCACGTTCAGAGGGTGATAAACTGTGGACAAAAACTGAAGAGAGACCTCGGAAGATGAACAAGTACTTTCGAAACATGCAGTGCCGGATGTCATTCGGAACGGGTATGTCACTACTTCATACTCGCCGGCGACAAATCTCATGGCTAATATAGATCAAGCTGCGAGCCGGCATATTATCCTTCTCAACACAATATCTCTTTTCTCGCTATCTGCAATTCCAGCGAAGAGAAACGGACTTTCTGAAAGTTCGTGTATGTAAGCAGTCATTTGACCTTATTGCAGACGATGAATCTCATAGTTTCGACTAGCTCCTAGGAGGTGCCCAGTTCTCAGCAGCCCAACCGCCTCGATGCTACCTGCCAGAGGAGACAGGGACACATTCCTTGCCTGTGATTGCATAGCTCTTTCTTTTGGTACGATTTCCGACTGATAATCTGGTTTGATTCGCATCTAACCGCTGCGAGCAGGACAACGACCGTAGAGGCCTACAGTCAGCATTCTGACCTCCCAACACGAGAAGGTGTCTCATTCCTATATAAAGAATATTTGCCGTAGGATGTGTCCAGATGTTCATACTCTCGAAATAAACACGATGTTTTCTTCTCACTTGCGCTTGGACACACAGTATTAACTCCGAATTTCTGGCTCTCGCCCTTGACAACTTCAGTAAACGAAGTGGGGGAAAGGAAGAGGGTGAATGCTAGGCGGACTCCATTCGTCGCGGTCACGTGGCTATCATGACACTGAAATTTGCGCGACGTAGATACCTGTGGACGTTGTTGTGGCCAAGAGTCGCCTGTTTAGAATCGCTACCAGGTTTTGGGAAGCTGTCCATCCAAGAGGTTTGGATATTTCTCTTTATCAACTAACCAGTACTAAGCTGGACAGGAAGCAGCATGTACTGGCTCGCTCAGACATGAATCTGCAACGGGTTTTTGTGAAATGGCTCGAAGAGGAATAAGTAGACTAGATGAGGGACTCTGATAGAGGAGAGTTCATGAGTTTGGGGTTTGATGTCTGTCGAGCAGGAACCCACGAGAGCATGGGAGGAAATATTATTCCGAGGCAAAAAGATAACCAGTCACCTGCGCCTTTGGACCGCAGCAATACAAGTCCCACCCAGTACGCCGAGGTACTAAGGGGATCTTTGCTCCAAAGTATTTGAAGCATGCTATAAATGTATGGAAAGTCAAATCTGACTGTTTACAAGAGTTCGAGGAGAAACCTGCTCGGCATCTTACGCCTCGCTAAGGCCAGGAATTGTCTTCGTAGAAAAGCTAACCCTCCAAGAATGGCCCGGGTCAAAGCTTCATGCCACTCAAATCGGACTACCGGCCCGGGACCATTGTCTTTGTCCTCCCCCTCACATATTTAAAATCTCGAAACTTTGGCATTATCTATCGGCAGCAGCTCCCGCCTATCGGCTTCTGGATCCGCCATCCCGTACAACAATTTCGTCGGCCCAGATGCGCATCCCGCCACTTTGGCGTCGCGTCACATCTGCTGGGCGCGTTTATAACTCAAAAAATCCGGAAAAATGGCCAATAAATAATATTAAAATTACAGAACTAAAACCGACATTCATTCCCTTGTAGTATCTTCTGAAACCTGCATAATGGCTTGTACTTGCTCATGTACTGCATCTTCACCATCCTCATAATCGCTATCATCGCTATCTGCATCGGAAATCCTACTGACAACAGCATATTCATGATCTATGCTCATGTCATTGCCATCACGATCTTCCAACCCAAACCCAGAAAGTCGCGCAGCTGCTATCCCTACTTCCACACTTCCAGTGAAACCAGCACATCAGTAAGTTCACCTCCATGTGGTATGTATGGCATGCATGGCTTGTATATGAGAATTTCAGTCATACATATCCATGCATCACCATGCCCACAGAATTTAGCCATGCAGACCACACCACTATGCGGTGGTTGTATAGTTGCATGGCTGCTGTTCAAATATATTTTTCCTTAGCTACATATAAGGTTAGCTTGGGACCAGCTTACTTGTGCAGAAGTTCTTGGTTTTGGGGATGATTTGTGCACTGAACTGCAGAAAAATGACAATTCGGATACGTGTGATGTCACTCGGCAAGGGCCGGGCCGTCTCGCAAGCACATCATCATATCACGTGCATGTTGAACTTGAAATTTTTGATCGTTTGGGACTTCTCTTTCTTCCTCCTCCTCTCAGCGCATCTTCCTGCTACTGCACAGCTTGTAGGCAGTCATTCTGTTGACCTCTGCTGCTGTATTATACAGCTTGGTAAGTCATTTTAGCATAGATCTCTTCCGAGAAACTAAGCTTCTTCAGCGTATACATCTCCCGCCAGTCTAGCACGTTCGCTGATGTACGCAAGCTCACTTCACCGCCGTTACAAACTAGCAACAATACCTCTACTGCCGACTGATGCTTTTTCTTTTGCATGGAGGTCTGAGACTTGGCGCACAGGCTTGAACTAGAGGAGGTGGCGGTGGTGCTAATAGGTTGTCAAGAGAGACGTGGATGTAGAGGTGTGTATATTTTCTGTAAGCCTGGTCCTGACCTCATGAGACCTTTTCTATCTTAGCAATTTGCGCTACGCAAGGTCCAGTCAGCGTTGCAAATTTAGGCTGCAACCGGTACCATACATCGGGGCCCTAGGGTGCATCAATTTTCTGTACCGAGTCCTCACACGTTCACCCAACCCCTCAGTTTGCCATGGCTTCGTGGTGCCTATTGTATGCTACTTATTATTCTACGCTAACCTGTATTATCTACATGCTGAATATGACAATTTTTTATCTTCCACTGCCCGATCTGAACCTGGAATTGATATGAATATTACGAAACTAGGTGGTGTAGCAGCATAGAACGGGAATAGTGTGTAAGTGCATAGCTAGGTATGGTCTGCTATACGAGGTGCATAGAATTACGTAGGTACCTTGTAGAGCCATGCGCATGTATAACGGTATGGCTTGCATGATTCGCATGGTGCCACACGTACCATACGGATGTTAACTTACTGATGCATCCTTCGACAAGGCATAGAAACGGCGCATATGCGCGGCATAGAAGCGCTCCCTATCCTGACGATATCTCGATATCTGAAATGCCAAGGCAGGCTCTGTTTCGGCAATTGCTCCCTCTCGGCGACGGAGATATGTATCTTCGATGTGCATATAGGTAATTACTCGCTGAATCTCGATGTTGAGGCGCTTGATTTCCTCCTTTGCCCGACAGATCTTGAAGTATGTATCCATCGCTTGGCGTCCTGCTGGAGTGGCCCACTTGCGCTCGCTCATGTCCTGCCGAACGTCTCGGAGTAGGTCGAAATCAGCTAGAAAAGCATACTCGACGACTCGTTCCCACTTCAGCGGAGGTCTTGGGGGGATAAGGGTTGCTGCCGCTACATTATATTGGGTGAGGGCGGTCCGTATGGCTTGTGATCGTGCCTTGAGAGCCTTTCCTATGTGTTTTCGCATTTTATATCCTATATACTGGGGTTAATATGCTGTTTCTAGTGAGACCGATCAACTTACCAGTATGGGACATATTCATCTTCGTTAGCTCAAAGATGCGTGCGACTATTAAGCCCTCCAGTCGATCCAGGCATCGCCGGTAAGTCCTCACGGCGACCCTCTGCTCGTTCTCTCTCCACTTTTCCGAGCCGACGATCCAGCGGTCCTCAGGGGAGATGTTCAGTGAGCGCTCGAGGTCCTGCACCCTCTCCAGCTCTTGAGATCTCCTTTCGAGAAGATGTCTTTGTGCTGTCTCCATCTTGCGGGTGTCGTCTCGTGGTTGTGGCTGTGTATCGGTCATCGTGTTAACGAACACTACTCTCCGGCTAGCAGCAACCTTTGATCTGTTTGAGGTCAGCTACAAAGAGTTTGTTGAAGGGGATGTAGCTTACTCTACATCATAATAATGGATGAGCCTTGTATAATATTCCATCTCGATGGTTTCTTCTGGCAGTTCACGCTGTAAACCTGAGAGGTAAGCTTCCTCCTCCGAAAGCCACGCTTCAAATTCCTTTTCATCGGTCACTCCAAGCTCCTGCATAGAATTTTGTAATGCTGGATAGTCGTCTATGATATCCAGAGCTTGTCTGTAATTGTTGCACAAAAACGAACCTACTTATATGTCAGCCCAGGTCTACAGTCTACATGAATGCTTACTGAGATGCTCGAAGGAGTCCAAACGATCGACATGCTTCAGATACCAGGTAATGCGTTGGCGACGATGGAAGCGACTGGCATATCGAATACCCCTGGCAAGACCATTTGACTTGGAAAAAAAACGCTCTAGGGTCTCGAGATCTTCGAGACCTAAGCCCATGAGATATGTACCGAGATGTCGAAGCTGACACAGACGGTTGTGTGCATGGCCATGGAATAATCCAACCAATACATGAAACCTCTTGATTTTTGCTAACTCGCCAAGTGGGGATCGGTTTATCGTACCGCCAAACTTGCAGCCAATGTCGTATCCGATGCCCAGGCGATCTCCGAAGACTTCCAAGAGCCTCCCAACAATAGCTAATGGATATTTTGCTCTGAAAACAATCAGTTGCGAGGTAAAAATCAGCGCAAGAGATCTTACTGCTCTCCACTTTTCACCATGTCTGCCCCAAGGAGAACAGACCCATGATGGCATAATGACAGAAAAAAGCCAGTCTCTTCAAAGACTCCCCACATCTTGGAGGTCCGATCGTCAGACATATTTTTCCATCGTTCTTCGCATGGCAATGCACTCGCCATGTCCACTGCTTCTACATCACCTATGGCCTCCTTGGACCAGCGATCAACCTCCGTCCTTGGTAAAATATATCCGCCGCCACCATCGCGTAAGTCATCTCGTTCAATGCTGACCCGGTTACCCTCTAGTGTATCCACCACCTTGCTCCGTGGGACACGTTTGAGTGAGTCGTTACCGTCCATAGCTCCAAACATACTAAACTCCAGCTGCTCCTCACCCTCAAGTTCAAACATGCATGCGGCGCAACAGTTCTTGAGCCGCCAGTCCGGGTGTGAACGACCAAGCTCTCTCAGTACTCGCCGCTCCACGTTTTCCAAAATTGCGATGAATACATCGTAGCAGATGCTGAATTGTTCCTTTAGACTGCTTGCAATCGGGAAAGAATGAAGATCGCATAATGTTCGTACGAAGCCTTGAATCGACAACTGAGGACAGCGAAGGATGGCCGTGTGGAAGATTTCCATGACCCGAAAGGTCACCACCAGTCCAGGCCACTTTGGTGCACAAGGGATCATGCCATTGCGAACTAAACTTTCAATTGAAAGATTACTATTGGGCATACAAAAACGTCCTAGAAAATAACAGTCAGTAATCATCGAGTAGTGGTATTTTTGCAAACGTACTGAATATATCAATAACCCAGATACCATCAGAGGATTGGCCTCCCTCCTCTGCCAACGGTGATTTATCTGCATCTCGCACTAAGACCCAGTCCATATATGCATCTGTCATCGGTTCCAGCAACATCTTGAAGGCGTCGACGTGCTGTTGCGTACGATTGCGGTGCTTGCGGACATCTCGCCACCGTCTGTTATGCGGATATTGAGTGTAAAAAGGTGGATGTTCAGATCTAACGCACCTTTGCCGTTTCTTCCATTTTTCTGTCAGCTTCTCTCAAAGATCTCTCGCTAGCTCAAACTCCCTGCCTTCATGGCTGATCTCCATAGTTTCATCCCCACGCAATATCCCGTTCATCCTGGCTACATCTTCTATATCCTGCCAGGAGTTCGAGTCGTAGTCTTCGTCATCTTCGGGGTGGTCTGAGGCCGCTGATAACTGGATCTTCTGGCTCTGAATTTCAGCCAGCTGCTCTGGCGTCAAATCTGAGTAAAATCTGATGAGTTACATTGTGGCACAGACAAGTCTACTATCAAATCCCACTTTTTAGATGCTCTTTCTCAGCTGCTTTTGCAGCACGGGTGCATTTTTCAACAGCCTTGCAGGAGTGGAGGACACTTTTCGTTCGATTCCCTCGGATTGAAACAGGAAGCCGTATCTTTGAGGAAGAACTGGAGGCACAGTGAAGGCCCATGATGAGGGCCAGTTGACTAGTCGATGCGTTGTGATGAGGGAGAAATAGAATGAAGTCAATGACCACGTGATGATTTCCTCACACCGGATCCCGTTCCGGTTCCCAGTGACTGAGCCCATCATCAACTCAAACTCTTCGTTCAACGTGTTCAGTGTCATAATTACTATCTGTATTCTTGTATTCTGAATCTTTATGAGTGTATCTATGATTTAAATGAGTAGCAATATTTTCCTGCATTTGAGTATTCAATGAGACAGAAATTTAGGTTGGACTTCTAGATCACGTATTTAGTTCGATGTCACATCAACCTCTCACTCTCATCCCATCAACTTGTTCATCTTATTGCGACTTCCTCATCCCTCGGCTACCCTTCAAACTTCGCACAAGAACCACCATCAATTGTTCCAGTAAATAGAAACTGGTTGCATAGTAATAACTGGCTTATTCCGCTACCTAGGTATGGGCAGTCGTTAACTCGCCACGTAAGACAACAAACCTCAAGGCAATCGCATTTGACATCCTCAACTGCTGTTAATAACTCAGTATAAGCCCATGGGTGACAATGAGAAGCGGCGACAGTCTCGGAAGGAATATGAGAACAGGTGCGTGTGCACAGATGCCCAACGAAGCTCTTCAAGTTTTCACCACTCCATTCAATCAGAAACAAGGATTCATGAAGAGAACAGGCACGTGAGGCAATGAGACGGTGATTACCTACTTTCTTGCGGGTGTAGTAGTTTAAAATACCTTTTTCCAGGCGCAGAGAGCGTGTTAAAGCAATGCCGCTCGCAGACCAAGAGTCTGTCAAGGCACGACAACGTGCCACGCAAGCGAAGTATCGAAAGGCGTACATAGCTATTCTGTCTGGAGGTTACTCTCAACTGACTGTTTGTTTCATTAGTAATCAAGAAAAACTTCGACTGAAAGCTGACTCTCGGCGATGGATGTGAGTTTTGAATAATCACATATCTAGCTTCAAAGACTGACGGAGGATCGGAACACCTTTAGGCTATTCATGGAACAATACGAGGATGATCCAGGCAAAATGCCTGATGACTGCATTCACAGACGAGGCCATCTGTACCACCCTGAGGACTATCCACTTGAACTTCAACCTGAGGGATCGCAGGATGCATAGTTGGGTTGTTCGCAAAATGAAGCAAGTTTCTGTAATTTTCAGTAGTCATATATTGTACGAGTTGCATTGAATCGCGTTATCAATAAGTAAGAGAAGCACTAGAAACTACATGTTTACATGGTGACCGTGTCGACGAGAATACCCTTGAATACCACGTGATGGCGATTGATAATCATCACTCCCGACCTCCTGCCATGATGGCCTTGTCCTTCAATCTCCCATGTAGTCACCGGTTCTGGTAGCAGCAAGAGAATTTGTAAGTACTCCTGCTAGTTAGTGCACACAAGACAGAAACCTTTGGTTTTGGTCTATTTCATAGAATATCGTTGAATTTCAAACCACGCAATCAGGCATCGTTGTTTTTCTAACAAGGTGACGCGTTTACGTGCCGGTCATGTGCCTTTGTTGAGTTCAGCTCATGGAATTTTGTCCTTGGAAATACCTGTGTTTTGTGTCAAACATCCATGGACTCCGATTTTTCTGACTTCACTCACCATTTACCGCTCCATTCCTTGACAAACCAAGAACTCAGTCACTCCGACTATTCTCTTATGGCTCTGCTTCACTCAGATGACTACGACCTCCACAGTCTGGGCTACAGTGATCCCACCCTAGGATTCAATCTCCCTCAACTTCCAAGTCATGCATCGCTTACCTCAACTTCGAACGACCAACGCAGTCTGCCGCAGGCAGAGAACTCAAATCTAAGTCTTGGTTTTCCCATAGGAGGTGGCATCATTGACTCCTCATTTTCTACGGTCTGTCTCCTATACTCGGTTGAAGAATAGAGACTTATTGACGACTGCTACAGATAAACACGAATTTTTATGCTACTCGACATGCTGAGGACTTGAATGGATGGGAAATCTGTTCAACAGCAGCACATGACAATACATCGATGATAGGCAACTTCAACGACCCAGGGCCTTCGATTTCAAGACCTATTTGCCCACGAGATCCAGTTCAAGTGCCAGCATCGAAATTCATCACTTATGATCCCGCAAAGGAGAAATCCACTACACGAGGTGATAAAGGTAAACATTCAAACAAGCCAGTTGCACCATGGTCCATTCCTGCTTCATCGAACTTGCTGATTCCTTCTCATCGTGACGTACTGGAAGCGGCGATAACAGCACCTGTGCCATCGATGATGCAGCCAGTGTCTTTGACTTCTACTGCTGAAGACTTGTCGTTGTCTCAAGAGTCTTCCTCTATAGTCTCTCCTACCTTCGCTGTCGGTGCCAGGCCTGGTCCAAATGACATGCTTATCCCGACACCAATCGATGCAACTGCGCATTCCAGAATGGCCAACGAGGAACGACATTCACTGTCGGACGATTCACAAGCCAGGGCGGAATCTCCAGAACCGAATACCTTAGAAGATGACATCAAAGACCGCTGGAAGACATGGGCAGGTCGTAATCCTACAAAGGCCAAGATTCCTATACCGCAAAGAAAGGTTCGGAAGGGCCATAATAACGAGGCGAGGAAGATACGTGAGAGCGAACAGCAGGCAAAGAGAGAGGCCATGGCGAAGGAGATCGAAGAAATTCAGGAGCAGTATTATGAACAGCTCCGAGAGGTAGGGACGAAGTACGGGCGATCCTTTGAGACGGTCGTGAATTATGTCTCCTACTCTTCAAGGTACAAGAAGCAACGTGCGCCCTCTCTATACCTTGCCAAAGTCTCGGCAAAGGCTGAAGAAATCAACAAAGGTAAGCTAGAGCCTATAGACTATTTCTCATAACTGAATACTACTGAATACGCTCACTTCAGATAAGCCAATCGGTGATAGAGTTCATTTGGATGAGATTCGGAAGATGGTCAAAGATGAGGAGGACGCCTCGGATTATGAAGGTATGACAAAGGACGAGGAGAAGGCCCTATTGGACCGTCTGCTGGAAAAAAGGACCATCAAAGTTCAAGGGGCACGAAGGAGTAATGAAGGAGCAGCCGTAGACTGCAGGCAAGTTATCAACAGTGTAAATTGTGAGGTAGGGGTTCTCTAGTACATATCAAAACTGTCGTATCCGACTCGTATTCATGCATAGTACTGAAACTCTCCGTAGATCGAAGGATTGGCTCACCGGACAGGTGCCCAGTTTGTGGGATTCATGTCGCGTAGCGATATTCATGACACCTTTCAACCAACCCTTGTAAGTGATTCACCAGCTTCACTGACATTCTTCAAGCGCATCGTCGGGATGAGCGCCGAAGAAATTCTTGTGAAGTTTGAACAATTCTGTTGCGCACAGAGTTTGAGTACGTCCTTCGCTTCACTATCTGTAATAAGCTACATCTCATGCAAACTCTATAGACATGAATGACAGAGAGGATTCGAAGGATGTACGAGTGCAGTGCACGGACTTGATCTTACAGGGACTGCATACGTTTCGCTACTCAGTGATTGCATATTTAGTGCTAATGAGACCGCATTTACTTAGGAAATATCACAGGCGAAAAGAATCTACGAATGAACTATGTCAACTACGAAACGGACATCGTTGCTCGTCACCATGTCAAGATCGATGGCTGGCCGATTGGTATCAAGTTCGAGAGTCTATCTAACCTCAAGAACCTGCAAGATCTGAGACGACTCCGCGATGCGCTCAAGACGACAGCATGTAAATGGGTTTCAATGAGCCAAGCACAGATTGACAGACATGCAAAAGAACTCGAACGTTGCGAGGAAGCCGGAGAGATAATCAAGAAAAAGAGGCAGGAACGCTCAGATGCTCATACCACCAAACCCAAGAACGCTGCAAAGAGGAAAAAACGAACCCGAAACATGGACAACAACAGCAAAAGCGACGAGCACGAAGAGCGGGAGGACAGCAACGGCGACGGCGAAGAAAGTAATAGTGAGAATCGGATGCTACCTCGCAAACACCCATGGCGGTCTTCCAAGGAGAATGTCGCCTTCAGAAGCTGTTCAGTCATCGATGAAGATAGTACTTAAGAATATATTTATGGCGCCTTTCCCACTGTAGCTCATTGTAAATCTCGTGATACATGTATGAGTGGCAATAAACACATCTCAAATATTTATTTCCCATTTTTCTGGATTTTTTAAGTCACAAATGCGCCCAGCAGATGCGACGCGACGCCAAAGAGGCGGGATGCGCATCTGGGCCGACGAAATTGTTGTACGGGATGGCGGATCCAGAAGCCAATAGGCGGGAGCTGCTGCCGATAGATAATGCCATCGATAGTACTATTTCTGCCTTAAAGGTGGGGCACTATTCGAGTGCTATTGAGGTGTAGGGTACTACAATGAAAATCACTATAATAATTGCGTGCCCCTGACTACGGTGATACCTATTATATCAGTTGCTATGCGGGTCGATCAGGTGATCCACACTTAAGGGCCTGGAAAACGGAACAAACAGGGCATGGGGTGGCAGTTGAAGAAGGGGGACTTGAAGCAATCAAAGTTCATGCTGTCTGCTGTTCAGAATATCTCGGGGCGTATAGAGGAGTTAGGATGTCCGTGTTATCTTTCAGGTCCAAAGGACATATCCTGGTTCATCCTGGGCGCTCCTGTAATACCAGTGGTAAGAAAGCCTTGTCCTCCTACAACTGCCATTTCATGCTAACATGATATATACCACTCTTGTAGACTGACATTTGGTTCTCCGTCGACCTTAGCGATGGGATGACACTAGACGACCTATTCCAAAAACTCAAAGTCGTAAAATGAAGCAACAACACGTTCAATTACATCGATGAAAAGTCCCAACGGATCTGCAAAATCCTCATCGAGCAGGCCCCACCCCCCGAAAGCCTCGGTCTACACCCGGCATTGGCGTACGGTTTAACAAAAGATGGGATACCTATCTACAACCCCGGGCACACCCTCTTCTCCCACTTTACGCAGCCACGTTTGCGGAACGCGATCTTGGCCGACTACGGGCTCCCGGAACGAACGTACGAGCAGATCGTCCCTGTGCTGAAGGATCTTTCAAAGGTAAGTGTGGATCTTCGGAAGGCGTTTCTGGATGGAGAGGAAAGGGATCAGCTCGATGAGTTGGTGAAGGCTGTATGTGGCGTGCATGCGGAGTTGAAGGGGGTGTTTGCGAACCTTGGGTGGTTTGTGATACGTGAAGAAACAAAGGCGGTCGTCAATCCAGCGCTGCCCTCACTGGCACAGCAACAAGAGGATAATCCAAGGGATGATATAGTATTCGAGGCCACGACAATGCCGATGAAGGTGCTCTCCGAAAGTGGTTATCATTGCGTCGTCTCTGGTATGATGGCATCGTATCTTCAGGCTAACGATGCGGAATTACTGTTGCCCGAAGTGAGTTCTGTAAAAGAAATTTCGTCCAGAGATGCTGAACTTTTTTTTCTCCCCCTAGTCAACGGAAATCGCTGTATTCTCTCACGACGATGTCAAAGTCATCCGGAGTCTCCTATCGAAGCATTCTCTGTTCTACACCGGAAGGATAAAAGTCCCAGGATTAGAGACGAAATCGCAGGTCCTCTTTTATAGAGTCCATGGACGCGGCAGGGGAGCGCGGAAATGGACGTTGTGCAAGTGTTTCGGCTTGAAAACGACGGTTTGCAATAAGTATCCAGAAGCTAGGAAGATCCAGCGTATCTTTATCTGAGCTGTAAGAGTCCACCTGATCCGTCAAAGCTTATTAATAGCACGTCAGCCGCGGTACGATGAGCATACATACTCGCTGTTCACAGCATTTGCCTAAGCATTCTTTCTCGAGGTTAGTCAATATACATATTGATATAGGTGTTTCGGCATATGAGGGCTTGTGCACCACTACTTACTATTACATCACAATACAAAACGAACCCTGCCGTTCGCGATTCATACGCCGCTGCCGCTCCTGCTCTAGTTGTCGGCGAACCTCCACTTCACGTAGGAGCCTCGCTTGTTCACCGTAATCAGCAGCCCGGAAGGGGTCGACGAGTACATGGTTATTAGCGTTGGGAGTGGGATTGGTAGTATAGAATCCCCCATGCTCGGTACCCATATGGGGGTAGATGTCATGTTCCGGAAATACTCCCATGCAGTGCCAGCAAATGTGGGACCCGCAGCTGAAACGTAGTTGTCAGTCAAAGCTTGGGCATCATAGAATTTCGGAGCACGAACAGCGGGCACTTTATGTGGTTACAACCGGCAATCTTCTCTAGTAGGCACGAACACGTTGGACATTTCTTGATTCCGTTCTGTTGCATGATCCATGCCTCGCTTAACCTCTCCTGCTCAGCTGCAGTGTTAGAATTTCGAGCCTCTTCACAGCTTTTCCCTATGTGCGAATCCTCACCACAGGATGAGCATATTTCGGAGAAGCACGACGGACAGCGCAAAAGAGATGCAGATTTCGACTTGCGATAGATCTGGGTGCAATCTGGTGTCTTGCAGTAGCCAAAAACCTGAGGCTGCTTGTCGATGTATGAAGTGAACACCGTTTCCAGGAGATGTTCGAAAAAGCTTTGAGGCAAGAACTTCTGGATGACAGGAATGGATATCGGAGCGCCACAGGTCGCGTCGTTACCCATGCACACTAAAGGGAATATACCTGTCTCCGCTGCGGACGTTAAGAAATGCCGGATGCATGCGGTACAGTAGACATGCCGACAGACTAGCTGGAACGGCGCGGAGGCCTCATCATAACAGACAGGACAGGTATGAGTTCCCGGAGCAACTTGGACGACAACCATCTTTAGAGACTCAGCGATGTGGTTGTTCAGGTGGAGCCTGACTTCTTCGCCACCTCGGATGGTGATTCTGGCTAAGCGGATATCAAGGGTAACGCAGTCGTCTCCGAATACGTCCTTCATCGCACTAAGACCAGTACGGAGGAAGTATCCCACCGATCGACGCTCCAACTTTACTGAAAACTGCAGCGACATAAGACGGTCGAGTTCTTCCTTCAGGATCGTCTTGGCTTGTGCGATGGCTACAGAATTTCCGTACAGTTTAATTGCATGCTTCCTGAAATCTGCTCGCATAAAAGCGCCCACATCCGTAATCCTCTTCGTCAGTTCAGCTGGCGGTCGTACAAGATGTTGGTGCCATTGGTCTGACTGTTCACCAGCTGCGAGACTCTCGACACGTACTTTGAGAGCACCGACAGCTGCTCTGACAGCTCCCGACACCTGAATGCTGTAGTCCCCTCGAGACATTTGACGAATAAAGAGTTCACATGCTTTATGATCTTTGATACTCTGCCGTAATTCCGTCCAAAGGCTAGCTTGGGCAAGATACTGTTCTGGTGGGATGATAATGGTGTAGAGCTCCTGTGGTGGTAGTTTGAACCAGAACATAGAATCATCAATGAAATCAAAACGTCGGTTGATCAAGGCATCTTGGACTTTTTTGGCGCTTTCCCAGCTTTCGAAGCGAACGCGTACGGAGAAGATTCCAGCTCCAGTGTCGCCTCGGGAGGCTACATTGAATGACTGAACCTCAACACCATCGATGTAATCGATTTGCGATCGTAGCCGAAAGGAGGCGATATCGACGTCGAAGCTGTGGGATTTGAGAAGCCTGACATCCTCACCACTGTATTGAATGAAGTCGTATATCAAAGTGGGAGAATTATCAGGAGGGAGATTGGAAACCTTGATGGTATTCCGTCGGAAACTGGGAACGTATCGGCCTGGAGGTGGTTGGTTCATCTCGACCTTCACCCTCCTGCCGGAACAAATGCGACCATTTAGTTCCACCACCTTTGAACGACAAGTCGCCGCGTCTGGATACTCGACGATATAAGTCGCAGACGGAGCACGGCAGGAGATAGTGAGAACATTCTCATCCCCAGGCGCCAAGGCACCCATACCACCAGGCTGATTGAATACGCCAATTTCAAATTCCAGTCTTTCGTCTCTGAATTCCATCCCTTCAAGCGCTGCGGCCAACGTCTGCGCGACTGCAACAGATGTGACGACATTGACATCCTGCCTCCCGTAGCCGGTACTGTGTACGGATACGACGTGGAACTCGGACACATCGAGGCCTTGCTGAGTGAAGAGATCCCCGATTTCATTCGGGCGGGCATCGCGAGGAATATTCCTTGACTCGGATCCTGCAAGAGTCGAAGCCGGCGATTATATTCTGAATGGCGAGGCCGGAGCTGAAGGTAACGATGGACCCGAAGACGATACACTGGTGGGTCCGCTTGGCATCTATTGTGCGCTGTTCTTCATCAATTCGACGCTGTTCTTCTTCCTGACGGAGACGGGTTTCCTCTCGTTGGCGCCGCTCTTCATCTTTTTTCCTCTGGGCTTCCTCTTGGCGCAGTCGTTCATTTTCCTTTCTAACTTCTTCGGCTTTCGCTTCAGCTACTTTGACATGATTTTCTCTATCGAGGCGGCGCTGTCTGGAAAAGCCTAGGGCCTGTGTTAAATGTTAGTGGTTAGGTTATAGTCTCAAAGGGAATGGTGTACGTTAACATCGTGGGCGAACCGACACGTCTCCCCTCTGGTGCAAGTTCCTTTCATCCACGCATAGCATGGATTTTTGTTCGCCTGTGGAAGAGGAACAGCTGAAAACAATGGTGTGCGATTTTCTCCTTCTGGCATCTGATTCTCTCCAACCGATTCGTATCTCATCTTGAAATCGTTGATTAGTTGATCAACATCAAAACGCGATTGAGAATGAGAAGACGACCCACTTTCGGACCATGCTCAAATCTGCATGCCTCTCCTTTGGCACAGCTTCCCTTCTGCCATGAGAAACACACGCGGCTCTTTGAGTTGTTAACGGCTCGGTGATCACGAGGCTCTTGAGACGAGTCCGTATTAGCTTGACCACTAACAGCATCAATGGCTGTATTCGTGTGACGATGGTCAACCGGCTCAGCAATACTTGACCGTCCACCTTTCTTACGGCTTTGAGCCCGCTTCTTGTTCGGATTCTGTCCTTGATTCTTGTTGGTTTCCTGTTTGGTTGCATCAATACGAGTCATAGTGCAATTGTTGGTCACCAAGACGTACAGATACAGGGTTTGGGTGCTGGTTCTTACATCCTGAGCCATATTTGCAGCTGCCCTGTTGGTAGAAACGGCATATAGGAGCATTTGGACTCGTGGTCGACATGAGTGTACAGAGCAAGATCGATGGAAGCAATTAGACGCCCGGGTGGGCATGCGTAGATAAGGTTAGATCCACCTGACTGCACTGAGGATTTAATGTGAACGAGGAATAATAGTATCGCCGTGCAGGTCTGGTTGGGTTCTGTTTGATCAGTAGGCTCTTGTGTGTCCCTGCAGCACAGCTTGGATGATCTCTGTGCAATCAGATCAAGGAAGCTGGACACCTCAGAATTCGGAAGATCGTCAGGTCTATGTTTATGAGTGGAATGGGTCAAGCCTTGGTGATTTAGCAGATGATGTGGTATGCATTGAGGCAGTATAATGGTACAGATAGCCTAGGAATGAAATTGTTAGATGCTGGTCTATCATGAAGGAATGAGTGGGTCACTCACAGCGTACATACATGCAGCGACAAGTCGACACGTCGTCATGATTTTGCAGCGTTTTTCGCTTCTGCTTGTAGTTTGGACTGCATGACGTTCAAAAGATATGTCATATTCTCCCGCTTTTTGCCAATGGTATCCTCGAGGACAACGAGGTTAGTATTCAAGTATTCCACCTTGTCAGAATAATGTTTCACAGCCTCAACCCGCGACTAAACAGCATCGTGAGTTTCTACACAGACCGATATGACACAGAAGCGTACCTTCTGCACATAATATCCGGTCCCAACATCAACTATGACACTCTCAGTGTCGCATATTTTACCAGGAACGTAGAGAGAGTTCGTCAAAGGCACTAGTATAGTGTTATCTAGACCGAGTCCCGCGTCAATCCCACAGAAGAACGAGGAGACGCCCATACCTTTATTCTGAGGCTTTAGGTCGCCGATGTTTTCAATGCAAGTCTTGAATTTCACTTGCGCTTGCTTCAGCTGGGCGAAAGAGCTGGTAAGGTGGCCGAGTTCCTACAAATTCAGTGTTAGGGCAACCTTGCAAGTTAGTAACTTTTTCCCTGACCTCTTCAAGCTGCTTCCGTACATCACCCAGCTGGTTAAGATACAAATCCGCGACATTTACTTGCTGAGCTTCGGACACATTGGATGGGAATCAAGGAGGAACAGCGCGTCGTCGTTTGAAGGTAAGATGTAATCGGCTATGATTTTTGCGCTGAATTTCTCGATCACATCTCCAAATCGGGCATATTATGACGAAACCACTGTCAATTGTTTTATTTTCACCCCTAAATTAATCTCTCTCTTCCTCCGCTGCTTATTTATTCTCGTCGTCGTCGTCGTTTGCGTAGTCACCATTATCGAGGACCTCAATGTCCGAGCTGAGATGCCCTCAGGATATAGGTGCAACGTTATTGATTGGAGCATCAAGGCCAGTGATGGTGCGTGCACAAGACTAGAAAGTGGTCGTCTTCTAATCGCCTGCAAGATGTGTCGCTGGATAGCCTCGAGTTTAGTGCGTTGCCTAGCGGTCTTCATTTGGTAGAGCAGGATGTCATGTACGTTTCCATTTCACTTTCTCGTCGTCATCTACTTATCTCTACTTAGTTACATCACCAAGGATGGGCGGCATGGTGTCTGTGTCTTTCGTCGGAGGAAAACGACCGAGCAGGGACATCGAGGCTTCCGGCTGCCCTCTCTTGGAATTCTGCTAGCCAAATCTGCACGTTCAAAACCGTGGCGGCATCTTTCCGCCCTGAAGGACCTTGTTGCGACTATATATACCCGCTTGGAGATTTCTGAGATCCTTGAGCCCACTGACGAGGACTGGGAACCAGCCCGGGTCTTTTTTGAGGAACACAAGGTCGGGCAAGACGACCTCGGGGGCGCTGGGCAATGGAATGGATGGAGCTACGAGTTTGACGGGGTGCGTTGTTCTACACCGGAAGGATAAAGTCCCAGGATTAGAGACGAAATCGCAGGTCCTCTTTTATAGAGTCCATGGACGCGGCAGGGGAGCGCGGAAATGGACGTTGTGCAAGGTCCATTTCGTCATGGCTCAGGGATGGATATGGTACGAAACAAAGGATGGACTTTCTTTGGTATCGTGATCCACGCTGCTTGTCGATATGCTACAATCGTGGTACGACCATGTGCTCGAGGAGTCTCAGGAGGTGGGCAAGTATGCAGCGTATGTCTTAGCTTTGCTGAAGGCAGTGAGTGAGGAGGAGAATTGTGCGTCATCGTGGGCCAGGGAATTTCTTAAAGATGATTTAAGAAAGGTTCAAGTTGGACTATTTTGTCTGACATTTAAGGAGAGTAAAGACGCTTGGCGCGGGCTTGGATTTAGCATCGTAGAGTTGTATAGTCGATTCTTTACAGTATGATCATCGGAAAGCATAGTCTGTTAACTGGGATTCAGAAGGTAGAAGTGCATTCCCTTGCCAAGTCGTACAAGACGTTACCATCTTCACGGCTCTTTATGCGTGAAAAGGTTCCCTCGCCTTGATGGAAGTCGCCATTTGGAGCGGGTGTCGCGACTCGGAGTTTACCGTTGTACTGGCTGGAGATGATAGTGGGGTTCGAAAGTGTAGTTATTGTATGAAATCTCCAGGACAATGGCCTCTCCGTGACGGTATCCTAGCGAGACGTGGTGGCGGTGAAGGGGAAGACAGAAACAGTTCGGACTCGGGTTAGGGTTTCTCCTTACATACTTCCTGCCATTATCGTTATGCTGTCGTTGTCGCACAACCGCTCTCAGCGAAGATCAGAAAATTGAACGTGTTAGCCATCTCTTGACAGGTCTGACTTAGGCTCTTTTTTATCATACTCTGGGCACTTACGCAGAAGACCAGTTTACACGATTTTCGCGCTTGCAGTGCTAAGTGTCGTACGGACCAAGGCGTCGTTTTTCTATAGCCCACATTCTAGCCACCACCTCCACTGGACTGGGGACGACCTGAAGACACGAAAATCTCCAAGATCATTCTTCCCCGTATTCACAGCCCTATGACACGCGTACGGCTGCCTGCTGGGATGGGTGGCAGAGCACATAGATGCAGGCCCTCAAAGGGGAACCGTGGGACGCTGGTCGTTTTCCGTAGGCGAACGCGTCTCCTTGCCATATTTCCTGGTCCGTTATGTGATAAAGTGAAAATTGCATGGGCCTCTTGAAGACCAGTATCTTCACGGCTCTCTATCCACGAAAAAAACCCTGGAAAGCGTTTAGGGCAGCGACTCAGAGCGAAGAGCTTGAACGTCGTACTGTCAGGAGATGATGGTAAGGTTCGAAGTGTTATTATCCATCGCAGCATGCAATCTCCAGGTCGAGGATGGGGTGGCCCGCTCGTGGCGGTATCCTTGTGAGCTGCGGTGGCGATGAAGGAGAGCGCGAAAACCAGCTCAGACTCAGGTTAGGGTTTCTACTTGCTTCCTGCCATATTCCTGATTCCTCAGTCTCCCGTCGGCTACGTCCTTATCTCTTAGCGAGCATCGAAAAGTTGAACGTGTTGACATTTTAATCACTCTCATCAATCTTCTGTACCTACAACTTCCCAATGGCACGGCTGCCTGCTAGGATGACATACGGCAGAAACGTGCAAGACAGGAAGGAGACTGACTAGGTTGCCGGACCCAATGGTACCAAATAACGTTGAGCAAGGGAGAGACGCCAGGATTTCAGATGCAGGTATGCTGTACATAAACGCCGGTGCTCGAGCTGAACTATCATAGCTGATAGACTCCCGATCTGAAGACACGATTCCTCAAAAATTCCTGCATATAATCGAAGGTCTGCATTGAATATCAGCTCCCGGACAAGACGCTAAAGCACGGCTTGCCTTCTCAGCCTCGACTATGCCATCAATACGGCGTCACCCAACGACGGTTTTGGCATAGCCACCCTCACAAGGTGTCGACCTCCTGCTCTGTGTCGCGATGGAGTATGAAATGTCCACGGTTTGTTTCCTTTCCGCCTTGGTCACTGACGGTGCACTAATCTGCATTTTCGTCAAGGTTTGGAGATGCTGCTAAGGCTTTCATACCGCTCGACTGCGTATTCATATGGCCGGATTTGACGTTACGTTCCCTTTCAGCCACCTCTTCATGTCTTCAATATTTCGCTCCTGTTACCCAACTCTCGCCCAGATACACTCTGTAGACCAATACTCCTGACCACGGTAGGGAGGAGAGAACGTCTTTCAGCGTCTGCATGTGCTGCATTTATAAAGCCTACGTCCTCATTTTGTCACATTTCATGTCGATGGTGTTCTTCCTGCGAAGATTTCGCTACGACCACAGCGGGCGATGAGCCTGAAAGCTGCGTTACGATCCGAGCGTAGCTAGGGGCGATATGCGAGAAGCATTGAAGGCTGGCGGTGGTGTTCTCAGCAATACTGGAGGACGCTAGCTGGCTGATTGCGCATTTGGAAGCCAGGAAGCAACGGGCCAGCTCGTTCATTACCGGTTTCGGCCCTTCGTTCGGAACGCAGTGCTCAGTGGACACCCGACTTTGACCCTCCACTCTACAACTATCACCAACTAAAGCACCCAGATCCACCTTGCCTCGATGGGTTTATTCTTCAAACAATCCACTCGAGATCCTAACAAGTTTGAACGCCCATTTCCTTCAGCGTAATGACTTCCTCGCGCCCCATTCCTACATATCCAAGGCTCGAAATCAACGTCCTCGAAACTGCACGTATTTTTATCAAACTCGGGCTTCAGAGCGGGGTTATAGTTTTGTCAGAGATTTCAAGGTGCCGAACTGGGTTCTCAAGCTGAAAACGACGAAAATCAGCTCTGCGTTCTGGCGGGGTTCCACTTGACGTAACGAAGGACGTCCACTTTTTTTCTGAGAAGTAGAAGGAGGCAATATGAGAGTCATGTCGCGAGACGATGCATGTTGGGCCTTCGTCGGCTGAGCGCTGATTGCCTTGACTCCGGTGGTGGCGCCTCTGCTATTTTGATTCGCCGCGCCCCACTTCTGATTCTTCTTGCATGTTAGAATGCGCATGACTGTCTTAGTCTGCCAACTCTACTAAATGCGTACAGGGCTCGTGCTTGAATTAGGTAGAGAAGAATGCCGAGAAATGGTTAAAACATTTATCAGAGAACGTGAGTGAGAACATCAAGTTAAGGGCGACGCGATGTGATGTGCGCGAGGTTGAAATGTGATCGGCGTTAGCCAGGCTCACCGGCCGGTCGGGCGGGTGGGCGGCGGGGCACATGCCGTGTCATAAGGATTGGACAAATAGGGAATGAATTCTCCTACCCTCCCCTCCCCATCTCCTTTATCTGCTGGTGAAACCGTTTCGTTGGCATCTGCTGCCTCATGTATCACACGAGGGCAACTCATTGATTGAGTGCAGGTCAAAGATAGAAAGAAGATGTCAAACGATGCTGGGTGTTGGGTGCACATACCACATCCCAGCTTGTCTTCAAAGATCATAGAGGGATGTCCCCTCAGCCAGGTCAGTTTTCCTCGACCCACTTTCTCATTTTTTTTCCTTCTAGCTTCTTACTGACAAGCAAGCCTAGCCAGCCTACTTGAACGTACACTTGTTGTTCAGTGACTCTAGGTTTTAGCGCCCGGGTTCTCTGTGTCTGTCAAATCCATGATATTTCTCGCCACCACTGTGATACTTGCCACTCACGACCATTTAAGGGACCAAAGTAGCATCGAGGGTGTCAGCTTTGTCGTCGTTCTGTCCCATTATCGCGGAGGCCGCCCATCAGATTTACCTCGCACCTGGTAGGTTTCACTTACATTTCAGAGTTCTTGTCTAATCCTAGCTGACACAAAGGGCATTCATTGTTATCTCGGCTGAGAGTATGATGGAACCTTGACATCTCAAAGCTTAGCGTGACTATTGCCGACGTCAATGCGACATCACTTGAGAACAGCGCTGGATGCTTACCTCGGGACTTTGAGGCCACCGAGAACCCGCCTCTCTCCCGGGTTATCATCAACATTACCGTGATGGTCCTGTTGAATATCAGTAACTCTACCGTTCCATCATCCAGACCTACTTCCCGAGGCCAACACTATAGTTCGTCAGACCCTTATCGAGGTTGCACAGTGGCACGTGAGCGCTAGGAAAACGGCAAATACAATCTTCGTGGTATGTTCACATTTTCTTGCTTATCGCATACGTACTACTTCCCTGTTATAGGACTTCGAGACTATTCATGCTAGTGCTTGGTGTGTGATCCTAGGCCCCGCTTGACGGAGGAGACGAGTCGAAGACAACGAACCATTATGGAAAGACGAGGACATCTCGATACATTCGCGCGCTGCTCACAACCATGAGTTCGTGAACTGCGGCGGTGGCACTCCCCTTCTCGCTCTGACCAGCACTGTGGATTCCGAAAATCGATCGGGTTGTTTACACATATATTACACGATGGTGGACCCTCCGGGGGTTCAACAAAGTCGAGCTACAGATCAACAGCAATGACTAGGGAGAGGGGGCCTGCTAAATGATTGAAGGTTGGTGTTGTTACAGATGCTGCAGGATGAAAGCTAATTAGTTGCGCATGTCGACATAGAAGATGACTTGCAGCACCTACAACCATCCCTCAAATAACGGTGTTCATTCCTGGTTGCGTCCTCCCTCCTGACTGTGGTTCCCTCAAGGCCGCTTCAAGTGCGCTCCTGAGTGCCCTGACTTTTGCCAGCTACAACAGTCGATTTCAGCACTTCTTTGCATAACGACTGCATAGGCATCTGTACCTGGAGTTTTTTCTTCAACTTGTCGATCTTTCGCTGGAGTTGGCGTGCTTTGACCCAGATAGGCCTGGCCTTCGACATGTAGCGCTTCCATGAACGAGGGTCTGTCAAGGAGACTTTGTTGTATAACTTGAGATGTTTTTCCTTGAGCTTAGCGGCTCTCTTCTGAAGCCTAGCTGCGTTGTCAGCTCGTTATCAACACGGGGCTGAGTACATACTTCTTGACCGCTTACATCCAAGTCAGTCCAGTCCAGCCAGCATGCGTTTGTTTTTATCATAATATTTGGTTGTATCTTTAGTGGTTTTGTTAAGGACTTTGACCGCTGACTTGGGCGTGAGGGGCGGCAGGGTGCCGGATAGCAAGGATACGATAATGACAGTACGCGCAACCATGTAAAGAACTGTTCCAGGATTGGCGGATGCCATAATAAGATATGCCAATGTCATCCAAATGTTTTCGGGTTGCGCCATGGTGGATCTCGGGGAGAAGATGAGCAATGGAAAATCGATGAGCAAGTCGAGGGGATTTGGCACTTGTGACGATGTGACTATTGGTGGGCCTAAATCCCGAAGTCGGAAGTCAAAACTGAATGGGGATAAAGACTACTTTTACTGTCAATATTTCAATGTTAATGTTCATTGCACCTTCTGCCAGCCGGTGAATAAACCTAATAAAGCAGGACCTCTCGCTGGCCCGACGTTGACCGTCTTGAAAACCCTACTGGATTACTAAATATTCAATCGGCCAATTGCGCCGATTCCTCTTCTCCTTCCATCTTCATATCTTACCAAGGACATGGCATGCACGTCCTATTTATCTACCTGCTAGTCACGCCTCTAGCGCTCAAGAAGCTCATTGATACGATTTCCTCAATACGTACGACAACGAACAGGGAAGGGCATCGTGGCAGCAGAAAGTATGCATAAACAAAACGTGCATGTAGCTAGATTAAGAGACGACTCTCGCACGTAGTCATGGAGAACAATAGTGGAGAAAAGACATCCCTTTGTCGACCATGGAAGCATATGTACAACGGAATTCCCAGAAGGAAAATGTTAAGGCGCTGCCGTCAGTCTGCGGACGTGTGATCTGCGTCATAGCGCAAGGGGGAGTATGCTCAACGGACAGGCTCGGTAATACATGATTATCATTATTTGCGCCACAGAGGCCGAGCTAATGGTGGGGTTCTTGTAGTCACCAGTTCAGGCCTCTCGCAATATCTGGGAAGTTGGCGGACACTTCGTATTTGGTTATCCTGCAAAACTGGTTGACGACCTTGTCGGACGAGCGGTCCAGAGTCCCTGACTCTCTAAAGACGATAGTACGAGCCATAGACTAGTGTCCCGTACCCAGTAACTGAAGAAGATCCCTGTGTCGCATTGCAAAGATCGATTTGCTTTAAAGGAGGAGGACTACGACATTGGAAGGATCGTCGCATGCAAGTAGCACAAAACTCTCGTTGACGAGTCCGAAGATTGAACTGCTGCCTTGCACTATTCAGTTTGAGACCAAGCGGAGCGGAACAAGCAGAACGTGCGATGCTCAGAATTCATACTTGTCCTCTTTGGGGTGGATACCGAGAGAACGAATATATGCTGGGAAATTCGGTCGTACAATCCACCTGAAGATTAGATCAAGGCTCCAAGGCGTAAAAAGCGGTTACAATATCAGAGGCCCGCCTAATTCCTAGAACCGTAGTAGATCATCATAGAGCTGAGAAAAAGATACGTTCGACGCGCTTTGGGTACCTTTATCCTGGCACTGGAGAGGAGAATATTTGAAGGCCTTACCGAGAAACCATGTCAATGAAGCCAGCCTTTCTTGACAATCTTGTGCGCCTATACAATGCCGCGTACTTGTAATGAGAGAAGCGTCGGCCTGATGCTTGTTCTTCTAGTTTCTCAGCCTGGACCTTAATTTCCTAGAGGATGAGGTAACCAACGAACTCGCCTGAAAGAAAAGCATATTCAGGACTCACTGAACGTCTCCTGGACGAGTCTTCCTCGTTTCTGTCTCATGAGAAGCACGTTTCGCAACACCGTCAAGAAGTCTATGCACTGAAGTCGCGATAGTTAGTCGTGATAACAAAGAGAGCACCGCTGTACGCACACGCTTTCACTAAGTCGTCGAGATTACTGTTAAAACCTAATTGATTGACGCAGTAGACTGCATCAGGAATGGCCGGCATATTGGATTTTGCCTGTCTTAAAATTAATCTCTTCGGCTTAAGCACATCGATGAACGCATCTCTTCCAGCCCTAGCGGCGACACGAGGAAAAGAGAAGCAACTCTGTTTGGGTAGTATACAGCGAGGCTATTCACCACCCTGTTGCCTGGCCTCGTAACCAAGCCCTCTAACAAGGAGAACTTCGTTAGTGGCTCGTAAGAAGAGGAACCGGTTCAGGTCTACATGGTGCCCATCGATAGGCCTAAATCGATCTCGACCTGTTGAACCTCGCGATTCAGCTACGCCTCGTTGAACGAACGAATGGAGTCAATCACTTTGTTGCCCGCCATTGGAGTACATTCTAGGCCGCCGACACCTCTTATGCATACGACATCATCCGCATTAGCACGAATCTGCACTGAGTCAACTGAGCCGCGCTGAATATAGCAGGAAGCACACATGAGCTCTAGACGCAAGTTACCCAGCGGACTTAGAGATGGAGACTTGTTTCCATCCTAACGTCCAGGATTGAGAGATGAGCACTGAGCTCCCCCATAGTCCTCCGTGTGTGATCGTCTCAAGAACGGTGTCCCCGACGGCGGAGCGGCAGAGGTTTCCACATGGACTTCCAAATTTCGCTCCTGACCAGTACGCCGTGCCTTGAGTGATTCTTGAACGTCCAAAAGGTCCAAAATACTATCAAATTCCATCAGAGATTTGCCGAACCACATCGCTCGTAGCTTTGACCTGTGCTCGGCCGTGGAACGGTAGGCCAGTCTCCAACGCCGCGCCGCGCCAACCTTCCACGTGAACATTTGTGGGAATCGACCCATCGACGTTCTCCTTTGCTGTGAAGAGCTTGTACAGTGACCGACTCCGAGTCATGGCAATGAATGATAAACGGAACAGGTCCCAATAAGCTAAGACAAGGTCCGGATCTGCCGATGTATTTCTCAGCTAGTAATTCGTGATACCTCTAGCGGATGACGGCCGACATCGTTTAGGTTGTTGATTTTGCAAGTGGCAAACAAGTGGAGACGTCGTCTTTGGACATTCGAATGAATTGTTCCAATTGTTATAGCATACATACATGTGCCGTGGTGCATATTTATAACTAATACGCAATTGAGATGAACGGGCCCGGGGTGACCAAGGAAGGTAGGCTTTAGGTACAGGCTGTCAGATTTGGACGACATGGCATTGGAAGAGAGCATCATACACCTGTAGAGTGACTCATCCAGAAACCTTGGTCCTATCCAGACGTTCTGCCGAAAGTCATAGTCCCTGCAGGTGACAGAGCGCATAGACGCAGGCCCTCGAAGGTGAACCATACTGGACGCTGGTCGTTTTCCATAGGCGAATGCATCCCCTTGCCATATATCTCCCGGTCCGTACGTACTTGGGTGGAAATCGAAGAAAAATTTGACGATGCCCATATCCATGGCTCTCTATCCACGAAAAGATTTGCTCGTCTTGATGAAAAGCCTTTAGGGCGTGAACGTTGAACGTCGCACTGGCTAGAGACGATAGCGAGGGTCGAGAGCGTAGCCATCCATCGCTGCATGCAATCGTCAGACTAGATGGGGTGGCCTGCTTGAGACGATATCCTTGCGAGCTGTGGTAGACCGTGGTGGTGAAGGAGATGAAAACAGATCAGGCTTAGGTTAGGGTTACTCCTTCCTACCACTATCATCTTGGTTTCTTCCATCGTTCCGAGCTGGCTGAAATATCATAGTTGATAGGGTCATGATCCGAAGACACTATTTTTGGAGATCTTTCTGTATAATTGAAGGCGCACATTGGATATCAACTCTCGACTCGACAGTTTGCCTTCTCAACCTCGATTATGCCATGAATACGGCGTCATCCAATGGCAGCTTTGGCATAGCCACCCTCACAATGCATCGACCTCCTCTGTGTCGCGCTGGAGTATAAAACGACTATGGTTTGTTTATATTCGGCCCTGGTCACTGCCGGCGCGCTGACCTGCATTTTCACTAAGGTTTTGAAATGCCGTCAAAGCATTTACAGTGTTCAACTATGTGTTCATACGGCCGGGTTTGACGTCGCTTTGCCCTTCACCCTCTCTACGACATCAATATCTTGCACACCCTAAAGGACGGAGGTGGCCGACATTATATTCATGGCCCGGACAAGTATTCCGGGCGGGTGTGTGAGCTTTGAGAGCCACTTGAACTTAGTACGGTTGATTCTGCTTATACACCATGATACTAACAACTTATACTAGGCCTGAACTCGCCACTCTTGGAAATTTGGGAACGAATGACCTGTGACTAAAGAACGATTCCAAGTTCTGCTCGACTGTCCGGTTATATCCATCAAGCAGCGTCGAGTAAACACGATCAAAGATATACATCCTTTTGGTGACAAAAATTGTGGAATAAGAACCCGCACCCAATGGTACTTTGTCGGCTCCAAGCGAAAGAATGATTGTTGGGTATCAGGTCAGACAATAAGGACAAGAAAGAGTAACCAGCATATGATACACTTCCAGATACCCGTCATATGTTATACATAGCCTTCATATTGCGAACGTTCTTCGACAGGAGTGGCCAGAAATCGAACCGATATGGGATAGTCCGTGACAGCATGAAGATCTCAGATGTCGTCTTTCATTGTATCCTGGTAATCATACCCCTGGCAACTCACAACAACTTTTGATGCTGATTTTCATGTACACGGAAAGACACGGAAGCAATGAAGGAGGTAGAGGGAGGTCAAAATAAGCCACTTCCGGATCCATTATGCCTCTGGTCACGTACTCGTCTTTATTCGCCAAAGAATACCTCCAAGTAAAGAGTCAAAGGAACAATAGGGACCGGTGATTTACATGCATCAGCGCTCATATAAGGAGTGATAGTCAATACATTCGTACACTTTCGTACGATGATTCATTCATGTGTTCAACGATAGTGCCTGGTCCCTTCGCAAGATAGGGGGCGGTTATTCACTTGTCTGCGGGGGTCTTTCTGCTGAGTAGAAGTCAATTTTTGAAGAATACAAATACACGAGAAGAGAAGACGCACCGGAGTTATAGAAGCTCTCGCCTGATATACAAGTTCTATGAGTTGCTCTCCAGCCCTCTGTTATCTTGTGGAGAATTTTGACAAGTAGACCCCACCATGAATTGAAATTTTCGTTGACAATGCCTACGCGTATCTGTCAGCAATCTGGCACATAAGAACTGGTTGAGAAACGACATGGGTTTTGGAACAAGTTAAAATCGCGGTCACATGTTTGACTTTCTCCGAATTTGGACTGGCTTGGCCCGGATTCCGACCTTGTATTTATTTAAGAACAAGCGCGCGTACTGACATCGTTCTACAAGGAACCTGGAAAGCAGCGTAGCTATCAGCCTCCATTTCGTTCTCTGATGGTGATCTGATACGACACACCTAAAACAAATATCAGTGGTCGCAATGGCGATCAGGTTTCCGAGAAGCACTCTGAAGCTCGGAATGGTGTCAATTAGGCCTGGCCGGGTACAAACCGGTACGCTTCAACAGAAAATCATGAACCCTTGTATGGTCGTGAAAGGATATTTGTCCATTCTGCATCAGGCAGGATCAAAGACCTGCTTCACGGTCTGAGGCGAATTTGTTCTGAATGACGATCGGAGGGAGTTGCTCTGAGTGACCTCCCTTCCAAACGACCACCAGGCGCTTAGTACTGATGAATGTCATTGAAAAGTCAGCACGTAGCCGTTTCAGGTTTGGGGGATACATTACAACCCGGGTCTTTGAAAATGATATGTGACTACAGACCAGACTGGAGAGCCTAAGCCTGACATCTCCGGTGCATGGGAATTGATTCACTGCTTTCTATGACAGCTAAATAATGACGTACCTGGAGATATTTTTACTAAGAGTGAAGCTGAGAGAGGTCCGGACTTCATCAAATCATACATTAGGTTTGAGACTAGTTCCTTCCGTGATCGACGAAATTAAAACAAAACCGTCATGTCAACCGGCACTTAAAAATCTGTAAATACCGAAGTGATTTTCATCGATATCACACGAGTGCCCGAACCCGTTTTCCGAAGATTCTTATGGACCAAATCGATCGGCTGTCTAACAACCAAAACGAAAATGGACGACCATAGTCTTGGCCGTGTTATCGTCTGCTAACGCGGGCACACTGTTGTACATACTATTTCTCACATTTCATTCCGTCTACCCTGTTGCGTACGCCCTGTTGCCACCCCTCGCACCCGGTTCAGCAATTAAAACCTTTAAGGAAACTGTCAATGTTACGATTGCCCGTTACAGTGTGTACCAGAGCATGCTGGATGACACGATTGGTTTTGATATCACAAGGGTCTATAGGTAACATCCTCGTCGTTACCTCCCTGCTCACTTATCGTCTAATGATATCTGCTAGGCTTCAAATTGAGGCCTTGACACTCAGAGAGATGCACTTCCAAGCCTACCAAAGACTCTCCTTGACGAGCACTTCTTCTTGGGTTCGCTACGCGAATGACGAAAGAAAGATCTGGGTGACACTCACGAGGATACCAGCGAGAAATCAATGTGTTGAAGGGAGAGCTCAAGGTACAGAATCTGCGTTGTCGTTAATACATGATACGCTGATGCTTGACATACCGTAGATGGCGGTTGTCCAGGCAAAGAAGGGTCAAGTTCGAGTCACCAGAGGGAACCCGGAACACGTCGGAGGTATCCAATCGCCAAGATAGGAACGAACACTTGTCGGTGAATAACTTAGAGAACACCGCCTCAATAGCCTGAAGAAATAAGTTTTGTATAAAGCGACTTCTGCATCGTGATTCCTAGCGCATTGATCTTGTTTCTCCAGATTATTGTATCACCATCGTTTTCTTAATTTTTTTACCTATACTATTGCTGCTTGTTACTTTTAATACACGGTTTGATTTGTTCCATTTACATCATGAGCAGGAAATACGGGTATGTTCCGATCCATCTGAAACGAACTGCCAGTGATAAGTATAGAGAATACTGATTGAGAAAGACACAAACACGATATCCCGTCGATGCCAGCATCATCGCCGATGGTTGACCGTTTGATTCGTATGGTTGCCAACTATTGGCAAAGCACATGAGTAACTAGACTATACATCTGGAGTCTGAATATCAGAAGATGAAGAACAAGCACCGACCATCCAGCTTGTGACCAGGAAATAGGCCGTTAAGACCGTCTTCGTTACGCCACTTTCTGTTTCACTAATGTCAGAATGATTTGGTCGATGTGTAGTATCTGACCTTGCAATGACTAGCGGCATAGCACCCAGCGCTGATAAAGACTCCCGTTGAAAGTTACGACCCGACGATCGAGCCTTTCCATGTTTAGTCCACTGACATGGTTACCTCGGAAGACTCTTTCAAGCTGACTACAATAAATAAACATCGTCTTTTAGCGGGCAAACTTAGTGTATTTTTCCGTTCGCAGAGGAGCGGCGAGTACCGATCGTTGTTGTATCAGATGGCCTAGTACGTAGATATTCTGTGGTTGGAAGGGTGTCAGTTTGATGAGTATGTCCAAACATTCACTGTAATTTCAGATGACGGTGAAACCGGTAAAGCAGCGTTTACGGTAGGATCCATTCTTGGCGTTACCAAGGAGTTACACTTGTACTAGACACTTCGCTTGCCTACCTTATATCATGCCACGGTTTGGCCACGGTCGTGTAGGCCCTAGGAGGCACCAGTGTCGCGTTCTCTTAGATCGCGCAGCGATCATCGTGACTTTGCCGCGAACCGTTTAACTACAAATTAATTTACAACTGCACTCCCGGTTAATTGGCTCAGATGAGCAACATAGGAAAACTGACATACCGTCATGATCTTTATTGCCCTGGCCATATCTAGGTAATCCTAGCATGATTTCAGAGCGTTCAAATTCAACATCCAGACCTTCAGTATCGCAGACCCATCCGATTGGAGTGCCTCGGATCCATCTGGGTAGCGTATCAATTTCTTTAGCGGACGAATAGAAAGAGAAGGTGCAATTACGACATATGAATGAAGGGTAGGCGCCCAGGTCACCGTCAACTCTCAGCCTTGGTTTCACAGGTCTGACGCACATACATTTCACTATACATTATTAACAATCTGTACCTAAAAGCCAAAAAAAAGGGGGGGGGGGGGGGTATGATTAGTGAACCAGTCCTAATCGTCCTCAGAATCGTCCTCAGGGTCGTCCCCACCCTTCTTCCAACCAACCCTCACCAACTCCGCCTCCCACGGAGAACTGACTTCTCGGGGTGCTAGCGGAACGGAAGTCCTGCAACTACTTAGAATAAAATCATGGAGTAATGGGTTAACACTAGAAAAATATCAATGTCGCATCGGTAGCCTGAAGCAATTACACTCACACATCTCCATGCGTAGCAACGCCAAAGTGTGGAGCATCTGGTATCGTAGCCAGGCTAACCGTGACTGCAGCGTCCTTCAGCTGCTGCATGAACCTTTCTGAGTATTCTTGGGGGTATGCGATATCTCCGAGGCAATGGACCAATTTGACAGGGACGCGTATCCGAGAAAGCTGGTCCTTGGTATACTCCTTTCGTTTGATTAAAAAATCCATTGCACCTCTGTCGTACTGCTTAAAGGTCTCCGGAACACACTTCTTCAAGATTAAAGGCAGTGTGATAGCGTCGAGCCTGAAACAACGGTTAGTAATAATGGAACAGGGAGCACAGAGGCACCCACGCCTTCGCTAATCTGCTGGGTTTGTTACTGAAAGATAATTGCTGGATGCCGTAAAATGAGTCAGAGACGGACGCCATATCGAGTTCGTCTGTCTTGAAAGCTCCCTTCCAGCACTCTACTACTTCCCGCCGGCCATCAGCGATATCTGCTGGCTATCTGCAGTCTTAGTCTCTTCAGCTTGAGCACATCGATGAGCGCACCTCCTCCAGCCCCAGCGGCGACACGAGGAAAAGAGAAGCGACTTTGTTGGGGTAGTAGACAGCGAGGCTGATCGCCACCATGGTGCCCACCGACAAGCCCACGATGTGGCAGGCGGGTAAATCGATCTCGTCCTGTTGAACCTCACAATTCAGTTACGCCTTGTCGAATAAACGAGTCAATCACCATAAATAACGAGACGTCTTCAGCAGCCTCCCTCGCACTGTAGCCTTCGGGAATTTCGTCGCTCGTCGTCAGACCATGTAGTCTAAGGTCCAACGCAACGCAGTTGAATCTTCTTATCTGCGGGTCCTCAAACTGTCCTATAGTGTGACTGTAAAACTCGCTGCTAATGGTCATAAAAAACATGTAACTGACGTTGAAAGATCTGTTGTCCGTAGTAAATCGCATGGATGAACAGCAACGTCGGTAGACATTTATCGATAGACGTAGCCGACGAAGCTGAGGGTGTCGATATTGTGTAGTTAAACGCAATCTTTCCGGTACTCGACTCGACCTTGGCCGTAGGCATCCTGACAGATAGAAGTTGAAAGCGTGGGGAGGTCGAAAGAGATCGATTTTCTTAAATTGAATTGCATCCGTTCCCCACCGCCTTGTGAGAATCCTTGTATTCATGTGTCGACGACGAAGGTATTTCCAACTCATAGTGTCCGGTATCACCTCCGATCTCCAAGCGCACATGAGATTGGCTCGTTCGAACAGACCATAGGGATGGCTATGTATAATCTTCTAACGGACCGAATCTATAGATTTGAGCGGAAACGAGCAATGACAGTTGCTTCAATGAGACGACGGAAAAAAACAGCACACTGGCCCTGAAGGAAGGACCGTTCAAAAGCCCCACCTACATTGGACTCATGGAAGAAGTCGAAGAAGGCGAGCGTCAGGGCTTACCTGTGGCCATAACGGGGACCTTGCTTGTTTCTTCAGATGGCCTTCTTTTCTTGGCCCGTGTCCTTATTTCTCGATAGACATGATGATATTCCTCTAGGCCTACACAGAAAATATGGTATCTCGGCGACATAGAACGTCTCGAGCTGGAAAAGGCTCAGGTAAATTATCCACATCTGGAAATGTCCGGGATTTCGAACAGACGCTAAACTTCCCCTGACAACATAACATGCATCAGGACTGCGGTCTGAAACTCGGACAAGCAGGGGTAAAATTGCATTGGTGAGAAAGGCGACGTAGTCTGTCAGGGAGAAAAAGGCGCATATGAGCGAGCGTACGCGAGTATACAGTGGGTACGAAACCATTCTTACAAAATCGTCTTACATAGGCGGACCGTTCTTCTCTCCGGACCTTCTCCTGGTGAACGACAAGAATGCTTAAATCGCCAGGTCCGTAAAGGGTGTTTCCCTACAACAAAGCTGCGCCGGCTCTCCTCAAACCAGCATGCTCATCTCCAACAATTCTCTTTCATCCTTGCTTACATCTTCAGTTTTCGCTTCGTCCATGTCTACTGCGCAAAGCACACGTAATGTCATCGCCATGCTCATGCGGAAGAATGACGGGAGGAGAGCGAAAACTTCAACTTCTGCATTGAGCTGAACCGTACCACCAGTATGAACACGGACCAGAGAGTAGCCGGCTTTGTCGCGACAGGCCGCTGTGACAGACGAGTAAGGCCCGGTGGTGGTGGAGTCGTCTTGGATATGATAGGCACTGTGTAAGATGGTGACACTCCCAATGGTCTAACGCAGCATAAGAATAGCGGATCGGATGCCACCCCACGAAAGGGCATCCAGCTCGATTGAAGCACTAGGGTGTCCGACTTTTCGTTCCTTTCTGCTCGACTTGTTCCGCCAAGAGACTGAGACGAGGATATCGGCGCTTCGTCCTGCGACTCAATGAGGTGGGCATAATCAGGAGGACATTTGCATGAACTCACCTCAGATAAAGATTTCTTGGAAAGAAACCGGTGACGTTCATCATCTACTTCCTCTGCATTCTGAGACATTGAGAAGAGACACTTGGTAATAGCGCCTTATTATCACGTCGTCGTTAGGTTTCTTCTCCTGTTGCCTGACCATCGCGTATGTTACTGGGTCCCTCCTGCGTGATTATAAGGGGTGGAAGCGACGAGGGGAATGTGAAGGCTCTTGGGGAACATTGTCCATTTCGCCATGGGACTGTTCTTTCTGTGTTTTGTACTCGTCTGTGAAAAGCGAATAAAATGATAGGCCAAGATTTCGCTGGGTTTGGGAAATTTTGTCGGACGGCGTGTAGACGTGTTGCAGAGGACAACACTGACTTCCTTAATGACAACAGGTGACGTTCCATGTCCGTTTTGAGGATCAAGTCTAGTCCTTGAGATCCCCTCTTCTTTGAAGTGGCAGACAAGTACAGCGGGAAGACGATGGACCACCGAGAAAGATGTCATTGTAGTGCCCTGGTTGTAGCCACCTGTATTAGCCATGAGATTCGTCGCCCGTGAAGATAGAGTGGAGACGTACCCATTCCCACTGGATGTATGCTCTTCCTAACACACCGATACTTCTTAAAAGGCCCATTCGTGTTCCCAAGGCTCTCTTTGTTTGCGGCTTGTCGTCCTTAGAGTCTTGATCCCAGCCAGCTTTGTCTACTGCCGCACCGACGTTCGTCTTCAGTGGCTATGTCTGCGGAGGGGGAACTTCGAATACTGCACCAGCCAAAGAGGAGGCGAATTGGAGTCATCGTCCCGGTCGGTATGAGCAAGGTCAATGGTATCGCTCGGTAGGAGGGGCATAGTAATCTTGGTTCTGGAAGATAATGGCCCCGGTGTGATGATTACCAGTATTCGTGCCCACATCCAGCCAAGAAGAGTAATACAAGCCAGCTTAGTGCATACCAAGGCCGGCCGACTACTTCCCGGACCAAAATGTGTAGCAACGGAAGGCGAGTCGCATCACCACGGGAGTTGGGGAAGCTGTTGGTGTTGTAGGCTATAAACGGTAAACCGGCAGAAGAGAGTTGATATGCCTGGTGAGGAGAACGAGATTTTTGAGAATCTGGACAGGGATCGGAGGTGTTGTGAACTACCCTCCCTCGACGGAACAGGGCTAATCCTTTCAGGCATTCCCTTTTCTCTGGACTGGTAGACTTCGCTATAGCTAGAAGATGATGAGCAGTTGAGAAGGCCATATTGTGGTGCCCTGTTCGTAGCCAATTTCGGCCTATATCAACCATGAGAATCGTCACCAGCGAGGATGAAGAAGACGTACCAGTTTCCACTAAATGTATGCCACATGATACTCTTCAGCGTACTTCTTCACTTTCCTATGGTTCTCTTTCGCCTTTTCCTACAGCTTATCACCGGCCTCGATACCGGGCAGCTTTGTCTTCAACGATTACACCGCCGTCGCATCGTTCATGCCTGTGAAGAAGGGCTGCAGGGGAACATAAAGCGCGTAAAGAGCGAAGCAACGGGAGCCTCGTCGCGTCTCTGCGGGAGTCGGGAAATACATGCATGGTATCATGCAGGCGAGAGTCGATGTAGCTGGTAAAACGCCTGGTGTCCGTCGTTTCCTTTCTCTTCATCTCCTCTGACTAATGGCACCGAGGCGGCGAGGTTGCAGGTAGGAACGGGTGTGCTTTTTGTACATTCTGGAGACAATCCAGACATTTAGCTGACTGTAGGTGGCAGAGTACATAGATCCAGGCCCACAAAGCTGAACCATACCGACCGTTGGTCGTTTTCGATAGGCGAACGCGTCTCTCTGCCATATCTCCTGGTCTGTACGTGTTTGAGTGGGAATCGTATAAGACATTCGACGGGCACTATCTTCATGGCTCTCTATGCGCGAAAAGATTCCCTCGCCTTGATGGAAATCGCCGTTTGGAGCGGGTGTCGCAACTCGGAGCTTGAACGTCGTACTGGCTGGAGATGATGGTGAGGGTCGAAAGTGTAGTTGTCCATCGCTGTATGCAATCTCCAGGCCAAGACAAAGTGGCCTGTTCGTGACGGTATCCTAGCGAGACGTGGTGGCGATAAGGGCGATGAAGGGGAAGACGAAAACAGTTCAGACTCGGGTTAGGGTTTCTCTTTACGTCCTGCCATATCTTGTTTCTTTCCTGTCCTTGTCGCACAACCGCTCGGGGCGCTCAGTGAGCGTCAAAAAATTGAACATCTTGGCAGGTCAGACTTTATCTCTTTTCTATCATACTCTGGGCACTTACGCAGAAGACCAGTTTACACGACTTTCGCAGTGACGGTTGCAGTGCAAGCATCGTACAGACCAAGGGCCCGTTCTCGATAGCCCACATTCTGGACACCACCCCCATAGTGCCGCTTCCGTGACTGTCTACGCCTGAATTGTGGATGACCTGACGACTCCAAGATCATTCTTCCCCATGCTCACAACTGTCCTATGACACGCGTACGGCTGCCTTCTAGGATGGCATACGCTAGATGCGTGTAAGGCGTAGGAAGGGGACTACGTAGGATCTTGGAATCTAGGAGAGGCGCCCTGATTTCATATGCAGGTATGTCATGCATAATGTCGAGGATCGAACTGAAATATCATAGTTGATAGATCCATGACTCGAAGGCATCACGTTCGATACCAAACCTTGAGAAGCACGCTAGAGCACGGCCTGATTTCTCAACCTCGGCTATATCGTCAATACGGCATCACTCAACGATGGCTTTGGCATGGTCGCCGTTACAAGGTGCTGAGCTCTCTGTCGCGATAATAGTTTGTTCACATTCTACCTTGGTCACTGTCGGCGCGCTAATCTGTAATTTCGTCAAGGTTTTGAAGTGTTGCCAATGCATTCACACTACTCGACTATACGCTCACATGGTCAGATTTGACGTCGCGTCCACTTCAGCCACCTCGCCAACGAGCATCAATCTTCCCTGCCTACAACTTCTTTATGACACGACTGCCTGCTGGAACGGTACACGATGGACATGTGTAAGACAGAGGAAGGAGGCTGCTTAGGATCCCGGACCCAATGGTACCAAATAACGTTTAGCAAGGGAGAGACGCCAGGATTTCAGATGCAGGTACGTTATGAATGCATCAACGCCGGTGCCCGAGCTGAAATGCCATAGTTGATAGACTCACGATCCGAAGACACGATTCCTTGGAGATTTTCCCGTACAAGTGAAGGCCTTGCGTTGGATACCAGCCCTTGAACAGCACGCCAGAGAAACCTTGACTATTGGTGCAAGACGGAGGAAAGAAGCTGCCTAAAATCCTGGAACCAATAGCGCTAGATCAACAGCGAGAGACATAAGAGTTTCAGACGAGGGTACGTTATGTGTAAACGGCGAGGTTCGAGCTGACATATCATAGTTGATAGATTCATGACCCAGAGGCCCGATTTCTCGAAGGCTTTCCGGTATAATGAAAGCCTGCATTGGATATCAGTCCTTGAACAGCACGCTAGACCATGGCCTGCCTTCCCAACCCTCGACTATTAATGCTCTCGGATGCTCCAGCCGCGTCATTCAACGAGGACCTTGACATAGCTACCCTTACAAGACATCGACAACTCATCCTGTATCGCAATGGAGTATAAAACCTCCATGGTTTGTTTCCTTTCTGCCTTGGTCACTGACGGCGCACTAACCTGCAATTATGTCAAGGTTTGGAGATGTTACTAAGGCTTTCATACCGCTCGACTGCGTATTCATATGGCCGGACTTGACGTCACATCCACCTTCCGCCACCTCTCCATGTCATTGATATTTCGCTCTTGTTGCCCAGCTCACGCCCAGATGCGTTTTGCGTTGCATCATGCATGCCACGTAGGCCAAAACGCCTAACCGCAGCAACGGGGAGGAAACATCTTTCGGTCTACATATGATGCGTTTATAAAGCCTACGCCCTCATTTTGGCGCATCTCACGTCGACGATGTTCTTGCTGCGACGGCCTCGCTACATTCGCCGAGATTCCCACCACGCCATAGCCAGACATAGGGCGATCAGCCTAAAAGCTGCACTACAATCTGAGCATAGCTGGAGACGATTTATGAGAAGCATTGAAGGCTGGCGGTGGCGTTCTCTCCAATACTGAAAGACGCTAGCTGGTCAATTGCGCATTCGAAGCCAGGAAAGTAACGGGGGGTGCTATACGCTGGCTCGTTCATTACCCGGCCAGTCCCGCCCTTCGTTCTGAAAGTAATGCTCAAAGGACGCCCTACGACTATCCTTAACTAAAACCCCCAGATCCACCTTGCCTCCGATGAGTCTACTCTTCCAATGAAGATCCACCAGTTTGAGATCTTAGCAAGTCTGAACGCTCAGCGTAACGCTCGCGCCGAATCCCTACATGTCCAACGCACAATTGCTATCATTCTCGAAACTCCGTGAATTCTATCAAACTCGGACCTCGAAGTGGGGTTATGGTTCTGTCAGAGATCCGAAGGTGCCGAACTAGGTTCTCGGAGCCGAGAACGACGAAAATCGGTGCTGGTCTGGTGGTTTGATATTTGACATAATGAAGGATGCCTACTTCTTCCAGAGGTTTTTTTCTGGGAGGTAGACGGAGGCAATGTGGGAGTCATCACGAGACGACCGATGCTGGGCCTCGGTGGACAGTTCCTATAAGCGCCAGCTGAGCGCTGATTGCCCCTCAATGTACATGTACATGTTGTCTATATAACATTGACTCTGGGTGGCACCTCTGCGAGATTGCTGTAGGAGCCTCGATCTCTCTTACCATCGTCGCCATCCCGATACCTTGCTGGTCATGTCCACTGACTGCTTTCCTGCTGTTGCTCGTCTTGTTGATTCCTTGTACTGCTACCAGTGATCGGTGTTCGTCTTGACATCGTTGTTTGTCGTGTGCATCAGCGCCTAGCCACGTTCACGACTCCAATACCTAGCCGAAAGCCTGCAAACACGTTCAGCCTGTCGAAATGGTGCCGAAGGTCACCCACGAAACCGCATATAGTCAGGATTTGTTGCTTGCAAGAGACAGTGACGAGCGTAGTGGATATTATCTTTGTGACCGGCAAAGGTGAGCTTGCCGGACGGCCACTAACCTTCACTTCGTCGTCGTCTTACTCTTTTTTACAGCCTGCCATGTTTAAAATCCTCGGTACTTGTGCTATGGAACATACCCCGAGGCCATGATGTCTCCTTATCTTCCCCTTCCATGAAAGTTTCCCCGCTTGGCCCACGGATTTTCCTAGGAATGTTCGCGCACCCGCAACGCCAACGCATTCGACACCTCTACGGCTTTTACAGCAGGCCAAGCTACTGAAGAAGGTACTCTATCTGTAGTCCCTCGTTTGGCTTTTGCGCTGAATACCATCCGATACTAGATTCAATTGACGGCACGATTAGAATGAGCGGCGCTCCACTTGTCAGGGTCGAGTGAATTTAAGGGCGGAGGTGACGTACACTTGATGATAGTGGATCAAACTGCACCATGAACTCCTTGAGATCCATTGAGGTGAGGCGAGGTGTTTTTATTCTGTCCCTAAGAAGGAAACTCGAATTGTTCCCCGCGCAGTAATATTATGTATAGTTTCTCCCTAGCCCCACTTGCTTCCATAGAAAACCTTGACTTATAGATTTGTGTGGCCCTGAATGAGTGGGGAAGCAGGTGAAACGATTTCCTCGCAACTGCGAGTAAAGTAACGTCTAAATCACAACATCGATACATCTCGGCATGCCCTATTAGGCCTGTGTAATCCGCAACAATCCACGGATGTATCGGCCTCCTGAAAACGGATGTATCGATCTGAGCCTCCTTTACTCCAATAGGGGAAAAGAAGGACCAATTAGGGTATAACTTAAGTACCAATTGGGAAGGTTCGCAGGACCCGGTTTCCCCATCCCCCTTATCCACTGGTAAAACTCTTGTGTTAACATCTGCTGCTTCATGTATCATATAACGGGAGCTCATCAAAAGAGAGTGGGAAGTTATCAAGTGAGAGTGTCAGAAGGGCGATGTCCAATGACTCTGGGCGTTAGGTTCCCACAACCACCACTGCCGCCTAGCCTGTCTACAAGTCCTAGAGAGCTGGACATCCCCGCTGTCAGGTCAGGTGTTCTCGACTTGCTTTCGTTTCTTTTCTTACTAACAAGCAAGTATAGCCTAACGTACACATTCCATCCATTGATGGTGAAGGATGTGCGCCCAGGTTTGCTGTGACCGTTTCTGTCAAACTCACGATCTTCACTACGACGATACTTGTCTCCATGTCAAATCAAGAAAGATGGGACACTGATACAGTCTTCCATCAGAGGCATGTTGGAGAGGTGCGTGCCAATGAATCACAATTTTTCAAAAAATTTCAATGCCAGGCGTTGAGCAGTTCAAGTAAGAAGAATTCGTCCTCCCACGGTTACTAAAATCAACATTCGGCCGACTATTGCATCAGGTATCAATATGACATTACTGTTCGACAGTGCTGAATGCTTAACTTAAGCTCAGCACCTTGAAGCTATCGTTTTAGATTTTCGTTGTCCTGCAGGACTATCCAGGCGCATTTTGCAATTCCTTGAAGGACAGTTTGTCAAGGAGATCCTAGATCTTGAACTTATTTCGAAGTTTCATGGTGGCATATGACGACCTTCGGCGTTCGCGGTATGTTCACATTCTCTTGTTCATCGCCCCTATGTATTAGTCTGTTATAGGAATTCGGAACCACGGTACTCGTTTCTTGACCTTGGGCCCCTACTTGACGATGGAGACGAGGTTGAAGACATCAAACCATCGTAGAAAGATGAGGACACCCGGGCGCGTGCGTGTGTGTGTCGCTCACAGCAATAAGTTCGTGTACTGCAACGGCCTTCCTCAACTTTCCTGCTTCTCGCTCTGACGATCTGCTTGCGGTGATCGTGGATTCTGAAACTCAACCGGGTTAAGTCAGCACACATATTAGATCATACAAGAAGACTGGGAAAATATATTTGCTACAAGTCCAAAAAGATGGCGGGGCGGAAGTTTACAAAAGGATTGAAGGCCAGTGTTGTCACCGATACTGTAGGAAGAGAACTAATTAGTTGCGCATTTGGACATAGAAGATCACTTGCAACACCTACCACTATTTAACCTTCAAATGTTCCTGGCCGCCTCTTCCCTCCCAATTGTGGTGCTCCGAGGTCGCTTCAACCTTGTGTATGCGTGCGTCGAATTTTGCCAGCTACGACAGTCGAATTCCGGCGCTTCTTTGCATGATGACTGCACTGTGTGCGTACCTTGATCCTTTTCCTCAGCTTGACGGCCTCTCGCTGGTACCGGCGTGCTTTGACCCAGATGTCCTTGGCCTTCACCATGCAGCCCTTCCACGAATGAAGGTCTGTTAAGGAGGCTTCGTCATACACTTGAAGATATCTTCGCTTGAGGGTATTAACCTCGTTCTGAAGTCTAGCAGAACGATAAGGACTGTATCCACTCTACGTATCAGCAGAGGTCAACCCACGTACCTCTTGACCTCGATGGAGAAACCAGCCGACCCATCCAGCATGTCTTTGTGTTTTTCATAGCAGATCATCGTATCTCCGACGGTCTTGCTAAGGGATTTGACCGCAGATCGTGGCGTGAGGGGTGGTAAGACGGCAGATAGCAGGAGTACGATGATGACAGTCCGCGCAACCGTGTAGGCGAATGTTCCAGGATTGAAGGATGTCATAATAAAGTTCGCCGGTTTCATTCCAATGTTTTCGAGTTCCGCCATTGGTATATCGAAGGGAAGATAACCAGTGCTGGAGCGGGGTCAGGATATGAGTACCGAAAAAGGAGACAGCTCCCGGTCGGAGGCGTTCTAAGAATATATGAGGCACGAGCGCTTAGTCTTCTTCTTCACCTTTCCACCGGCCTCGCCCTCATGCGTCATGTACTCAGCAGGGATACGGCACGCACGTCCTTCCTACCTGTCTGCTCGTCGTGCCTCCAGCGCTAAAGAAGACTCATTGACAGGATTTCCTCAAAGAAATATGAAAGTCGCGCCGCCAAAGAATTTCCCAGTCAAAGTACCGATAATAGTGCGTCTTTTCTCTGCCATATGATCAACCCAATGGTAAGAATCATGCCTCTGAATCTCCAGCTCATTCTTTGGGAAGGTTTTACAAGCCAATTATCAGTACACGTGCACTTGCATAACTCAACAGACGCGTCTCAACCATATTTTCCGCTTGGCGGTATCGATGGAGTACTTGAAATTCCAAAGGAAGTCCTTGCGTGACTCAATACGAGAGTCAGATGGCAATTCTGAAACCTGGTACGCCTCTTTCTATTGACGTACCTCTTGGTTGTTCACTTCTCGACGTCAGATGAACTTCCTACAAGATGAAGGCACTCGTTTTCAAGCAACAGATGGATCCAAGATGTCATCAATAGTCCTTCGATTCAACTACAGTGCGGCCGTTCCAATTTTCATAGCATATATGTATTCATTGACATCTACTACCAGTTTCACGGACCTCTCTAAACTAGTCGTGTGGCGCCGCGGCGGAAAGAGTGTCTTGTACGGGCCCAAGTATGATGATGGTAATTGAAGAGACGCCGGGACGAATCCTGTGCGTAATGTTTGCTAGCATATATCTACCAACTCACCCAGCCTTGCAGAAGAACGTGGAATGGAGAAACCTCTCTCCGGAGATACTAACCACATATCCTGTGTGAATTCTGCAAGTAGCTTGCAAGGTTACGCGCTCGGAATCGAGTATCTGCTCCTGAGGACAAGTCTGGATCCTGGAGAGAGTACGTTTCGTTTCTTCTGCTCTGTTTCATATCGAGCTAAATGTTGCACGTTAGTTTACCCTTGCGACGCTTTCATTCATGATGGCTTTTCTCCCATCGCGATTTCCTTATTACATGCAGGCAGGCGTTTTCAGTCCGACACACAGGGAGTTTCGTGCTCCCGTGCTCCCGCTTCACCGTACTGGTTACGGGATGCGACTTACCCTAAGAAAGTCGCCTTGCACTGGGCGCACATGAATCCAAGGACTTTTTGCCGCTCCGTTCATCTATGCAAGTCATCTATCTATGCTTTCCCGTCATCCCCTCTCTCTGTCGGGAGCGCAAAAACATACTGTTCTCTGATCAATGACGCGGTTGCTTATCTGGCGATAGTAGTCTTGGGGCTTCAGCTTCCTGGGCTCATATATCACTGAGGATACTCTCTATTTACGACTCCCACCAGGCCCAAGTTCATGACGGAATTCCAGGCTCTGCATTTCCCGAAATCCGGAATTTGGTCTATTCATCAAAAGGGCACGCGGATCCCTCTCACGCCTCTTTGGGTCCTCAGAGGATGCACCACTCGCTCTTTGTCGTGACCATGGGTCAAATACGTTGTTGTGACTGCTCTATTCGGACCATTAACGCAATTCCTTCTCTTGTTCGCGTTTCCGACAATGATTGTCTCTGGCTTGCTAGTACTGGTAGTGCAATATATTCCTTCGTATAAAAGGGCTATGGGCCACCGCAAATCATACTCGCTCATTGAGTCTTCTACGTAATCTCCTTCCTTCACTAGCAGTCCTTCTCTAGCAATCATGTTCTTCTTCCGCGTACTGACCGTAGCCTAGGCATTCTTCCTCGCCACCAGCCCAACCCTCGCTTCTCCAGCACCCCTCCAAGCTGATCTCGTCAAATTTGATACTGACTTGTTAGCCCGTGCAGATGGAAATATTCTCGACATCTTCAGCGACCTCAAGGGCGTCGCCGATGAGATCCTACCAGAAATTGGTATACATTCAACCATGGTGATGACAGTGACTAATGCTGACCTACCATACTATAGAGAGTCTCATCAAGAATAACGCCCTCACACAGGACTTGGTTATGCCCCTTATCAATGACCTCATTGAGGCAATCAAGAACGCGACGTCCGAGTTGGGAGGTTTGGATAAGTCTTCAATCGTTGTAGGAGGTACGAATGAAGAGCTTGCTACCCTCATAGCCGGGATCGTCAAAGTATGCTTGATTATGTTTTCTTCCCCTCTTCTGACCTCATATGTGCCCTAGGATATCTCGGGCACGATGGACGGCTTGACAACTGCCAGTGTTGATTTGTCTTCCTTGGACTTGGGCTCGATCCTTCTGGACGCAGGCGATGTTCTTGCAGGACTGGTCCTCACTGTCGTTGGATTAGTGGGTGGCCTTCTAGCATTGTTGCTTCCTCTGTGCGTATTTTGCTTTCACCGATTACGGGCTGATTTTGATATGGTTATAGGCTCCTTCCCGTCGTGGGCCTCCTTGTGACGATCGTTGTGGGATTATTGGGCGGGCTTTTGGGTCTCATTCTTTGAAGGACAATTTTATACTAATACCGAACAGACGAGTCATATAATACATATATAGTCCATGTGGATTATTCATTTAGGCAGGCGCAGTTCGCTAAACAGGTCATGAATAATCTTTAGACATAGTGATAACCAACACGTACTGCCATTTCGAATCTCAGTACAACGTCGCTCTGGATACTCACTGTTTCACTGTCGCGAATTGCTAGGATGACTGACGTTCCTGAAGTGAGGTCAATATGGATGTATAAAGGAGAAAAGGAGGGATATTGGGCACGCCTGCAGAAAGGTTGACGGTCCATGTTACGTTCGTACCATCCTGTTAACCTAGGTCTTCGAGTATGGGGCCATCCGGGTCGCTTCCTGGAACGATGCTACGTAGTGGTAAGTAATAGGTTATAGAATTGTGGATAAGTAGTAATACAACTGCGGAAGGAATAAGGCAGAGTGGTGCGTCTGAGAGCAAGATAGGACTTACGACGTGATAAGGTGATGCCAATAACCAGGTCTTTTCGTTATGGGTGGCACATAACCGGGGGAATACGAGTACAACACGGCACCGCACACGCCACTGGAGGAGGGTGTCATTGCATTGAACCAGGGTGTCATAACTGCAAGAATTCCGTGAACGTCGACAAGGGTGTGCACCTCAAGTTCAGATGAAGCTCACGGTGTATCAACAGCGAGGTCCGACTCATTGCCTGGATGCTAAGTCGGTGTGTGAAATAATATTGCCAGCAAGAAGAAAAGTGAGGATGCCAAACCCATCATGTATAGTACGGTAAGCAAAAACTCCTGTGACGGCATCGCTTGTGTCTGAGGTAAATGACGGTATAAAATTTCTAAACATAATGTCCCGGGTGACCCCGAAAAATCCACGAATGATAATCTCGCCATGACGATCCTCGTTTCTGAGCAAGTTCGATCTCTCAGAAAGCGCAGAAGTACACCAACACATAGACGCTTCAGTGAGGTTATAACATATGCTTTCAAGTTTCCTTAGTTAGCTGGTCAGTGTCGCTTCAGTAAAATTACTAGATGATAGCCGCAAAATGCACCTACTACGAGAATTGAATACGTCACATTCCAGGCGGCTGCGGTGGTCCACCTGCATTTGTGAAATGAGCTGCACAGTCGAGTCGCCGACCTTTATGCCCGACATTGTGGAACGGTCCTGTATGTCGAGCTCAGTGGGTCCGGTTTCTCTAATGTTGAATCGAACCTTCTATGGGGAGAAAAATATAGCAAGCCAGATGCCATGCATAGCAAAGAGGTCGGTTCTAATGCGATACTGTCCGTGGTTACCATTCGAAAGAGAAGAGCTGAGATACCTCATTTTAAGAATCTGTTAAGTACGTGGTGGTTATTAGCAAGCAGAAAAAAGAGAAAGGCGTCTACAAACCGTTCATTGGACTGACTGCCGCGGGTAACCATACCAAAGCAAAGTTCATGGGAGACTCCCGAACCACGGGTTACCTCCTGTTTGCATTCAGCAAACCGTAAACTGGCTGGGGTGCCAAGGATCAGGACTAGAAATTGCACCATAAAACACACTGGAAAATACCAAAATGCTCTTGTTTAATTTTCGAGTGATACCAGAGACGACAGAGAAAGCCGACGACATACCTGATAGATATCGACCAGTTGACATTGCATCGACGACTGGATCGACATATCATCTCTTGAAGGTGTTTATGTAGAAACCGCGCTATTCTGACGAAGGAAAGGCGGATCTTCCCGAAAGCCAGTGAACATGCACGCGTCGCGACATTTTATGGGAGAAAGCGTTATTTGCGAAGGTGGATGGGGCCGTGATACGGTATTACGGTAACGAAATGAAGCGGGCGGAAAAAGTTGTTCCCACGCCCGTCGTTGACGATCAGTCGGTTCCCGGACCGAGCTGCCGACTCGAATCTCTTTTCCTTCAACGTCTTGCGCATACCTTGATTTTGCTTGCTATTCGTGGACGGCTGCCATATTATCTCTACATCCACCGCGTATGTTGATATTAATTTTTTGACTTTTTCCTGAGTGTCTCATAACTGCATCGACTTTTTTTCCCATTTTTTCCCTTGGGGTTTTAGAGTTGAAATCGGAACCAAGCGCTGGAGAAATCATCCGTAGAGATCTTATAAAGACAAAAGAATATCTGGCCTCTTTCTATAGGTCTGCCCCTTTTTTGTTACCGATCTTGCGGCAATCACGGCTTTGAAGTATCAATATCCTCGGCGCTATATCATTCAGTTGTGGGACAAGTCCTCGGAATGATACTATCTCATGCGTAATGGCCTTTTTTTATGAGGCTATAAACGAAAATGATGATGCAGTCGCTGTTCAAGCTTGTCAAGCATAGGTGGTTACACAAACCGAACACGAACTGAAAGACGCTTTAATAATCGTCAACAAAAGTCTGCTAGAAATTAACGTTCTCCTGGCTCATCCTCAACTTCTTCGAGGTCTGCAACACATTGCTATGATTGCTACTCCTCGAGATAGAACCTATCTATCACTACGGACCTCTTGTTTGTGCGAACTTGAATTAGAATCTGACGCTGAAGCAGCGCCAGGAGACCCCGATAATCTCCCCCCTACTTTATCCGTACCCAAGTGAGATCTGTAGTGCCTTCGCATAGAATTGACATTGAACTGCCCTCCACAGCCTGGGAAAGGACATGGGAATGCTACATGTTCTTGTAAGTCGACCTTCATCATGGTTCTTAGTTAGTGATGTAACTCACGTTTTGCGCCCGCATGGGTGTTCTCATGTATCTTTAGGCTATTCGACCGATTGAAATACATCCCGCAGATTTTACAAACGTGCCTTCTGCAACTCGGAACATCGGTATTCTCCAAGTCTTCGTCCCCTTCCCCTTCGCTTGATGTCGTGGTCGAGTCGCTAGTATGTGACGGCCAATGGCGCCGTAAGATGCTGGAACCTGAGTGCCCAATATGCCTGAATGAAACAGATGGCGGGTTTGTGTCCGGGCGCAGGACGTGGAGGGATGAAGATGCTTTGCGCTTCCCGTTGATAGACGGTGGGAAGGATGGGATGAGTCTAGGCGGTTCATTGCCTTTTACACGTAGCCCTGGCGGTACCCTGAAGAGGTGCTCTGGAATATAAAATGTCAATGGGAACTACATCTAGCACCTCGCCGAGTGATACCTGGAAACATGGCCTCCAAGCTGGGTAGGGAGATAGTGGTCATCTTGTGGTGGTAGTAGGGCGCCAATCTACCTAGGGGCATGCCAGTTATATTATCCTCTGCAGATCTCGGGGAATATGTAGGACACCGTACAATCTCACATCTATCTCCGGAATCAATGTGGATCCATCTCTGGTTAACAATCATTGTCGCAACCTCTGCGGCTTTATGTAACAATCTATCATATATTTGGGAGTGTCCAACCACCATGCTTTCGTATTTCTGGTCTGGTATCCTGGTCGTCTTGGAACTTTCTATGCGCCTCTCAGCTTCATCAACTGAGGTGGAGGCTCCGGCCTCTCTTTTGATGTCTGCGGCATCAATCTGATATGGATTCCTTTCGAGTCATGTTGGAGCTTTCAAGCGGTCTCATACTATAAGTGAACACATCTCGCAATATTTGCGGTGGGCAATTTCGTTAAACTCAGAACCGAACCTTTAGTTGAAGATTTACGCAGCATTACAGTTAAGCAAATCATTGTCTAGGCTGGCCCTTTGACCGCGACTCTTCTGTTACTGATCGTGTCGAGGATCTGAGTTGAGAGCAGAAGGCAGAAAAGGTTCGTCGGGTTTGGGGTAGAGGTCGCAAGACGGATACTAATGAAGGCCGTGATAACGACTACGGTGACTCTCGCACAGGGTGCTAGTACCCAGGGAGTACCATCATCCAACTAAGCGTAACTAAGTGTTACAATGTGTACAGCATTAGGCTGTGTGTTACTCTCAGTATCCATGCGCATCAAGAAGGCTATGTCCAATCTGCAGAGCTTCTTTAGGGGTGTTGAATTGACTGCGGGGAAGGCATACAGATGATTCCGTCGACACGGTTACTCCGAAGACTTTTCAAGCTGACTACAATGTAGAAACAGCATTGCAATCCAGAACGAACGTCGTTTTTTAGTGGGTGAACTTGGCGTATTTTTCAGTTTGCGGAGCAGCAGCGGGTAGTGATTGTGGTTGTATAAGATCGCCTAGGTAGATATTCTGCAACGAGCTGTCGTTGGAAGCCTGTCATTGATAGTTTGATAAATATGTCCAAGAATTCACGGTTATTTCAGATGACGGTGAACTCGATAGGAAAATGTTAACGGTAGAATCCATTCTTGGCGTTGCCAAGGAGTTACACTTGTACCAGACTTGCTTGTACATTATGTCATGCCGTGGTCGTGTAGGCCTTAGGAGGCACCAGGTATGCAGGTACGAGTTCCGCGAGTAACTATAAAGCGGCTTGCCAGGCTAGGCACCAGGGTCGAGTTTTCTTAGATCACGCAACGATCATCGTGACTTTGCCGCGAACCGTTCAAGTACAAATTAATTTACAACTACCCTCCCGGTTAGTTGGCTCAGATGAGCAACAAGGAAACTGACGGACCGCCATGACCTTTATCACCCCAGCCATATCTAGGTGATCCTAGTATGGTTTCGGTGTGTTCAAATTCAACATCCAGACCTTCGGTATCGTAAACCTATCCGATTGGAGTGTCTCGGATCCATCTGAGTGGCGTGTCAGTTTCTCTAGTGGACGAATAGAAGGTGCAATTACGACATATGAAATGAAGGGTAGGCTCCCAGGTCATCGTCAACTCTTAGCCTTGGTTTCACATGTCCGAGGTCCGACGCACATACATTCCACTGTACATTATTAACAATCTGTATCTAAAAGTAAACAAAGGGGGTGTATGATTAGTGAACCAGTCTTAATCGTCCTCAGGGTCGTCCCCACCCTTTTTCCAACCAACCCTCACCAACTCCGCCTCCCACGGAGAACTGACTTCTCGGGGTGCTGGCGGAACGGAAGTCTTGCAACTACTTAGAATAAAATCATGGAGTAATCGGTTAACACTGGAAAATATCAGTAATCGCATTAGTAGTCTAAAGCAATTGCACCCACACATCTCCATGCGTAGCAACGCCAAAGTGTGGAGCATCTGGTATCGTAGCCAGGCTAACCGTGACTGCAGCAGTCCTTCAGCTGCTGCATGAACCTTTCTGAGTATTCTTGGGGGTATGCGATATCTCCGAGGCAATGGACCAATTTGACAGGGACGCGTATCCGAGAAAGCTGGTCCTTGGTATACTCCTTTCGATTGGTTAAAAAATCGATTGCGCCTCTGTCGTACTGCTTAAAGGTCTCCGGAACAATCTTCTTCAAGATTAAAGGCAGTGCTGATAGCGATCGAGCCTGAAACAACGGTTAGTCATAATGGAATAGGGAGACATGAGGCACCCACGCCTTCGCTAAGCTGTTGGGTTTGTTGCTGAAAGATAATTGCTGGATGCCATAGACTGAGTCAGAGATGGCCGCCATATCTAGTTCGTCTGTCTTGTAAAGCTCCCTTCCAGCACTCTGCTACTTCCCGCCGGCCATCAGCGATATCTGCTGGCTATCTGCAGTCTTAGTCTTTTCGGCTTAAGCAACATCGATGAGCGTACCTCCTCCAGCCCCAGCGGCGACACGAGGAAAAGAGAAGCGACTTTGTTGGGGTAGTAGACAGCGAGGCTGATCGCCACCATGGTGCCCATCGACAAAGCCCACGATGTGGCAGGCGGGTAAATCGATCTCGTCCTGTTGAACCTCGCAATTCAGTTACGTCTCGTTGAACAAACAAGTCAATTACCATAAATAACGCGACGTCCTCAGCAGCCTCCCTTGCACTGTAGCCTTCGGGAATTTCGTCGCTCGTCGTCAGACCATGTAGTCTAAGGTCCAACGCAACGCAGTTGAATCTTCTTATCTGCGGGTCCTCAAATTGTCCTATAGCACGACTGTAAAACTCAATTGCTAACGGCGGTAAAAAAGACATGTAACTGACGTTGAAAGATCTGTTGTCCGTGGTAAACCGCATGGATGAATAACAACGTTGGTAGACATTCATCGATAGACGTAGTCGACGAAGCTGAGGGTGTCGATATTGTGTAGTTAAACACGATCTTTCCGGTACTCGACTCGACACTGGCTATAGGCATCCTGACAGATAGAAGTTGAAAGCGCGGGGAGGTTGAAAGAAACCGGTTTTCTTAAATTGAATTGCATCCGTTCCCCACTACCTTGTGAGAATCCTTGCACTCATGTGTCAACAACGAAGAATATTTCCAACCCATATAGTCTTCGGTATCATCTCCGATCTCCAAGTGCACATGAGATCGGCTCGTTCGAACGGACCATAGGGACGGCTACGCATAATCTTCAGGCAACGGACCGAATCTATAGATTTGAGCGGAAACGAGCAATGACAGTTGCTTCAATGAGACGACGGAAAAAAAACAGCACACTGGCCCTGAAGGAAGGACCGTTCAAAAGCCCCACCTACATTGACTCATGGAAGAAGTCGAAGAAGGCGAGCGTCAGGGCTTACCTGTGGCCATAACGGGGACCTTGCTTGTTTCTTCAGATGGGCTTCTTTTCTTGGACCCGTGTCCTTATTTCTCGATAGACATGGATATTCCTCTAGGGCCTACACAGAAAATATGGTATCTCGGCGACATAGAATGTCTCGAGCTGGAAAAGGCTCAGGTAAATTATCCAGCATCTGGAAATGTCCGGGATTTCCGAGGACAGGACGCTAAACTTCCCCTGACAACATAACATGCATCAGGACTGCGATCTGAAAGCTCGGATAAGCGGGGGTAAAATTGCATTGGTGAGAAAGGCGTAGTCTGTCAGGCACGTATGAGCGAGCGTGCGCGAGGTTACAGTGCGTAAGAAACCATTCTTACAAAATCGTCTTACATAGTCGGACCGTTCTTCTCTCCGGACCTTCTCCTGGTGAACGACAAGAATGCTTAAATCGCCAGGTCCGTAAAGGGTGTTTCCTACAACAAAGCTGCGCCGGCTCTCCTCAAACCACATGCTCATCTCCAACAATTCTCTTTCATCCTTGCTTACATCTTCAGTTTTCGCTCGTCCATGTCTACTGCGCAAAGCACACGTAATGTCATCGCCATGCTCATGCGGAAGGATGACGGGAGGAGAGCGAAAACTTCAACTTCTGCATTGAGCTGAACCGTACCACCAGTATGAACACGGACCAGAGAGTAGCCGGCTTTGTCGCGACAGGCCGCTGTGACAGACGAGTAAGGAACGACGGCGGTGGAGTCGTCTTGGATATGATAGGCACTGTGTAAGATGGCGACACTCCCAATGGTCTAACGCAGCATAAGAATAGCGGATCGGATACCACCCCACGCAAGGGCATCCAGCTCGATTGAAGCACTAGGGTGTACGACTTTTCGTTCCTTTCTACTCGACTTGTTCCGCCAAGAGACTGAGACGAGAATATCGGCGCTTCGTCCTACAACTCAATGAGGTGAGCATAATCAGGAGGACATTTGCATGAACTCACCTCAGATAAAGATTTCTTGGAAAGAAACCGATGACGTTCATCATCTACTTCCTCTGCATTTTGAGAAGACATCGTCGTCACGTCAATTTCCCATGTCAAGGTGTCGATGGGGACGGAGTGTTGGTAGGATTCGTATCATAGGCTACAGGGGAGCAGACCGTCTAGATCTCTGTCGGTTGGTGCTGCCGAAGAGTCAAGAGCTTCTGCTATAGCAGAAAATATGCACGCGCGAAATGTGTCTTGGCCCGGTCAGGACTCATCGAGAGCGACGCACACCTCATGAGTATTGTGATATGGGCCCTCGAGTCACCGACCAGTAGTAATGAATGGTATGACACGCATTTGGGAAGTGCGAAGAAAATACATTCCTCGTCGTTTATGGAATCTGCGAGTGTGTATACATAAAAATGCGAGAAAAAGAATAATGATCGTGCTTTGCTGTATGTCCTAATAGGATTTCTTCTCCTACTGCCTTGTGACAGGCTACTCACTGCAGTGATGGCTACATAGACGCCCTGGGGCTACCCGGAGTTTTTCTGGAGCATATCTTGAAGCTTAACGCTGATTGGTCAATCATGATATGCTCAAGGTATACTCCAGAAGACCACACTGGTCTTATGTTCTCGTCACCGCAGTGACTTCGCAACTGCAACTGAATGAAAAACCAGCAAGAGATCAAGTGATCTTGAAAAAAGCCAAGACATACATGGTTTCGGTGTACGTGATAGGAGTAAACAGGGCTATGACAGGGACCACTGTATAGAGAAAGATCAAAAGCGACGGGGAACAGCAAGGGAAGTATCTGAGTCCCTTGGGACAAACGATCCGTCTCATCAAACGATCATTCTTTCTTCGCAATCTGTGCTGGGCTGCGAAAGGTGAACAAAAGACAGGCCAAGGCCTCGCTGGGTTTTGGGACTTTTGACGGGGTAGGTAGGTAACTGCGATAACGAGAGGCGACGGTCATGTCTGTTTTGAGTGACAAGTGTAATCTTTGAAATCCTCTCTTCCTTGAATTTGCCAGCATCGGTATAACGAGCAGATGATGGGTCATTGAGAAAGATGACATTGTGGTGCCTTGTTCGTAGCCAACTGTATTAGCCACGAGATTCGTTGCCTGCGAAGATACAGTGGAGACGTGCCCATTCCTCCTGAATGTATGTTCTTCCTAACACGCCGATAATCTTCAAAAGGCCCATTCACGTTCCCAAGGCTCTCTTTGTTACGGCCTGTCGTCTCCGGAGCCTCGAACCCAGCCAGCTTTATCCACCGCCGCACCGACGTTCACCTTTAGTGGCTATGCCTGCTAAGAAGGACCGGAGGGGAGCAAGGGACTTCGAATATTGCACTGGCCCGAGAGAAGCCAGGTTGGAGTTATCGTCTCGGTGGGTATATGCAAGGACAATGGTATCGCTCGGTAGGAGATGCATAATAATCTTTGTTCCGGAAGATAATGGCCCCGGTGTAATGACGACCAGCATTGGTGTCCACGTCCAACCAAGAAGAATGATACGAGCCAGCTTAGTGCATACCAAGGCCGGCCGACTACTCCTGGACCAAAATGTGTAGCAACGGAAGGCGAGTTGCATCACCACGGGAGTTGGAGAAGCTGCTGACGTTGTAGGCTATAAAACGTAAACGTGCAGGAGAGGGTCGATATAGGTGGTGAGGAGAATGGGATTTTTGAGAATCTGGACGGAGATCGGACGTATTGTGGACTGCCCTCCCTCGACGGAACAAGGCTAATCCTTTCAGGCATTCCCTTTTCTCTGGACTGGTAGACTTCGGCTATAGCTAGAAGATGATGGGCCGTTGAGAAGGTTATATTGTGGTGCCCTGTTCGTAGCCAATTGCGGTCCTATAACAACCACTGAGAATCGTCACCAGCGAGGATGAAGGAGGCGTACCAGTTTCCACTAAATGTATGTTCTTCCTGCCACACGATACTCTTCAGCGTACTTCTTCACCTTCCCATGGTTCTCTTTCGCCTTTTCCTACAGCTTATCACCGGCCTTGATACCCTGGCGGCTTTGTCTTCAACGATTATACCGCCAGTCGCATCGTTCATGCCTGTTAAGAAGGGCTCCAGGGGAGCATAAAGCGCGTAAAGAATGAAGCAACGGAAGCCTCGTCGCGTCTCTGCGGGAGTTGGGAAATACTTGCATGCTCCCGGTATCATGCAGGCGAGGGTCGATATAGCTGGTAAAGCGCATGGTGTCTGTCGTTTCCTCTGCGATTCTCTCTTCATCTCCTCTGACTAATGAAACAGGTGTGCTTTTTGTACATCCTGGAAGCCAGTTGTGAATGAGATTCACAGCCTGCGAGAAAAACTTGATTGCGCACCCTTTCCCTATTTTTTTCATTATCGCGCCATTACGAGACCGTCGTGCTACAGCTTCGAACGGAAGTCCCACCACGGCAATGAGTAGTATCGTCGACGAGGTCTTTTGCGTTGGCTTTGGTAGTAAGATAGTGTCTGCATTATTCATGAGATTCCTCACTCTCTGCAGAAGGAAGGAACCTGTATAACGCACCTGCCAGTGGTGCACCTCAAGTTCAACCTCCCAAGTGCTCATCGACATCGACCAATACCAGGAAAAAGACAGTGTAAAACGAGATCAAACTCTGATTATTGGAAGCCTAAAGAAAAGGCGGCTCTGTTGCCGGCGGGAAGACGGACGACTGGTGGGGATTGCCTGACGAATTCGATCAAAATCTAAGGCAAGTCTAGGGCAAGTGCTCAGCGCTCAAGCGCCAGAGCGGTAACGGCGATTCTTCGTCATCATTTTTTCACGTGCACTTGGGCCCGAAATTGGAGCACTGAATTTTTGGAAGCTGGGCAATCTAAGTCCCCTTGCGGGTTCAACCGAACGTTCAATATTCAAATTTCAACGCGAAATAATAAATTGTGAAAAGCGGTTCGATATCCCAATGTTCATTAAATAAAAAAATGCTATTAAAATGCATATGGACCCTGAAGGCCTGAACCGAGATCGATGATGCGCCAAATACGCGATTAAATGATTATGCCAAAGGGCCCTTACTCGTGAAGGAAACTGGCTGAGATCCCTCTTCCTGTAAGATTCATCTATGGAGAGGTGACGCACTCAATCCAGTGCCTCGCGTCAATCAGCAGAGAATTCAAGGCGAGATCAATGAACGCCTGACGGTTCGAAGTCTTAAAAGTGATCAGGTAAAAATAAGAACACGGCGCAAACAACTGTAGTACCACAGGAAGCTCTTGGACGAGCACAAAATTATTTTCTGCGTGTAATTGAGGTTCAAGCTTCGAACCTCGTCCGCATATCACTGCAGTGATTGAAATTTTTATCCGACGAACCAAAAGTTTCAATGATTCGAATGCTAAGCACGAGGAAAATACGAGGAGTCGAGGACTCAGATCATACACCAGAGGGACTGATAGATAGAACTCAAGATTCCAAAAAGGGTCACTGTGCCGAAACAATGGACCCACTCAGGAATTGAACCCAGATCAACGTGTAAACGCGTAATTGTACGATTGCACCAAAGGTCCCTACACCTTAGGCTCATTGCCTATGGCTTTCATTCGAGGATGGTTTGAGGCTAAGAAAATCCGAAACCTGATGCATACAGTTTGCTATTTAGGCAGGTAAATTCAGTCCGGTAAACCTAGCCATGATACCGGCAGCAAGCATTGAAAGATGCGGCGAAACCGAAGTTAAGACAACAGTGATGAAGGTGATCTGCGCGAGACCGAAGGCTGTTGAGAGGAATCCAAGCGAGCCAAGCGGTCCTTTGATAGATAATTCGCCCCGCTAAGCGGGGTGAAACAGGCCATACACTATGTTTGCAACGAAACAGTTACAGAGAGGGTCAGCCACAAAATGTTCCGTAAGACGCTCCATCGCCAATGACTTTATTGTGTGGACGGTCGAACCCTAATAACCCCTTCATTCGCAGTTTTCCCGGCACTCTCGTTTCTCCCATGATACGCGTGCCGATGATTTTGGTCGCAGTGTAGGTGACACAGCGCGTCAGGAAAATCTCGAAAAACGTGACGACCTTTCAGAAGGTACTCCATTTGAAGACCAGAGATTGATGACTTGTTGGTTGCAGAGTGCCTTGGGTGAGGCTAAAATTGAGGCCTCTACTTTTCTTCTGTGAAGATGGCTCGGTTTTCGAGCGCAAGGAAGCAACGAATATCCTGAGAAAACGCGAACACAATTGCTTGGGAAGCTCGTCGGTCGCAAGTTCAAACTCAAATTCAAATTGGTGGATAAGGAATCAACATCGGGCCGAATCCCGAGCTTCGGTAGTTACTCACTCCTCGCAACTAAGGCTGTTGTTCATTCAAACTGATTCTCATTCTTAAATTATGCTGTGTACACTGAGTGTTCTTTATTCTCCTTGGTAGCTAGAGTTTTTAATCATCAGTACTTAAGACTGAACTTGAGATTTCATCAACCAACAAATCACATTTTCACGACGACAAAACGGACCGGTAACTATACAGAATGATAGCAGAAACAATATAACAGCACCATATTTAGACGAGCAATAGAAAATCGAGCACCAAGCAACGACAAGCTTCAGAATCAGGCTACAACGGTATGGAAAAAGAACAATGGAGATTACAGAACTAGATGAAAGCGTGTGTGATCTAGTGGTACAGTCCGAGGTGGAAAGATGATAGCGAGGAAGCATGGGAAAGCGAGAAAACAACGGGGAAATAATAAGCGGAAAACAACGAGGAAAACGCTTGAAAGCCAAATGAAATAGACAGCAACTGAGATAGGACGAGGATGTGCAAGACATCAATTTTTGAAAAATGTTCGTTGGTAACACAGCAACGTTTTGTAGCCTTCGACCACCCTAACTCACCAACAACCGCATTGTCAATGTCTACCATAGGTTTATGGAGTGGGTAAGACCTCCGAAATATAACGATTCGAGACGATGTTGTCTCCGATGAACCGGACATAAAAGCAAGGGTCTTTTACCTCTGTCGGAGGCAGGGGCTGAGAGGTCACGAGCCACTTCAGTGTGGGTTTTGGTGGAGAGGAAGGCCTGGCGGCAGGCGGGGGACTTGGGGGTGGCGTAGGAAGAGCTGGAGGTGGCGTAGGAAGAGTTTGAAGTGTCGTAGGGATGATCAAAGGTGGGAGATTTCCAGCTGCGACTGGACCTTGACCGACTCCACCATGAAGCGAGGGTGACAGCCTCAGAGGAAATAGATCAGGTCTTTGATCGCGATATTCGCGCGGAAGCGTACCGTACAGGGTAGACAGGCGAGGTACGTCCGAGCTGAAGCGTGGGTGCCTAAGAAAAAGATCCACAGGGAACCGTATCCACGAGTTGGGATTCTTGGGGCCCTGCCATGAAGGAGGAGTGTGCCAAGTTCTTCGGGGAGGGAGGAAGTCATGGTTGGCGAGGATGAGGAAGCTGAATGGGTTCGTGGCGAAGGAGGATCATGAACGTTAGGCTCTTCGATGGATGGCAATGAGTTGGGGGTCAGCGGTGTAGATATAGTAGCAACGTTGACCGCTGAGGTTGAAGAGATTGGTGGTGGAGACAGTGGCTCGGAAAGGCGCTTGGATGATGAAATGCGCATCTTTTTGATGCTGCATCAGCGCTGCAATGTCGTCCGCAAAGAACAACGACTGTCTGCACATGGAGCAGATCCCTTTCGAGGAGTTCCGGACTAGAATACATTACGGTGAGTGTGGCTATCGATGCAGAGAAAGGTCCTCCATACTGCCTCCTCCTGACGTGATTGACGATGTTAGACTTCTGGAAGTCTTGAACACCTGCAGGTAGGGTAAGCCAGGCATTGGAAAAGGCTGGAACAAATTCGAGGTTACGCATATTGCAGGAAATTCAGAAAAAGGAACTCCTCACGCTTTCTCCCGAGCCTCTCCGATGAGATGAAGTCCTTTATGCCGCTTGAGTTCAGGGTCACGGCCGAAGCTGCTAGGGCAATCGCTACAGGTGAACGGTCGAGCGATATCTGGTCGCTTTCGTTACAGTAATCGAGGGAGATAAGTAACCGTTTGAATGCTATAAATTAGGCCGGACTGATCTTCATGGCACGGGAGACACGTCGATGCGAAGAAGAGCGGGTATATGATAGGAAGGGGGATGAAAAGATGAGGGATAAAGGGGGATGTTGTCCCCCCTGATTTGACCTCATCTTAAGGTGTGGCTATCTGTCAATTAAGTCGGAACCGCCGAATTTTCAAGGTCCGTGCAGACAAATACAGATAACCTTTGTCCTCGTAAACTATAGTTCTGGAACAAGGTCCATGCACGGTTGTCATGTGAAGCCGCTCGAAAAGAAGACATAACTAACCCTGGTTCCGCTGATTTTGTAGTGCGAAGCCTTGTGGACCAGTGACAAGACCAGCGCTTATTTCCTGGTGACAAGGGAGCTTCGGCCTCGATTATCAGCTGCGAGGCTTCAATATTTGAGGGAAATTTACTTACAGGATGGAGTCAGAATAATACGACGTTCACCGTATACATGTTCGACGGAAACTTAGAATAACGGCAAGTCTTTCCGGGGATGGTCGTAATCAAGGTCAAGGTTCAGAAGCGTGTGGCGTTGTCAAATTGAACGGTAATTCCATCGATAGGGGATGAAATTCAAGCAGGCGTTCGTACGCCGACTCGGACGCGGTAAGAAACAAAACGTTTTCTCAGGGATGCCGGCGCGGCTTGAAGCGAGGTTAATATCAGGATAACGTAGCTTGTAGATCTCCCCTGAACCAGAACAATGAATTAAGCCTGATATGTCTCGAGCTGAAAGTTCTGACGCACCGAAGTTTACGGAAGCGCAGGTGAGTGTCGGCGGCATCCACGGGGACAAAGTCAAGATAGCCAGTTAAAAATCTGGTTTAGCTCCAGTTTCTCTGGCTAGAAAGGGGTTCCTGGTCCAGAGATCATATACCTGGGTCGGAAATTGGAAGGCGGCAGCTCGCGCAAGAGGTATTTCCGTCACGTGATCTAGTACTTTGTCGTTTGGCTTTTACCACGACGTCGGGGCGGTAGGCAGTGTTCGGTCTTGCTATTGTGTCGACGTAGCTCGTAGAATTTGGGGGAGGTGTGCAACTGTAATAGATGAATAGATGACAATCAATATTTGTCCCAAGACAACTCGGGACGTGTCACATACTTTGCTTCCAGACGCCAACGTCTGTTCAGGTGGCAAGCCAGAGTGGAGGAGATATTTGCTTGCTACCGCTTCATCGATCGCCTCATTCTGGACCCTCTTATCGACCTTGAATAAGCCCTCGTCTCCCGGCAGACTCGAAATTCCAGACAGACTCTCGCCACCACTATCATTCACAGACGTTGTTTACTCTGGAATTTAGTGAGCGCCTAACGCCTCTTCAATATGGCATACACCGACGGACAATGCATTGATTAGTTGACGGACTAGAAATTTCGGAGCAGGGAAGAGCGTAGTCCTAGGTGAGCATAGCCCTTGTGTCAGTGACGACTTTCTTTCCAACTAGCATCGGATGAGCCACCTTCAATTCTTGCACCCCAACACCCACCGGTACGACAGCGCCAGTAGCTTGTCCTAGGTCGTTCACTGTTCCCAGCCATGGCCGTCATCTAGAAATGTCTTCAGACGATTGGGAAGATCGATGACTTGTATCCTCAATCATCGCCACCCGTCCTTGGAATTTAATAGACGACGTTTCCCGCTGGGTTCTCAACTTGTCCCAGACTTTTCTTCATCCGACTCGATTTTATTGCTGTGGCTGGTGGTCCAATTTCAGCACATGCCACTCAGTCTCTTGGACTTCGCCACGCACCGGAGTATTCCTACTCGAACCAGCCTATCGAAATGCGAAGCAGGGACCGGGCGGCGGGAGGTGAGAGGGCACGGTTATGACAAGCTAGAGATCTGTATACTGTTCTCGTTTCTCCGTCATTCAAGGCTAGTCGTCGAGGTACTTTCGCCGGACCTGCGCTTTTCAATAATCGACTTGAAGATGGTACCCTTTACAGTCGCAAAAACGTTGTCCTGCGTCAACTTGTCCAATGCCCCAACGGAATGGATGAAGCGACTGGACGGCAGGCTTCAGATGTGCCAACTCTGTGCAAAGGCAAGACCATTGCACGGCTATGGTCGCTGTTCTCGGTTCCAATGTGGGGGGCCTCTCGCAGGTTTGTGGGAATCTGTTGTACGCCAGGTCCCTCCATATCAAGGTATCTTTTTCTGATTGAAGAATACAGAGATGCGAGCTCTGTCCTTTCCATGAGCTGAATGTCATTTCTTCAACGATCTGGACGTCGGCTTCGAGGTGTCAATCACAGAGCACGAATCTTTTGCCCAATGCGATTGACCAGAGCACCGAGCAATTCTCTCCTAAGTAAAAAAACGGCGTATCATAACAGATGCATCTTCGTCTCGGACATCCTGTTGTCACCATTTTGCATCATGTCAGACGACGAATGGTGAAGCAACCGGAGATCTGGCCATCTAGAAACGCTTGAGACAGTAGGTGTGTTTATGTCGGCGGTCGCAGAGATTATTCAAGGAAAGAAAAGCAGAATACCGAGGTATGCGCAATTACATGGTATTTTGAACTGCTGACTGAGTAACAGATGGAGCACGTATCGAAAAGTCTCGGCTAAACACAGACGCATCGGTTGGCAAATTTCTGCAAGCGGAGGACCATTTTCATGCACAATACGTCCTTGAGAAACAGTTGCAGGTATTTCGCCGGCAGCGTCGAGGAAGCAGAGAAGTGTAGAGCTGTTTGTATGAAGCTTCACTTCGTGTCTGCACCAGAATTTCGTACTCTATCTGCTCGTCGTCATGCACGATGGCCTACACAGTGATATGGCTCAGCGTCTTTGCCAAGGCTCCCGTTAGAGCCCTTCAAACTACGGATCTGCCGGACTTGGCACAGAGTGGGAGGAGTCTGTCGTGGTCGGCGACAGCTAGTTGACAGCTAGAGTGATCATCAGATAGGCCCGTCCGAGTCGACGGGTCGAACTCTTACCCCTACAGAACCGAGCGCCAGCCAAGGATCATCCATCTACACAAAAGAACTTAGTCTCTCATCGACCTTAGCAAAGGAAGCCCTTACCAGACGAAGCACGCTGATCCTTTACGATGCCTCTACTCACCAAGGCATGAACTAGATCAACAGGACGAGTACCTGCCTTGACAAGTGGTCACCGATACAGGTTCCTTGATGTCAATTGACTGATCAAATCATTAGCTTCCCGGTGCCAGACGTAGAGAACACAAAGCCTACCACTCGAGTCGACAAGCAAGAATATATTTATCTGATTCTTGCATTTTATGTCCACCCCTCCCTGTCAAGGCACTTCCTCCGGATGCAGAATATAGAATTGCGAGCTGTGTCCTGGGTACAGTCCTCTGGGGGGAGGTACCATCGCTAGGCGTCCTTTCACGGGAGGAACACCATCTCTTCTACGATTCAGATGTGCACGCAGGCTCGGAGACATTAATCGCAGAGCACGAATGTACCGTCCAACGTGAGCTTCTGTTACTAGTGTTGGGATTTGGCAATCCGGCATCATGCCGAGGATGCTTATTAAGGTAGAAGTAAGAGGAAAAGCGTGGAAAGTTCTAGTAAAAGTACATTTAGTATAAAAGTAGGTACTTTAGTGTAGATCCTCATGCGTTTGCAGAGCTCAGCCAAGCGCAATACTATTGGCTTGCTACCACGCATGTGACACTGGGAACGAACTGATACCCCGTTCTCCAACAACTAGCGGTCCGAGCAGCGACCAATTCTAGAGCCATATAAAAGCAATTTTCCCAACCCGCAGAGTATACAGTACACCATTGAGAAACAGCTCTGAGAATTTAGTCGGCAGCTAGTCGGGAGGCGTCGGGAAAGCAGAGAAGTATACGCCTGTTTGGCTGAAGCTTTGGTTTGTGGCGGCTATCGCCTTTGGATCGTCTGTCTTCTACTTCGCGTATGAAACGGCACATTTCACTTTGTCTGTTCTTTGTCCTTACGATGGTCTGCACCGACATATGCCCAATGTCTTCGTCAAGGATACAGTCGTGACTCTACAACCTGCTCTATGCTGAACCCCATTTTCGTGGTCCCAGTTTGTTACGAGCACGATGTCGACACAAATCACCTCCAGCTCGTCGACCTTGCCAGCATACTCCAAGATACAGAGCCTTGTAGCACGGTGGAACGTCGTATAAGACGAGAACTCTCGCTTGCTCCGTTGTCTTTGAATCTAGGCGTGAAAAGGGCTACCATATGCACCACAGCAACAGCAACTCATGGGCAAATTGGTATATTGCCGGTGTGAGGCCGAGGAAACTGCTGCTATATAGGCCAGGGTGAAGACGCTGCAGAAATCCAGGCTGAAGAAAGTCGGGTTAATTCACAATCGTTGGTCGCTGTCGAAGGTACGCTCACTTCCCTTTATCTATGCACCTAAGCTTGATTCATCCACAGATCAGTCGGCTTCATGCTAAGATATTCATATACCATATACCCTTGAATCCTTCAAAAAACAGCACCGAGAATCGCCCTACCTTCCTGCTTTCGAATGCATTGTGAGGAATACGTGCCTGTTGAGAAGCAGATATCATCGTACTGCCTGTAGAAAGTCTTGGCTGGACAGCGGATACCATGGTTGCAGTATGCAACTTTCTAATGATAAACACCATTAACGAGAAAGAAGTCACGAATGCTTGCAAAGATGAACTTCTTTGCACCTGCGCCAAAAAATGCGCCAGGTGACCGGCTAGTCCCGGCCTGGGCTGGCATTCCAATCTCACACCAAAATAACGCCGCGTCCTTTCTCCTTGTTGAGCATTTCGTCACTCCGCTGCACAACTGCATGAATTCGTCTTCTCGCCGTCGTTCTCGCCTGATTGATTGTAACTGATATACCTTCCTCGCAAAGCTTCCCAGATCCCCGTCCATCCTTCGATTGGCAAGGCCTGTGCTTCGACTTTCGTTGTTCGTGTTTCATACTGGTTTCCTCGTCATTCTTCGTCAGTCTGTGGCTCCGTGATCCGACAGCCTATCGGCTCACTGAAACACCGTTTTTCTATAAGGCTATGGGGGCTGTAGTCCAGAACTTCAAACTTCGAGTTCAGGTTCGATAGATTCGCCGGGTTCGGAGAGAGGATCGGTGATCCCTCAAAGTCGGAGGCTGGTATCGAACTTTGATTCGGAAATTGCGTGTCTGCGTAGTGTGCTCAAATTCCCAGGCTTTCTTATTGCGGACATTGAAATATAGAAGAAGTGTTTACCTGGCCCTCAGGATCAGTATTCACCGGGCCAACCTTCTCTACGCGACCCTTCGCTCTGTGGTGCTTCGCCTTTTGTTCAGTGTTTTAATGGTCGTCCGGGAGTAAGCAACGAGTCACGAGCGGAAGTAATACTCAACGGGTGCCTGTTCTCAACAAAATCAAAGATCAACAGCTGTACTCGCCTGCAACACCAGCCTGACGATCTCTCGTAACGTACAAACTACCAGATCGAAAATTTCTAGAGCTCCTTCTCTTCACGTACCTATCATAAAATGTTGCTATTCTCGGCGGAAATCGTCATTACGATATCCCCCAATGGTATACGGGGCTCGAGCTGACGATGGCTATGAACTCGAACCTGTTCCTGTGTTGCTAATGGGGATCACGCGTAGTGTTCCTTATTGTGACGGCACTTCCATGGGACAGGGACAGATTTGCAAAAAGCACGAACAAAAAAGAATCAGCTATCCTGACGCTTGTACCCCAGAAGGGCCGGGACTCAATTGCAAGGCTGCTTGGTTACATATTTCTCTCGCCGATGTCCCTCCACTCTTTGAGGAATCCCCACCAGTGTTTGTATGTTTTTAAAACCTTGACTCTCGCACTTGCTCGACTCTGCTCTTCCGCAACCCGACAAAAATGGACCATCAAGTCGGTCTTCGGCTGTCGTTTTGACCGACCTTTGAAGTAAGGTTGGCGTTTGGGTCGTTTTCGACAGCTTGGGCGTCGTTATGAACTAGGTTTCTGCGAACTTGATGTGAATTTGTGTTATGTTTATGGCGTCGCCGGCTATTTTGGTGATCTCAGAACCCCTCTGCGCACCTTTGAGGGACCCACGGTTCGGTTGATAATGAAGTCCGATGTTTCATTAACTTCCCTCATTACCAGGCCTAGGGAAGCGGTTGCAAGCTTCGAGCCCATTTTCTGATTCCGTGACTGACCCCTGCATCTCAAAAAAGCTAGATTTCGTCGTTGAGTTCGTCGAAAATCATTTCTGACTTTACGACGTTCTAATCTTTGCTATCCTTGTTTGTCCTAGTAGCTGGTGTCGGGACCCACCTGTAAATTGACTGGCTACACTGTGGCTTTCTGCCATCTGGCGCTATCCATGTCCCACTCACGGTGCAGCGAACTAGCCTTACCTTGTAATAGCGATACTCCGATAGGTCGAACACTTTCTGCTATGATCTTTCTTCCGATCACGCAGTTTACTGACAAATCTGGCCTGTTCCTATAAAGAATCACTCGAAGAAAATCTCTGCTGCCGGTCTTGCCAGTTTTATAATAGGAAGGTCTTTTATGGCGTCCTTCATCCTCCCACTACCTTTCAACATCGCCTTCACATCCCTTCTTCGCTTTTCCTGCTCTTTCACAATGTGCCGCCGTCGCCAGTAAGCTACACGGTCACCTTACCATTGCATCCGCTCACAATAACTCGTTGCACAGAGTCAGGAATGTCTATACTCGATGTGGACACGCTGTCAACCTGGTATGTTTTTTACGTCGGACACATCCACCTCCACTGATCGTCATTACCTTAGCCCGAAGAAATTGTACAACTTTTACTGCAATATTGCGACAATCCTCTCAATTTTACCACCGTTTTTAGATTTCGTGCGAGGAGTCTACCTGCAAGTTTAGTCTTTTCCATCCTGCGAGCTGCAAGCCGCCGGCTTGTCGGCAGACCTGTTGGCAATAGTATGTCTCGACTGTTCCCATCCAGTGCGGTGCGACTAACTAATATATTTCAGTTGTCGTTATCCTGAACAGTATTGTACGACGACAGTTTAAATATTTCTGTCCTTTCCCGCTAACATTCTTGATAGCCCCCCACATCGGTTCATATTGCCCCTGGTTGCAATACCAAGGCTGTTGAGCTGCAGGTGAAGCATCCCTTGTACCATCTTGCCTCCAAATCGTAACGCTGATGGTTTCATATGTACTAGCATTATACATAAATATTGGAATATCCTGCGTAAAAACTTGTAGTTCCGTGCCTCATCTACATCAACCGAGCCGATCGGGTTTAGAAATTTAACAGCTGGCGGTATTTATATCCCACTATTTGCTTCACATCCGGAGTAAAGGAATAAGGGTGCTCGCGCATCCGATGAATATAGGACTCGGACCAAGAATCGTGAGCTACGACAGTATGCTTTACTAGAGTTACAACCTCCCTGGTCCCACTGATCAGGCTATCTCGGGCTCATAAGTGTCAGTAATTAGCTTCAGCGATAACATGCGTCGCGGAGGCTCAAGAGAACAAAATTCGAACGTAGGAAATGGTACCGACATAATCGAGATCGAGTCTGATACCCCCCAAAGAATTACGCTGTTCATATCTATCGTTTGTGGTCAGGCCCCAGGTTCTTTAGTGATAGCCGGTTGTTATGTGAAGTCCGACTCGGAATGTTATTTTGAACACGAGGACTACTGTGCCTCGGTCATATCGCAACACGGAATCAGGACAGAGATCAAATTGTGAGCTCGAACCATCAATTTTCAACAGAACAACATATTCACACGTTCAATAAAGAACATCAACTTGGAGCATCTGCCTTCTGCATTGGACGAACCAGGGAAGCTGGAAGATCAACGCATTTCGATTTATCAGTTCCTTGAACGGAATGACTCAAATCCGCATCATGGATGCTTGCGAAAGAATGATGATAAACTTCCCCAGGAGCAGATGTGGGTCGACGATTTACTTAGGGTTATAATAACCGGACTGTACCTGATCAACATCAGGTGAGCCACTGGTCATTGCTTTATAAAAGAGTATCGAACTTGGTAAGCATTCGAGTCTTGATCCCACTTACTCTTGAAAGCTGTCTTTAAAATGCCAGTCTGATATTGGCACTTCGTGATACACAGCATATATTCATGTCCCTTCGCAAACTAAACCGACATCGCCGCATCATTTTTTTTCTCAGGCTGCCTTCTACGCTGTCGTCAGGTCAACTTCCCTCGTTAAATGCCGGCTTGAACTCGCGCTGGTTTTAGATGGCGTTTCAAATCACAGGGTCCCGATTATGAAGGACGCTTACTTTAATGCTACTTGCTTCACTGCATAGTTCCATTAAAGTAAGCGATGAATCTCAGGACAATAATAGGGTTCGCTGATTCGTAGCAAAGGAAAACTCATATGGTGTCTCATAGACAGACGATGATACACACCTGTTGATGAGAGAGAATGACGGTGTGTATGATTTACTTTGCGACTATAAAAAGTTAGAAGTGTAGCCTGGTCCTGGCTGCCTGCATACATTCGATAAACCGTTCCATACAGCATATCCTGCTCAATGGCGAAAAGCAAAATATATTCAAATCTGTAGATGGTTATATCTTGACCGTCCTTCCCTCAGTTTTCGGAGACAGTGACAAAAGCAGCTGCGACGACGGAAGTTGGCAAGAAGTTGGAACGATCACGATTTGTCAGCATCGGCAGATGCCGCATGTCCGGGCGGCGCATACCAACACCAACACCTTCTCTAACGAGTACTTCTCCCGGGATTTTGTTATATGATTCCCCCTTGTTTTCTATCGCCTCTCCCTGGCATGGCTCATTCTCCCTCAAATGATTTCTTCCCATTCCTTTGTTGGCTATCTATGATGATCTGCTTTTTCTGATCTTTGATCTGTGGGCGCTTAATTGCAACTTGCTGCGAAAACTGGAAGGGGGTATTCCCCATTCTTCTAGTATTACTCAGGCTGTTCCTGTTTGTTCTGTGGCAACAGTTTCTTCTGGGGTGGGAGCATTTTTGGCGTTAAACCACAACACAAATCTTGAATAGGAGGTTCTTCGGCTGCTCAGGACGCCGAGCGATGCTATTGCTCATCAAAATTCGAGGAAGAGAAGATTTACCCGATCCTCAGGTCTAGACCCTCCTATTCGATCTACAGCGGCTTCTGTGCTCTTTGCTCTAAGGTTTAATGTAGTTTCATTAAGGCAAACACCACGATCTATTCTTGACAGTTTAGACATACGACTCAACGGAAACTCACGAAGTTAAATCCTCACAGCTGAAGTTATGATCCGCCCGCAACCTACAAGGTGCCGGGTCGAGAATTTCTTAAGCGTTTAATGTCATTTTCACATCCCTGCCATAGGCACGCAATTTTTGGCGGCACAGATGGTGAAAATGAATCTACATCCTAAAGGATATCCCGGTATTCAAGTTGATGACCGTCGTGCTCTCGCATCTTGTAGCGCTCCCGTCATAAAGGGGGAGAACATATGCCGACCACTTGTTCTCCGACGCGTTCTCTTGCAAGGCTTCTCGGTCACTCGTTTCTCTCAACGATTATAGTAATTACACGTTCTCAATATCTCCAAAGTCCTGAGATAGTTGTCTGTTTTCGAAGGTGAGAGCGCTTGGCTAGGAAAAGAAGAACTCCTAAATTCGGTCTTCGGGATGAACACACTCCGACCTTATCATTGAAAAATCAACGCGGAGGTATATGGCTATGACCTTGGAAAAGCTACGCAGCTTTTCAAGTCCCAGTGTTCAATTTGTAATGCTTCCGTTCTCACATCACGATAATGCTAAAGTAAAGCTTTGTAAGTTTTGATTCCATGTTTCTATGATTCCTTAAACTCATGATCGGTTACATTTATGATCAACAAGGCATGAAGTTTTTTTATTGATTGCATCTAGAATCGCTGCAGTAGGTCATCTTTGCTGCGCCCACAATGTTTGAATCTTGACTCTTCGCTATGTTTGCCTGCCTCGGAAGCTGTCAGCTGAAACCGAGCCACCTGTAAAACGGCCCCAACTTCGAGTTATTCGGCGCCGTTCATAGCCAACTCGCGACATCGTGAAGTGACTAACTAGCTCGAATTCTGACAGTATTACTCCGACAGGTCAAGCGCCTCCTGCTGCATTAGAACAGTAAAAAATTCAGTATGTCAGACGCTTTCTGGTTTAATCTATTTACCGGAAATACGTTAAGGGCCCGTTCGTGTGCACCCGTTTAGACTTAGCCAGGGGGTTCTGGTACGGTTAAGAGAATCGGTCACAGACGTCACAAGCTCGGGATAATTCGGATGAATGCGGATGATGTCCGAATGATGTCAAGCGATCGTCAATGCTGCCACCGACGTCACCGAAGGGTGTCCCAGCGCCGTCCCGCTTGTGCCGCTCACTGACAGACACAACGGCGGCAGTATTCTTGCAAATTTGTGCTGATTTATCTTGGTATTCAATTTATTTCACAGGAGTGTTATATTTTCTGGTCTTGTTGGCAATGCTGTTGTCATTGTGAATGGTGAGCGGGCGTGCGGGCAGAGGGAGCGCAGCATCGGGGTCAGAATGTACGTGACAGAGGAGTGACATGCTGATAAATCTAAATTAAACAGACTTAGACGGCCGGTTTAGCTGTGAAACGGATCTAGCCGGATGCACACGAACGGGCCCTAATTCTCCCCTCTTTTTCAGAGTAAGTTACTCAACGAAAGTTAGTCACTCCGACTCTTACCAGCTTATAAACAGGGCGGTCGACTATGATGTCCTTCAACTTCCTATTTGCCATACAACATCGCCTTTGCACCTTTGTATTCTCTTTCCACTGTTTTATGATGTGCCGCCGTCGCCAGTGAGCTACAACTGATCATTATAATAACCCACTCTCTCAATAACTCATTCACAGAGTCAGAAATGTATACATTCGATGTGGCCATGCCGTCAATCTTGTATTTCCTTTACATTATAACAGATACGCCTCCAGTATTGATCTCTGCCACTTAGCCTGAAATATACGTACGGAAATGTATAGGCACTTTGAATTCTTCTCATTTGATACCCTTTCTAGATTCGATGCGAGGAGTCTAACTGCAAGTTCAGTCTTTTCCATCCCGCGAGCTGCAAAGCCCCTGCTTGCCTTCGTACCTGTTGGCAATAGTAAGTCCGAACTGCTTGTCGCACTTTAACTTGATGATAACCTACGTCCTGTAGCCATCGCTATCCTGAACAGTACTGTACGACTTGAAATACTTCAAGGTTTCCGTTCTTTTTCGCTAACATACTCGATAGCTCCTCACATCGATTCGTGTTGTCCCACGTGCAGTTCACATCAGCAATCTCGGAGTTACTAATGTTCACTAGTATGCATGCATCCACAGCTAAAGGACTGCAAAAAATCAGATCTTGGTCTATCTCGACGAATTCATATGTATTAGCATCATGTACTAGTGACATGCATGCTTTCTAAAAGTGTACTGGTCGTGGATGGCCGCTTCAAGCTGAGCGCGGCGAGTAAGGCCGGTCGAAGGAGGGGCGGACCCTGCCCGACGTGCCCGATTGATATCAATCGAGCCAGTGATCGGAGGTATATCCTCAGGGTTGCTCGACGCCAAACTAGTCGGGCTAAGAACTGTTACGTTTCTGATCTACGGTAATCTAAGAGGCAGAGTATGCTTCTTAAGACTCGGATAGGTTACAAAAGTACGCGTTAGTAGACGTTTAAGTCCATTAGTACTTGAGTCAGTACTGTAACCACTCAGGATAAGTTGAACTTGAGGATAAGTGTCAATAATCAACTTCATCACGACGCTCGAAGAGACCGAGAGTCGAACGTAGGAGAAAACATGGTCTTTGCAATGCCTATTTAAGGAGTATGATAGCCGGTTGCCGTACAGTCCGGAACGGCGTTCTGGGCACAGGTCTTGGCGGCGCCACAACACATCACAACTTTAGCTAGCGCTCGAACATCAATTCTCGACAGAAGGACTCTTGTATATATAACACGAAGAACTTAATAACTAAACAGAGATGCGAATTCGGAATACCGTCGTGATCGCAGTGGGCCATCCCATGCAAGGATCTGAAGTTTCAATCGATGAAGTTGGAGGGACGGTTATTCTGTAACAGTAATAACAACCGTCGGTAACCTGATACCACCGAACATCGCAAGTCCGTCAACTTGAAGCTTGAAGCTCAGTCATTCATTGAAGCCTGGATCTGCCTACGATATTGGCGCTTTCGTGAGACGCCTAACTTTCTTGTTTAAAATTCTTCTGCCTTCATTATCGTCAGTTTGACTTCCCTCGTTAAATACCGGCGGGGACTAAGCGTTGGTTCCTGCAGGTAGTTTTATATCATAAGTTGAAGGTTATAGTTGCGAAGGCGGCTACCATTCATACTTCTCTGCGTAGTGCCGAAGATAAATAAGCCCGTAGCCAAGGGTTAACGTGGTTACCTCCCTACCTACCTGACACTACCAATGCTAAAAGCCAACTGAATGCGCAAGAGCCTGGAGATACATAAAGTCCGAAATTCTCGTGTTAATTTCCCGGAAGCGAGGAGCTTTAGTTGTCTGCAGACGAGACCAATCCAGGTTCAGAGCGTGCAAATCATTACAAAGAGGATGGCTTTTCACAATATCGCACCAGATCTGAACAGCAAAGCCATTTTGTCGGAGTTCGTCATGTTCTTGACTATGTTCGTTGAGAATATGACACACTAATATGAGCTTTCCTTGCCATGCATATCACCAGGGAAAGCGAGGTGCGCGACGGAAGTTTCGAGGTACACCGATCCTTCCAAGGAGGATGAAACTAGACGTGAGATTCGAAGAACAACTGGCAACAACCTCAGAGAAAAAATCACACCGTGGTAGTCGCTAGAAAGAATCTGCAAGTGTAGCTCATTGGTATTCGTTCGTGGACGTCCTTGCCTACAAAATCTTTTCGTACGGCCTGAAATTCTCCAAGTGCTTTGCCCACCTTCCCTCATTCCAAGAAGCAAAGGCTTTCCACTCTTCACTCTCCTCTCCAACCACCCTCCTCATGAACCACAAAAACCCGCAAAGCGCCGTGTCTGAAAAACACGGTTCACTCCCCATAACAAAGTCACCCTCACTCTCTTCGAAGCATTTGTTCATCTTTGCCAGCTTCTCTTTCGTAATCGCCCACAACCTCTTCCGCTCTTCGCCCTCCGGAGCCTCTAAACTAGAAATCGAAAGAAAACTTTTCTCTCATATAAATTGCCGTCCGGGCGTTCGTCTTCACCACCAAGTCCGAATAAAAGAGGGGCAACCGGAGATGGTCAAAGGCGTCACTGACTGCATCGGCAAAAGCGAGCTGTAGGGTCATCGTCCCGGTAGGTAAGAGCACGGGCCCGGAGGAAGGGTATGTCTTATCGAGATAGGCTGCTATGGCGGCAGAGTCGGAGACGACAGCACCCGTAGAATCATCTTGAATGATGGGTATGGTGTAGAGATGAGAGACACCGTTGGATTTCGTGCTGGTGGGGGCGGCGCCGATCCTTTTAGCGAGGGCTTCGATATCAGGTAGCTCGACGTAGACAGTCTGGTAGGGCAGATTTTTGAGGTTTAGGGCGTACCTAACATTGCACCGTTAGTTTCAGAACACGCCTGCAGCGGGAAATATGTGTACCTAGTGCGCCAGGTCATCATAGTTCCCGGAGCATAGGTTGCTTTGGACGGTAGGTCGTAAAGAGTAATCATGCTGAAACTGTGCAGGGAACATCATTTAGTTTGTATTTTATACATAAAAGTTCTGGCGAGGCTTACTAAGTGCTAGCATGAATAATCTACCAGCAGGTACAGTCTTTGTCATTACCACGAAGTTTATGTGGATGTTTACATCATAGTCATTCGTTTGATATCCGCGTCCACGTTGCCTACGACTGCGGAAGAGAAAAGCGCAAGTTTTTGTTGCCTAGATGATATGCATCCATGTTGGTCGACTGCTCTCCCGTTTCACGATTAAAAGTTGCGTAAGGACCGTTTAGCTCCTGCCCAGGCAGAAAGAAACGATGGAGTAGAGCTGACGTGAACCAAATTTGCGGGTATGTACTTGTTGAAACGGCTAAGCGAGGTGGAACAAATCATTGTTGTTGCTGAGACTTCGGTGGTCGCAACGATCTATCTTGTCATGAGATTCGCCGTCTGCAACGACAAAACGACGCACCACTTCACACTGAATGTCATGATGGATTCTTATTAACACCCTGACAGTGCATATGTGCAACATTTTCGAGGCGAGAAGATTCGGTCGGATCGTGTATGATCCTTGGTGTCATGCCAACAATATCGAACAGGGTTCCAACGTGGCATCGTGTGGCATGTTGATTAAATGCTTCGAGTTTCTAATGCAGGGCGAATTGACTTGTCCATGCTGCGCCAATGTAGCCCTGGTATTATCCGTCATATTCATCGTTCTCTGTAGAAGTAGAAGAAGCGCACCTAATTCACCCTGGTCTTCTAAATACCCGACTTCATATAACAATCTAGACCATCAGGCGATAGTCCAGAAAAGCGAGATCAGCTCCCGGCCATTCCAAATTTAAACTAAGTGCACAATTTGTTTGCTCGAGTCTGCAGCAAGTGAAAAATTGAGACCAGAAAAAAACGAGATAAGCAATGCACAGCTTACCTTATTGGGACCGCATACCGGTTTTCTAAACTCTAAACTCAAGTTGTGATCGCGGCTCGCGGCTCGTGCATTCAAATCATCGTGTCGGCTAAACGCGGTTCCCTCCCTACGACAAATTCTATCTCGACAAAGTTCTCTTTGATTCACCAAGCTGGGTGGGCCAATGCGTCGTTCATCTTGCTATGCTCATAGATACAAACAGGTGCCGGCGGGGAAAGAGAGCAAGAAAAAAATCGATTACTGCACTCGAGAGGCGAGTCGGAGAGCCATCGTTCCCATGGGTGCAGGCCCGAAGAAGTAGCTTTTTATTGATACCAGAAGAGGTCTTGCATGAACATCGCGCTTCACGATGGTGGTGGCGCCAAGGTTTTTGGTGCGAGGTGTGGGTATGATGAAATTTCGGGGTTCAGACACTGGAGTATCTGCAACAGCATTTCACCAATTCGAGATAAGCCAGTGACAGAATGTGCACCTACCGCAGAGTAGACGTACCGTCAGCATGTAAATCACACAATGACATCTGCCGTGCAGAAATTTCCTGATACAATGGCTTGAAAGACGATACAGACACAGTACTTGGTGGTGACTTGTCGTCCATGTCGAATCACAGTGAGAACGGCGTGGCGAAATGCATTCCAGGACCAAGTTCTTAGTTTCAGCTCGTCAAGGCGCATGATATGCTCCTAGAGACTGTTGCACCTTGTCTTATTGGATTGGCATCTGCGAGAGAAAAATTATTATGCACCAGACCTTTTTCTTTCCTGTATCGAAGCCCCGCATGTATGCGCCATTACGAGGTCACCGCGCTACACCTGAGGCATCCAACGAAGCCAAAATATGGCAATGGGTATATCGTCGGGTCGTCCTAAGTACAGTGCCTATATTGTCGTTGATATCCGTCCTGCAGAGCGAAAAGTAACGCACCGAACTTGCTCTACGCCCTCTGAGTGCCCAACTTTGCACAGGAGCCTGCGACTGTCGACCAGGAAAGAAAAGACAAGGCGATATCAATGCATGGAGATCCAAATCCTAGGCATCGAGCCCAAGTGAAATGAAGAACACAGTGTATCGAATTAATGATGAAGCTTTCAAGAGTCGGTCCATCGGGGGATGCCGGCAAGGTAAACACACGTGGCAGGTTCAGGATTCCGGAAGGTACGGAAGGTACCCGGAACCGTTTTGAATTCTTCCAAACTTGAATTTCTTCACTAAAACTCTTCTTCAAACTGGTTTTTTTCTGCATAGCTGTTCTGCACAATACTCGGTTGGGCGCTATCTCAAGGCCTGCTTACTTCCCCTCAGACGTTAACAGACTACTCGCCCAGCAATCATTCTCTGGAGTCTGCCAGCGAAAAATGCATCGGCGGTATTGTCTATCGGTTACTATCTGTTGCGACTTGTCCGTCACCGATATCAAAGTCTGCCTCATGCAGACTGCTCAATTTTATGCTTGTTCCTCGCGCACGCAGTTCGAGTCGCAAACACTGTTAGTGCCTTATTTTTAAGTTTTTCATTACTTGGGCGTTCGCCATCTCCTAGTCTTACCCGTCGTTCGTATCAGGGTTGTGTATCCACCAGTTCGATGTACGATCTAATACATCTGTGCTCGGTCTGGATCTCGGCCACGGACGATGTTCGGGGCATGAAACAATAGACCTTGGCAGGCTATGATTGGCGCTTTCTGACACCCACATGGAGTGCAAACTTTTCTACACAACTTGGCGTAGCTTCACTCTTACCGGCTTTCTATTTTTGCGATTGCCTCACTGTTGGCGGCCATCTCTTAGTAACAGTTTTGGGCTGCCTCGAAGAAAGTACTCGACAGCTGCACCAGGTACCGTCAGACAGGCTTAGAGATAAGCGCCGAGCTGTAGCCAGTTGGGGGGGTGAGCCCGCATCACGCGTTCCTGAACCTTCTTTCGAAAAATTGTTTACTGCCGTATATCCGTGTTTTCTCTATCTGATGTCACATCACAGAATTTTCATTCAAAGGCCTGGTGGTACTATTACAGTGAGCTAACGTCACTGCAAGAGCATTAGATTATAAGACTTTCGTGAGTCCAAGTCCATCCTCAAACCAATGACCAGCTCATAAGTTCATGGCAGGTTTGTACTAAAAAGTCCGCAATCTACGTCGTCTCTTGATCTTCTATGCGACTAATCAAATCATGCTGCACAGGCTCCTGGGAAAAGGCGGTGTTGTATCATTTTTTACATTGCAGACGGCGCTATTCAATGTTGCGACTTCTTCAAGTTCTGTTCAAAGCTATTTACTGGGCCAAACTTTGGTAAAGAGGTCTAGATCCCCCAGCATAGCTCTGTTCCTATGTCGCGACTAGCAAATATAGGTCAACCCGAGTAAAAATCGGAACCATATTCGTATCTCTCAAATGGATTGATATTCTTTTTCAGGTGCAACGGTGTCCATTTTTGGTGTTTCCCTCGTTCTACCTAGACAAACGGCAATTATAATGTTAGATTCTTCTCGCCATGCAAAGATGTCCTCTGACTCAATAGCCTCCTTCCGTTGATATATTTATCGCTCTTCCCATCTTCGTACACGCTGATCTCTGACACAAAAGTCTGGTTCTGCGGTCTCAACTGCCACAAATCAATTTGTCATTGGTATTGGCTCTTCAAAGGGAACCATCTCTGCCATCCTCTTCTCAACTATATCTCAACTTCGCATTACCCCTCTTATCTTCACTCCATCCACAACTACATCATGTGTCGCCGTCGCCAGTGAGACAATCCTCGCCGCCGAATCTACTATTCTCATTAGTCCTAACAGTGTTCGGAATGTCTACCTCAGATGCGGTCATGCTGTTAACCTCATACGCCCTCTACATTCCCACATACCCGCATTTACTAATCGCCGTTTACTTAGCCTGAAAAAATCATACGATAAATGCTATACGACGGTGTCCATCTCTGTCTTTGCATTTTAACACCCTTCCTAGATTCGATGCGAGGAAGCTAACTGCAAGTTCAGTTTCTTCCACTCTGCGCGATGCAAACCACCGACTTGTTTGCGGACGTGTTGGCAATAGTATGTTTATATTTAGTCGCCCCAAGTACCTTCTTAACCTCCATTTTCTAGCCTCCGTTTTCCAGAGCAGCATTGTACGAGAACTCAAGCCACCTTTCCGTTGTCAGTACGCTAATATCTATGATAGCCCCCAACATCGACCAGTACTGTCCCTCCTGTTACCAGGCAATTCAAATTTTCAATATCAGTACCGCCTCCAGTAAAGAAGGATCCCACCGCATGCACACTGCGTCACTATTGTGTGAGGATTAGCTTACTCGGTAAACAAATTGACGCAAAGTTTAGTAGTACTAGTTATTTCGAAACACAACACTGGCCTGGATGTGCGCGCGCTCTATAGAATAGAAGAAAAAAGGTGCAGATAATACGATCAAGTGTGCTGATGGCGTTCACCATAGGGCTGTAACCTTGCTTTTAAGCGCTGGATGATAGGATCCGGGCCGACCCCTGATTCCTCAGACTGATCAGCATCAATGAAAACCAACTGATCGTCTTGAACCGTAATGGAAGGCAAGTTCACAATCAGGACTAAGAAAATATACTAATAGAAATTTCAATGCTGAGATCCATTGGACTGAAATTCGGTCAATAAACTAGCGGTATCAGATCATTTTCTCACACTGGCAGGACCGGAAGTGGCTGGGAAGAAGGAAGGGGAATTATCAAGCACAGTCGATGCGGGGCGATGATCGGCGGTGAGATGGGTGAGTAATGGCTCAGGGACATCCATGATTTTTTTGTGAAAGCTACCCTATGACACGGTCATCGCATAGTTTGCGCTTCCCTCGGGATGATGACGTTTCCGTCACCCCGGCAACTCCCAGATCAATGTGTCTGAGAGACGCTCCTCAAGCATCTCTCATGTTTGGCTGCTCCCCCAACTGCCTCCGTTTCTCATCCTCGATCGTGCATCGTGTCTCACTTGGGCGCGGCCGATCAGGTCTCCCCCTCTCTCTTTTTCTTCCCCTCCACCCCCATCTCGCTTTGGACAGACCAGCAGCCCTGTCCCATCCATACCATGCATGTCTATGGGACGCCACTTTTTTCTTTTTTTTCTAATTCATTTCTCCCTCCCTGTCCCCGCCCACCGTTGCCCATTCCCGTTCTTCTGTTCCGTTCTTCTGTTTGATGTGACTAAGCTACGACATTCCTCTAGAACCTATGATAAACCTCAAATCGGCCGCTTACTTGCTGTTGTCAGCGGTGTTTTAGGTTTCGTAGCCCTCCTCGTCCTCCTCGTCAAGCTCAAATTTCGCGTCAAACGAGAACGTATGGCTCGGGATATGGACATTGCAATGCAGCACGCACCGGTCCCCCAATCTCAGTCTATGCCCGTGCCGCCATCCCCAGTCCCAGCAGAACAGGCTACACGACAGGAAAGCCCTTTGATGGCAGCGGTACCTTCAGTAGAGGAGCGGGAGACGAACATATATGTATTTCCTTGCATGGATGTTCTCCCAGACGAGAATGGTGATTTTCAGTGTGAGAACATAGATCTGTGCGTGTTTTTTTCTTTATGCTCGTGCGCTGGTATCATCGTCATCTGAATTTGACACTACCACAGGTCCTTTGGCTCAAACACACTCCCCCAATTCAAGGAGCTCTGCGAACGGTATCATCTGCCTCGTTCTGGCAGCAAAACGGTGTGACGTGACCGACTTGTGGCTTTTAGCAAGGCTGGTATGGGTAGATGGAAAGCAACGTACGTCTGTATAGTACAGTGCGCCACTCTGACTTAATATCCATTTTCTGTAGCCTCCTCCCTCATGCTCGTATTCCCCACAAAGGTGTCAGGAGTGGTGGTGTTACTAAGTCCCGGGCCCGAAAGCCGACCCAGCGAAAGGCTCGTATTCTGCAGGCCAATGATACTTCGAATCTATTTCAACCAGCCTTTCGTGTGGAACGATCCAAAGATACCCGAACAGAAGTGGACGTTCGTGGCATCATTCCATGGGTGAGTTTTGTTTTTAATTCAATTTTGTGCAAGAGCTCATGGGCTTTCCGTTCAGTGCACCAGTCTATTAGCAAAGATTTCCCAAATGGCCGAACAGGTTTTGCGCCACACGCATCTGCCTGACCGCAGACATAGCAGTGTGGTTCTTGCTGCACAACCTTCGGTACTTCCTTTCCTTCATTTCGTTCTTCTAGAATCCTGATAAATATCAATGGTGTAGGATCCCCTCGAAAACCCGCTCTTTACCCATCGCGTCACATCCATTGTCGAAGCGCACCTGGCAGCATGTCAATATACATCTTCAACAGGTGCTGCCATCGAGTCTGCTTCGCTGTTTGGATTTCCCCGTTCCTCCATGGACTTCGACACTTTCGATACTGCTGGTCTTGGCCTCACAGCAGAGTCTACTGACATCACCTGCGATGTAGTGGATCGGCCGGATTCGCCTACCATACTGCACCCCGAACTTCCTCGATTGGAACAAGTCGTTCAGCCCTTTTTGCCTCAACTTGAATCCCCTGTTTTCCAACCAGCACAAGCCGAATACGTTGCTCCTACCCAGCCTTCACTGGATTCGGCACCTATACCTGAGGCCACGTCAATCCCTTCTGATGGCTTGTTCGGCGGTTCCAAACGATGCGTACTCCTACTTGCAGATGGCACCAAGCTCATCTTTGATCAGAGTGAGGTACCGCCGACAGAACCCTTTCGTTATGCATCAGATATCCAGCGGCTGATCAACAGCTGGGATGACGCAAGCTCAGAGTGGAACCCGCCCAGCAGTTATCCGATCTCCATTCAAGGATGCGCGATTCCGATCAAATTCTGGAAAATACTGTACAAGCATAATCGGACGACCGGGGAGGAATGGAAAAGATTGAAAAATGCTTGGAACAATTGGCGGGTACGTCCTTTCATTTTGCGAAGCCCATGCCTTCATACTTACTCTTCAATATCAGTTTTTTATGGAGCGTTACCAAGCGTTGGGACCAGAAGCCTTTTGGACCCGATACTCCAATGCTCGGGGACAAAGGTTATCCTATTCCCGAATCTCGAAACACTTGCGGGACGAACGAAAGGCCAATGATGAGAACTTAGTAAAGAGATTGCGGCAGGAGTATGGCAACAGATTCGAAGCTGAGTTTGGCTACTATGACAAGAATAAAAAATGGGTTCCCATGACAAGTGACTCAAAGATTGCACGGCGGTATAGGAAGAAGATGGGATTGGGATCAGAGGAGGATGATGATGAAGATGACTAGCTTGTTGAATACATTTGTACATAATTTCTTGGAATGCACTGTCTCATCATATCAGAGCTACCTATTTGACGAGCACGTAAAGACCATGGCAGCAAAGGTAAACGAAGTGCTGAGCAGAAATGAAATTGCAAAGATGGCCAATACCTCTCCAGCTTCCAATTCTTCCCCTCCATGCATGGCAACGTAGCCTTGTGCTTCAGTGTATACACTAGTGAGCCCGTTGTAAGCACATAGATAGAAGAATCGGTATAATCCTACAAATATGTGTCTGCCATCTGGGGAAACCGACTTGCATCCTCTCTCCATGCTCATCGTCCTCTGTATGTTTTCCCTCGACAAGAAATATCTACTACCGAGATCTGCATCAACGCCCATGTCGATCATGGTTCCTCTGTCAAAGTTAGTACTGATGGTACACCTGCCCATGAGAACAGTCACGAGAGCTCTGCCCACGACGATAACGACAACACATGTGCCAGCTCTTCCTGCACCAGTGGTGACAGCAACCGCTCCAGCACCCACAGCACCAGAAAAGACACCTCCCACACCGACGATCACTCCCACACCATCACCATCAACTTTGATGATGCTCATCACGACATTCAAGTCGACAGTGCTCTTCATAACACTCACAATGCTGCCAATGGTACCTCTCGAGTTATCAACAGCTTCCATGTGAGCGACAGCGAATGTCCTGTCATTGGTGTCAATATGACACCACCATCGATGATGCCCACATCAACAACGACGCCTCTGAGCCCTGTCCATGTGAAATATCGCACCATGACAAGGTCTTTAGCCTATTCGAAGACCAAAGTCACTTGGGGGATCATGTAGCAGAACATGTGATTGGTAAACTTACCTCAACCATACATTTCACGCCTGACAAGAGTACAAACACGACTATTATCCACCCGCATCCCTGAATCAAGACAAGTGAGTCAAACGAACGGGACACACAACAGGTGATGCTTACCCTAGCACCCCCGTAACTCATATACACCCTTTCAACACGAACAACTCTCCAGTTGGCATCACATAGTGAGCGTATTTGCGAAACAACAGTGCACCACTGGGTGACGTGCCACACGGTCGCAGTACTTGACAGTGCAAGGGTGCTGTAACTTGAAGAATAAAAACCCTAGGATGGTGAGCAGTGTTTTAGCGACGAGAAGGGAACAAGCTGAGATACTAAACTATCTTATGCTATGCCCATTATATGTGCTTGCACTCGACACTAAATGGCTGCTGAACTTGAAGGCTTAAACATTAATGCAAATAACGAATAATGAGTGAACTCGACTTACCTCACTAGTGGGTGAGGGCCATCTCACCCGAGTGGCAATTCCGAGTCCTATTTTTGTCAGCCCTTCAGTATACCTATTAGTCGTAACGTCCGTACATGAAAGTATCTGGTACCTTGCTGTTCGGATCTCATCGCATATTAATACCCCCAAGAGGACCTTCCCTCGACGCGCGTCTTCCCTGTATCATACCGTCGTTGAACCATACTATATTATTGGCGTCAACAGATCTGGCTGTAAAATGACTATTGCCAAAGTATACTATGCCTACAAGCTGATACAGGGTGGGATCCTCGTTAGTATGGAGCTCGATGCTGATAAGAACCAAGAAGAAGCCTGCGGTAGAAAGGCGGACATTGCACAAGGCGGAAGAGGAAAATCAACACAACGCACATCAATCAGAACAGCCCAGTGCCCGCATGATACGGAGGCGTAGAAGGAACATGCACATGGTCAGATAAGCAATGATCAACGCCCACAAGGTCGAGCGATGAAGAAAAGAGGAAGAGGATAACCAGCAACGGAGAAAAAGAAGCAAGAAGAGGGTTTTTTTTGCTAAAGAGGACGTGTCGGGTCCGGATTTGAAGAGGAAGACGCGTCACACATAAATATCATGTACCCGAAATGAAAATGATCAACGCATACAGACATGGGACGTTAAAAAAATGAAAAAAAAATAAGTATACAGGGCAAATACAGTAGCATTCACGAATGGGATTGTTCATGAGGTACACTGCACATGTCATACGGTCATGAATGAGGCAGTCAGACAGCGACAGGGTGTTTCATTTTCAGCAAGTTGCAATGGATGGGGCAAGGGAGAAGACAATTGTGTCTGAAGATCCAACCAAGCATGAGAGCCTGAGGCGAGATCATAACTGCAAAGGAAACATCCGGCAGGACCGTGATGGAAAGCACCAATGATAGGGAGGGTAGCAGCCAGGGGGATAGAGAGAGGGGAGAGAATCCCAACGCTTACGGGACAATAATATCAGTCATACAGAGATGAAATGGGAACAGGAACGCTACATACCCGTCCATCACACCCTCACCCTCCTTACGCCAAACCCCACCAACTCTGAACACATTCTGAATAACTCTCGATTCCTCTGCAGCATATAGTACAAAATGGACAGATTCTACAACAAAGATGATGCGAGTGAGCGATTATTAGTTCAACAAATCAACGTCACTCACCATAGATCACGCCAGAAAACATAATAGAATTGCTGACACAAGAGAGAGTCGAAAAAGACAGGATGCACCTATCGAGAGTACTGAAGGTAAGTGTCATCAACTGCTATGAGAGCTGTACTAACCAGGTATGCTAGGACAATGAATTCGTTAAGTCGGCATCCATCAAGAGAGACAACGAGGCGGGGGTATGGAGGATCATCAAGCAGTCCGAAGACGAAGGAATGATGGAAGAAATGGTATTCACTATCACAGGGGCCATATACGCGATGGACCTGCCGCCGGTGGCAAAGGAGATGAGGTGAGATTGAACCATGACATGTAAGGTCAAATAACGCTGATGGCATGCCGGATTAGGGCACAGAAGGAGAAGGTCGGGTTCTTGAGTCAGTGCAGTTGGTAGGACTGAGCAGCAAAAGCTTTGACGATGCAATGGACGCAATCAGAAGTATGCAAGTCATGGGCGAACGAGAGTTCAGAGATGGAGAGCTCAAACACTGGAAGCCAATGTCAATGAAAGGATTGGACGTTATAGAGTTGTCTAACCGATACTTTAGACTGCGCAACTCCACGAACGATGAGGAAGGCATACCTTTTTCAAACGACGTTGATCCTGCAGGTATACTTGCCAAGATAGTGCAGCGAAAATGGATTCACACTGAAGACAACGAGGTACGATACTACAGAGGAGTGATGGACGAAAGAGGGAAAAAGAGGCAAGCGTTCTTTGAATTCGTGTCATCTTTGTATTTTTCTCTTGTCCTGTGCGGACCGGATATGCGACTGACGATGGCTCGCAAAGCAGATACGTGTCAGCGAAGTTGCAGATATTCCGAGTAGGAGACATAGTGGAAGCGCAATGCTCGATGGTGTTCTTGAGGACAAACGAGGGTACAGCGAGGATGAAGATGATACTGAGGGCATTGGCCCTTGTCAATAGCGACAACTCGACGGTGAGTAACGGAATATATAAGGACGACATGGGATAATAACAGAAAGCAACTGTGGAATGCAGAAACGCGATGAACACGCAATCAGAGATGGTCATAAGGATAAAGCAGAAGATTGGATTCAAAGAGGAGGAGGAAGATGTTGGTGTGAGGGCCAAAAAGACAAACAGATCGGATGATTATGAGAGAGATAAGAAGATGATGGAACTGTAAAGTAGCGCAGAGAGAACTGTTTGATAAATCAACGAAAGATAAGAGAAACCAATACTAGATACTTACGCTGAATACAACGATGACCGAGATAACCCGGAATGATGATCACGAACAATTTTTTTGTATAAAAGAAAAGAAAATAACACAACGAACACAACGAGAGGAATAGAGAAGAAAAAGAGGAGTAGAAAAGGAACACAAGATGAACGATAAAGCGATGTAGCGAGAGGGAAGATGCCAGGACAGAGAAAGCCGACCATGAATAGTTTCCCATGAAAGTCTAGAGGGCACGGAAATGAGGCAAGTCAGCAAATGCCGTGATGGATTGATTCCACAAATAGAATTTTCCCATGGGGTTTAGCACCTGGATAATAACCGAGTATCCTATATTCATAGGACTCGGAATTGAAGTTAGGTTAATATCCATACAATGTGGGCTTCAACCAACTCGTAAGGCCTAGAGAATTCTAAAGTTAGACGAACGGTACCCAAGGGAAACGGTTCGTTTGCCTTCTTGTGCTATGTTGATGCTCAGTATCTCAGCAAGTTTGAGGGCTGTACAATGAACCTATGCAGCATTAGAAACAAGACAGAAAAGTTGAGAAATGAATGGACTCACCACGGCGTCCAGTGAGCTCCTCACTGTATGCCCTCATCATGATCACTGTTAGAGACAGAGCACAAATCCTCGAAAAAGGAAACTTATGGCAATCACAAGAGAGTCACAACCACAGCGAGCTCGACAAACATTGAGGATGTGTATGATGGCAGGATAAACCATCACTGCAGGAACACTCGAAGTCGGTGAGGTGGATAATAAGAGAGAGAACTGGAGAACGAGTCAGGAGAAGAGGGAGGGAGAAGAGGGAACAAGGGGAATTCTGCTTGCTGGTACCATGGCAGATGACAACACTCTATATTGATCACAATTACTTAGGTCAGGGCTGGGTAGATATAAGTCCAGGTGGATAAAAGTTCGAGTTTGAGTAGATAAAAGTTCAAGTCCACATCGATATAAGTCCAAGGATATAGAATGAGTGGAATGGGCAACATAAAGGATAGACAAGGGAGTCGAGATGAAAAGGAACAGTAGGTAAAATAAACACAAAAAAATGAAAGAAAGATACATATGATGTATGTGTTGTGTAACCAGCTGGCTACCCTACGCACATGGACATGTCCGTCTGCATGTTCAACATTGAATGGTTGTCTGATGGTCCAGCTTGAAGAATTCATCACAGCGGAGCATCGGATTGTCATTCCAAGAGATTAGATACTTGACAATAGTTAGGTGGGTAAATTCCTTACTCCAACTGCCCCACTCACAGATTTGCTGGAGCGACCACCGAAGATCAACTGATAGCCATTGACAGCCACCACGACGAAAAGAATGGGTGCCATAAGCATATGGAGCGATGCGCAAGTCCCACAGATTGTTGCGAAAGAGTTCAAGAAATACCTCTGGCGTCTATCAAGATCAGGGATAAGCATGTAAAAGCAGTGAAGTAGATGAGATAAATACCATGGGTGAGTTCTTGACAACAATGGGCCGGTCTCTCTTGTCCATCTTTCGGAACAGATATCCATGCAAAATTTCTGATGCACTGATCCATTCTGCCAGTGCTCGGACAGGACAAAGATGGGCCATATCGGCCAGAAGCATTCGTAAGACAAATGGCTGTATCTCTTCAACGAAGTCAGTCATGGAAAAAAGATCTATTGCAGATGAACTCACTGCCAAATTGACTGGTCTTACGAAATGGTAGCGATATGGATGCACAATGCATATTGTCTGCTTCATCAATGTAGAAGCGAATATCATGCACTTGAATATTAAGAACCTCATCGACACAAAGCAAGCATGAGAATGCAACAAGGTATACGGCCTGGAGAAGACGACGCATGTTTCCTCCGCACCAGTTGTCAGCAGATGGCTGAGAGTTATCCCAGTTCTCTGGCTGGTGATTGAATTCGTATAGCTTTCTCAGGATATCCTAACAATCTAAAGATTGAGCAGATGGTATCATTTAGGTAAGTGGAGACTGACCGGACTAATTGCTCAAGCGCTTGTCGGTGCCTCGCCTTTAGCCATCTGAATCCTTTGTCAGAAACGTATTAGGGTTAGGTAGCGTCATCGGTTTACCTTGCGTTTGTGCAGACTCAGCATATAGGAAGATACGAGTTCAGATATGGATGGATTGCCGGATGCAGTATCCTGATTCCAGGGAAGACGTCCTCGAGTTTTGCGAAAGCCATACGTTGTGCCCGCCCGGAGTTTTTGTGCATATGAGTAACTCATTTGTATGTCTTTCGGGTCTTTGTCGATGCCGTGCATGTTGAATTCATCACATCTACAAGGAATGTTAGAGCAGCATCACCTTAAAAAATAAAAATAACGAACTTGCTCATGATAAATCCAACGATGTAGTAGTCGATTTTGGGGTTGAGCCTCTTCTGAGTAAAGACATTAGTGCCAGGTGGAATTATGTTCTCTTGAACAAGAAAGTCGTTGAATTGCTTCATGACCCTGGCAAAGCAAAAGTCAGTCAGAACGATAGTGCTGAAATAGTGAGACAATACCCTCTATATGCAGTGTCAGTGCCTTCCTTGACACCTTTCGATGCACCTTGAATTGTGGCAAGTACTTCATCAACTTCATTGTGTGCGCTCACGTCAATGTCGATGTCAATGTCGCCGTCACCATCATAGCTGTAGGAATCGGGGCAAGTCTCCTGCTCGCCCTCGATATCATCCATGATCTCGGCCATAGCAGGATATTCAGCTTGAGAGCTATTGAGGACCTTGCGGATCCCTTTAGCATTAGCAATGTCTTCATTGATAGTCAGAGTCATATTGCGTGAAGAGATAACAAGCAGTTCCAGGAAGAGAGACGATGGCAGAAGTCTATGAAACAGTACACTTTATATACAAGAAAGATAGGAGCGTGGCCCCTGTTTAAATACTGTCCTCGTCATCAGTGAAAAACTCCAATACTGCACCCTTTTCCTCAATGTGGTATTTCGGGGATACTGTACGCCTCTGGCGCTTCCTCTTCACAGGTTCTAGAGCATGTTTTAGAAAAAATTTGGCATTGAAGTAAGTCTTACCTGTCACTCTCTTGTTATCCTCATCGCTAGAAATTTCGACAACCGAAGAAGAATCCCGTGAATGTTTTTCGAGAACAGTTTCCAGGTTTTTATGCATTGAATTTGGTTCGTTATCCTCGTCGCTAGATATCTCGATAACCGAAGAATCCCGTAAACCTTTGTCGACAGGGATTTCTGGGTGATTATGCATTGACTTGGGCTTGTTATCCTCGTCACTAGGTATTTCAATAACTGAAGATTCTCGTGATAAATTTTCTAGAACAATTTTTGAGTGACTGTGTATTGACTTAGGCGGTGGCTCTCACTTGGTAACTTTATATTCCCTCCACCAATTATATTGTCAATAGAGGTTGGGTAGGACTGGCCCCTTGCCGTTAATGCTCTGGGTTGCGGAGGTGGCGGCATTAGCTCTGTGTTAATATCAGATCTGGAGAGTAGGGATGAAAAATACAAGGCATACCTTGTGTGCCATCACTGATGACCATGTCAAGAAGACGGACAACTAGAATCCACGCGAGCCATTAGAAGGGTTCAAGGACAGGGGTACACTGGTGGCGTACTGTTTTCTACTCGATTTGCACCTTGAGCCTGATTACGGGATTTCAGCATATGGCACTTTTTGGCAGCTGCTGATGCCTGACGTTCGATGTGGTCCAAAATACTTGGTCGTACATGGAGTGTCAACACTCGAGAAAGCCATACTCGGACAGTGGATTTATTCAGCCACTGCTTAAACTTGGCCCTGGATGCATCAGTATCATATTTTCCGTCAATCGAAGAAGTAATAGAAGAGACGATTTTGTAAGGAATAATGAGTGATATAAAGATCTCAGACCCTGAGCGTTCACGCTGATTTGCGCGAATAGAACACGCTTTAGCAATCACAGCATGAGGGGATAGTTGGTTGTTGCTGTCTGGTATCAATCCCCGTTGCTTACACAGATCTTGCATCAGTTCCCGTATGGCTAGGCCAGGAAAGACGTGGTCGCTGAAGTTCTGCACAATACCCATTGGATGTCCCCAAATAAAAAGCTCCTTGCATAATTGTGCCAGTTTGGGGATATCTGGCTGAGATGGGAACTGCATGTCGGGGAACTCAAGCAAGTCTCTCGACTGAGAGGTCAATGGAATGATGTATTGGGTTAAGACCGGTGCTTTTGGGAAGTCTATGGGAATCCACGACACCAGAGAGCGGAGACGGCCAGCTCCCTGTGATATCAGCAATTCACAGAAGTCTTGATGCCAAGCTGCGGTGATAGTAGCGTGGTCTTTTATCGATGAGGTTTCGAGGGCTTGCAAAAGCTGTTGACCAATACCCATTCATGTAATTTCGATGGCAGTCTGGATGCCACACCCTTCAATTCCATTCTATCAAGAGAAGCGTTAGAATGGTACTGTTTAAAGAGGCATTTCACCGACATCGTAATCACCCCCTGCAAGCAATGCGATCATCACTAAATCATGGGAGGAGAACTGAGTCCCGCTTTCGTATACCTCAATAATATATTTGGAGTCACTCTCATCTTTGCTGGGATGATGTTTCAGGAAAGAGCGGATCAATAAAGCATAAAAACGTTGCTCACATTCGTATCACACATTGGGCCCCAAACAACATTGCGTCAAAGTCTTCTGACATGACTGCGTCGATGCGACCGGCTTTAGAAAGCATCGCCAATTCAGCCTCTGCTTCACCCGGAGCCTATGTGACCAAACATTACAGATTAGAGAGAAAAACAAGCGTTACAATAGGGATTCTACTTACATCCCAATAGGGGAAACCAAATGCCTGGAGCATTCGTTTGAGATCTGCTACTAACCAGTCGGTAGTTTTGTTGATTGTCTTCCCACGCTTGATTACAGGATGTTTAGGGCCATCGAATACGAATATGGGCAGGACAGGAAGATGAAAGAGGCATCCTAATCGCTTGAAAAGGGAAGCTTGCGCTGGATTTTTCATCTGCCCTTGGTGATACCGAGCTGCGAACATCCACCCACTAACAAGAATTAGTCACATCAAAGAAAATCTATGCGAGGATCCTTGATACCTGGCATCAACTCCTATGCATGGTCCCAGTTCATCAAGTGAACCAGTAGAAAGTTTGCAAGTTGACCAGTCCACGAGTGATACTGTCTCTACAGGTTTCAACAACTGTGGAGCATCAGTGAAAAATATACTCAAGACAAGTGAATACACATACGCTCCAGCCACCTTTTACACCCATGATGGCGAGCTGTAAGATGCTATAGGGGCACCCAACAATCACAGGCATATGACGATCAATTGATCGCAAGTCTTGGTGGCGACGGCAGTAAGTCTGCGAGGATATCCAGGAATATTGAGTGCGACTTTGGTAGTAACCATACACGATATCAGCCTGGACAACCGCAGTTGCTGCTACAATCATATATAGAAGACACGAGGAAATCATTGGCGATTTCTGCATCTCATGATTGTGATTAAAGATACAAATGTGTAAAAAGAGGAAATTATGCCTTTCAGCACAGTACTACAACATGATATCAAGGGAGTGCATGATGAAAGCAGTCTTCTCTCCAAAATGTTGTAAGCATAGAGAGTGGAGGTGCGGGAATAGGAATGACTGGTGGAGAGGGAAATAAAGAGGGACAACCACAAGTTTCATGTAATGAAATAACTGTTTGAATTTGTTCAGTAGACAAGTGTGTGAAATTAATATCTGCCATACCTAAGCTCCATGTCAACATTGCACCATGAAACGGTGGGTGCATGCAGCAGAGGTGAGCATTCACAAACGCTCCCTCAAGCTATAATATGGGTAACTTAGAAGGACTGGTAGTAAGAATAACAACTATGCGCGACGTACCTGACAGCGTCGCGCAGTGCATACTCAAGTAATCACCATGTCATCCACCTTAGGTGGCCGTATCAATAAGAGAACGAAAAGGCTTACATCATCTGAGCCGAATCCAGCTAGGGTGGCCAAAACTGGACTCCGGGCTAACCCTAACCTTAAGAGGTACATACTCTGGTTTTACGGCTGCTTGCAGGAGGATGGCAGGCGTCCATGTCAACCGGTGGAATTCGATCTTGCGTCCCCCCAATTAAGCTTTATTTCTACGATGCACCCTCATCACTTTGACGACTACGTGTTTCAAGCTAGGATATTATTTTTTATAACATCGGTCTGTACGCCATGTGAGGTACTAAATAGGGCTTCACACCGTACTGTATACGGTATACGGCCGTATAGCCATGGTACAGTGACGGGCGACGGCTGATCCGTAACCGTACCGTCAATGCTCTTAGAACTAGGTTGACGGTACGGTACGGGTATATAGACGGCCGTGCCGGTCGTCAATACGGCCATTGAATAATACATACCTGATATTTGGGGCTTCGGAGCAGCTCCAGGTCCTGCCATGGGCACGTCGTCATCTGCATCATGATAAAAATTGAATTTCGAGGGGGATTTCAAGTTTCCATTGGCATCGAGGGCACACTGATCTGTCATGATGCTCAGAATGTGGTTGTAAGTCTGCGAAAAAAGGACCATTATATACTCTTTCGTGAACTCCTCTGGCTTAAAATTCAGCAGTATTTGACAGGTGCACAGGCCAGCGGGGGGCAAATTATTCTGCAATATGTGTGGGTAGTCAAACTCAAAGGATGAAACAGTAGTAGAATAGAGGCAGCAGAAGCAGGAAATAGAAAGTATTCTATGCTGGTAAGGGTTAGAACTTGAGTAGAGCAAGTGAAAGAAGATCGGGTGGTAGCGCTGAAGAGCTTGCGGTGCCAGCACATCGTGGTACGATGTTAAGTGTATGGCAAACACACGTACAGTGTGATCTGATGACGGTTATTTTTAGATACATACACGGCCGTCGATTACCGTATGATGGCCATGTTTATACGGTTGCTAACGGTATACGGGATGTCCGTATACCGTCCGTCTCTGGGCAAGTTATTTCGCCAGACAGAACGGGCACGGTACCCGTATGATGGCACCCGTATAACCGTACTATACGGTGATGGTGCGAAGCCCTAGTACTAAACAAAACGTAGAACACACGTATACTCGAAGCTCAAGCTGCAACAGGTTCAGAGAATCAGAATGCAGGTGTCGAAACGAAGTGTATGGTGGTCAACAATGCAACTCTTTTGGATCTGTAGAAGCTGGTTCTCGTGAACAGAGGAATAGAAGGGGGGAAGGACAATGTACCAAAATTGCTGCATTTGTTCAGGTGGAGCGTCTCGTATGTGATAATACGAATCCACAACGGGAGCAAATATTGGGCTGGCATTTTTCCGACCTGGTAGAGATCGGGGCAAAGGTACGTCATGATCTTTGATGCCTGGCGGCGACCTTGCACCATTAAGGAGGACGAGGACAAAAACACATGATTTCTTGACAAGGACTGGGGTGGCCACTGGGATACGAAATTTAAATAGATGGGGGGAGAATCGAAAGTAAGTTTTCGAACCAAAAAAAATTATCACGGTCGGGCCTGAAGACAGTGTAAGTCCAACTCAACTATTTTTCGTAGGATCATAATTTACCCACCCGAAAGGTATTCAAAAAATGCACAAACGGAAGGGGGTGAACAAAGGCGCCCGGTGGTTGAACGTTGACTCCAGATAGCCGCCTCGCCATGATAAGGACGAACTGCATACAAAAAAAAAAGTCAGTGAAAATCAAAGGAACCTGCAAAGCAAAACATACCCAGCACACAACTCCCCTACTGATGGCCGGCACCAGCACAACCGGGTTGCATTGAGGGTAGGGAGAGCGAGGGCTAAGCGACGCGGGCTCTGAGTGTGATTATCAGCCTTCCCTGTTGTGTGTATGCAAACACTCCTTCCGCAGACGAATCGACCCCCACACGCCACCGGTGCTTGCTTCCCAGAATTCGATACGTCGTGTCAACACAAAAATAGGGCGACGAGGAGATAATTACATGGACCTATAAAGACATTCAGGGCTGGACTCTGAATAGAGAGGGGAAACAACGTACGAGTGTGATGAACAGTGGATGGTTGCAATCGGTGAGTTAGCCGATTACACTCAGCCTCGCTAGCCAACACCTCCCTCCCGCGACACAAACACCCGCCACGTGCCACGTCTGCTCGCCAGAAGACGATACGTCGTCCTATACAGCAATTTCGAGTGGTCAAAGATGTGCCGAGCCAAGGTGCATTCAGTGAGAAGGTATTGTGATTCATATTCTGAAATCACGGTCAAAGAGGGCGAACAGAACAAGAAGAGACTCGACGTACGGGTGGGGCCGATCGTGCACCTCCCTTCTCAGCCCTCCCTCCCTCCACGCCAACCTTCCATGACGCGTCGTCCTCCTCACCAATTCATCTGGCTGGAAGACGATACGTCGTCTCGGCACAAAACTCGACCTCTATTCGGCCCAGGCAATCATTCTGAGGAACATCAGGGTCCGGGGGGTTTACGTTGCTTGCAAGGAACAAGTTCGTGGGAGGGGAAGTAGATCAAGGCAGAGTTGGAAGGAGGATCGACGTTGCTGTGAGTGGCGGGAACTGAGTGAGAGTACATAGAAAAGAAGAAAGTTGAACTCACCTTCCAACACCAACGAAATGCAAACATGAACCGCGAGGATTTAGCCTGAAGGTACTGTGCCGTGTAACGATGAGATGATTTAGCAGTATCATATTTCATCTGCATGTCACGATCCAAGATTTTGGTATCCGTTCCGGCACAGGATGTTTCGGATGTGGGACAAAGAAACTCTGCTCAATTAGATGCGTCGTTTCGAGGGCGGTTGCAGTTCAATGACTGCGAGATGGATTTTGTGACGGTGCTCGGTGGTGGTAGGTCGCCTATATATGCTGCCTTGCGGTCGTCCAATGTATCTGGATCTGAGTCGGGTAAATGCTACGTGTACATCAATACAACGAGTAAGTCTCCTAGATAGGCATGCCTTGATATTCTCAATAAGCCCCTCCAGAGCATCAGGCAGTTTCTCGTTCCTAGGCAGGGTTTAAGACGAGCATGTTGAGTTTGAAGCCGCGTGGAGACTGGGTGAGACCAGTTTCTTGGAAGAAGATTTTGAGGGCGGTCGGTGTTGGTGATTGGAGATGGGCAAAGGTCAAGCACCAGTGGCTGTGTCGTGAACATGCTTATGATGGCCAATATTTGCTCAGGACTACAATCGCCCTGGACGCGTATAACATCACAAGCTATGTACCACACACCAACTCCCGCTTACCCCACTACAAAATCCCTCACTTGCCATCCCTTCCATCCGCCGCATCTCTCACGTAGTTCCAAATCTTCCGCAACACCTCCCTCCCTCTTCTCCATCCCTTAGGCTAGCGTTGCCTTGGTTTGCACGTTACTTTATGCCAAGTCCACCATCGATAAGCTCGACTTTGAGCCAGATCCTCATCTTACGAACCAGCAACACTCGAAGGGGCACTCGAAGGTTCTGCGCAGTCGTTTCGGGCACAGTCCATTCTCTTGTGCATCCGCGCGTGCGCGCGTAGATGTGCAGAGCTCGACCTTAGTGGGGAGATCTGTGCGGGTTTCGATCTCGCTCCGGATCTGAGTACGCGCACCCACACACTCCGTCTTCCCGTGCGCATGTCTCCTCGCCTCTCTGTACTCTACTGGAAGCTTTGTATTCCTGGTATATCCTTCTGCACCTGGTGATACCGCCTACGAGTGGCTTGTTAGTCTGCTTCCATTCACTCGTAATAGAAACGAACACTTACCTCGAGCACGGTCTCCAGTTGAAGAGTGTACGCACCCGGCACAGACTTGGTGTATCACAGCACATCTGTTCAAATCGTTAGCTTCCAAGTTGACGCGGCGAACACGAAGGTTTACCATTAAAGTCAACATGCAAGTAAATATATTTGATTCTGAGACTACCCGAGCAGTTAGTATCAGAGACAACACACAAGGTAAAGATCACGTACCTATTACATGAGGAGTACGCGGTCTACACCTTAAAATGAGCTAAGTTAGCTAAAGGAGGAGAGAAAAGGTAGTATGTGCTCACCTCGACATCGACCAGTGTATCTGCTATCATCCCCCAGAAAAACCGAGTCCAACCCTTAACGATTCCCCAGACTCGCGTTCAATCTTGAAGAGGTGGGGGTTGACCTAAGCACCCAGCCACCTCAGCGGCAGTGTTGCCTTGACCAGTATCGTCTTGTACTGAGATAAGGGAACAAAATGTAGAGCTTACCTTGGATTACACCAGTCAAGGCTCGTCAAACGAGAGCCTTGAAGACTGATATTAGACCTAGGAAAATTTTGTAGTAAATAATCTGCTAACGAAAGTCAAATGGTTTTACTTACTCAAGACGATGCTTGTTCGTTCGACATGTAGTATGAGTCCGAAGGGCAACACGAGAGTCTACGAACATTAGAGGGATTTAGATGAACAGAAGTAAGAGCTTAACGTGTCTCAGCCTACAAATATCCCTACAAGCTTGTTCCGTATCTTAACTCGGCGGTTACGTCAGGCATGTTGCGATTATCGAAAGGCCGTGTAGCTGTGCCATAAAACGTCGAGTCGTCTGCGCCGTGATTGGTGCTTGCAAGAACGTCCTAGCGTTGGAAAGAATAGTAGGTTAGTGAAGAGATCAAGAGTCAATGTACACACCCTGAATTCATCCCTTGACTCTGCAGGGGCCTGCCTTCGCTATGTAACTCCTGCTACACTTCGCCGAATTTTGTAGCCATATCTTCGATGTTAGTAGATGGATCACAATACTAGAGAGAGATAAAGAGTAAGCGTCTAATGAATAAACATTAAACACTTGTCCACTTACCTTGTCAGCGGCTAGTCACGGAATCACAGCTGAAGGTAATGGCCTGTGCCCAGTACATCTAGGATACATGGCTTGTTACACCTCTAATCGAGCCAAGTTAGCCAAATCACCGATGTTTAGATTATTCAAGACTTACATCGACTATCCTATCATCTTCACAGCCCAGAGAAGCCGAGTTTAGCTCTTGTACAGATCCTGTGTCGTTACAATTGGACCGGTGTCGCGATGCAGTATGCTAACATGGCAAACGGTTTGTTAGTAGAGGTAAGGGAGCAAAATCTCTGGCTTACCTTGGGCACGGCTCGTCAAAACTTGAAACGAGCTTTAAAGCTTCTCAAAATTAGAACTAGAAAGGTAAGCATGAATCGAGAGCTGCCTTGAGCGACAAAGGATTTGCTTACCAGGTTCAGATAAGACGTTGTGCTTGATGATTGCTATCATATAAGCTCTAAAACCACTGATAAACGTTAGCAACACATAGGTGAGCGAAAGGACCAGCTCACTGTATCTCATAGCCCACGAATATCCTTCTAATCGAAACGGTACCCATTCAACACTTGGTAGCACTTGTTAAAGTGTGATCGTGTAAAACAAGAATCTACCTGAAAGGACGGTTCGTTAGCGAACACCGAAGCGAAGAAGCAGAAGTACATACTTGGAACTATCGTGGAGAACCTTGACAGCACTTCCTGAAATGCACCAGCTTCGTCTTGTCATGATATGCAGGCAAAAACGGGTAGTACTTTCTTCGATGAGTCGGTACCTTGCTTGGGTTGTAATATCTAAAATCGTCGGTGTCCCGGTAACTAGTACAGTGAACTAGAAAGCTTACTATCTGAATGAAGAGCAAGTCCTCAAGTCCAATTCTCCAGCTAGCGTAAACAGTAAGTATTAGAGTCAACATTAAAACTGAAGACACATACCTGGTACACGTACAACAACACCTCGTTCAGCCGCCGGTAACCGTTGACCTGGGAGGTGGCGAATGCGAATGGCTGTGGGAGTGTGAGCGTGAAAGATCAGATTCGGAGTGCGATCCTTCATGTAGGTGTGGATCTGAGTGAGATTCTTCGTGTGATACATGCAGAGGTGACAATTCTAAATGAGAATGCGGATCATCACAGTCTGGTGGGTGCGAGTGTGAATGTGGATGTGAGTGACTATGCGAATGCGAATGGGGACCTGGTGACAGAGGCGCTGGACTACATACAGAGAAAGCATAGGAGGATGGCGAGGGGAATACTGATGGCGGTCAGAAAGAGACGCGTCGCTAGTTAGAACGGAAAAGGAAAAGACTGCATAACGTGGACTCGGCTAACTCGGAATCCAGTTTCGCAGCTACCTAACTGGATCCGGCTAAGATTAGATAAGCTCTTCTCTTCTCTCACCGTTACCACCACCACAGGTCAGTAGTGCCAACTCGCTTATGATCCTTGGCAGTGGTACAATGAGGATGAGATGCTGTTATTCGCTCTAGTTTCAAATTTATCTTATAATGAATATACGAATATTGATCTGACTGAGTTTTTTTTTGTCAAGATCTCGTATCTGACGTGACACGCACGAACGCCTAAGCTACGCGTCAAATGCCTGAGGTATGTTTGTCTGCTGCATAATATGGATCACCACTAACATGTCTGGGGACAGACCGCAAAATATCCTGGAGCACTGGAACCTGGAAATGCGTATGTTAGTGAGGAGCGCGATGAGGATTATAATGATTATTTAGGTAAATTTTATTGGTTGGTTGTATGTCAGCCTGTTAATTGGTGTACTCGTAGATTTTCTGGATGACAAGTATATTGATGACGACTACCTTATGCCCCAAGATTGGCACTTCACTGAGGGAGAGCGAATTCTGGCACCAAACTCACAGACTGGTACAGTTACTTGTATGCAACGTGCGGCAGTGGAGATCAGCACTGTAGACGGTGCTTTCTGGTATCGATGGCATGATGTCATCAAAATATTCCAGCTTGGCGATTATGTGGAGGTGGTTGGGGGAGAATTTTGCGGTCGGCATGGCTTTGTCCAGGATGTCGGTGATGCGATCTTTATTGATGTGATGGAAGGCCAGTACAGCAAGAGTGTAAGGGTATGTCGACCTGTTCCAGGCTTGCTTTGCATGCTTAGACTATCTTAGGAAATGCTGATACATCGCAATTCAGCAACTATTATCTCTCTACCTACAACCTCTAACAATTTCGCTGTTTCTCCTGAAGAGATAGCTCGAAGAATGTACACCGGTAGGGTACCATGGCAAGGTCTCCGCATACTGGTGCTTTCAGCTACCGCTGAATCAAGAAAACGGCATTTTAACCTGTTGGACACGACATCCCGCCCTGGAACTGGTGGTCAATCTCATTCCGCGGACATTCACAAAGGAAAAGTTGGAAAAGTATTGGATGTTGGAGTCAACCAGACAACGGCTAGTAGGCTCAGGGTATGCATTCGCCTGGAGCAAAGTTATAGTGCAGTGCACAATTACCGTGACATATGGGTAGATTACAACGAGGTCGTTGAGGAAACGTAAGTTCATCATTTCAAATTACATCAAACTGAAGTAATTAATGCTGTCTACCGCAGGACAGGGCTCCCTTTACGATTCTACCAGCTGCTGCATCAAAGTCAGCTGGCTTTCTTACCATCACGGGAGTATCGCCGTATGCGAAAGGAGCATGAGAATATTGCACGTGGCCAGCTATTAGCTGCCCAAGTTGCACTACGATTGCAACGAACATCCCCATCTCCTCCTAGGTCCACTACCCCCCCACACGAAGGTACATCCGAGGACCTTGGTACCGGTAATGCCTGGGACGTAACAGCACCAGACCCACCAGACCCAGCGATGTATCACTGGAGCAGACACCCGGCACTGAACCAGCGAGAGTTACAAGTCAATATACAAGGGAAATCTCAACCCCAGAAGGTCAGGCTGGAACCTTCTGGTGCCAAATCCATCATGAAAGTCATCTTTCGGACCACTCTGACAGAGGTTCGAGATCTCACACGTGTAACACCCCTGCAGCCAACGGTATGCGACTTCCATCGATGGGTTGTCATCCAGGGACCTCACATCGGGAAGTACGTCCGTGGCATATGCTACGTGCAGGGTTCCAATCCAATTTTGTGGACGGTTCGGGAGATCACATGTGCAGAGCACGGACATGACTTGCTCGTAGGCGAGCCTTTCAATGTTCATAATACGGATCTATGTCAAGCAGCGGACAGCCAGGCAACATTGGACATTAACAATCAGTGGGCCCAGAGCATTCGCGAAGCACCCATGAAGCTCAAGAAGAGAAAATTGTAAATTACCTCCTGACCATTATTGTATAATTTCTGTCAATACACTTACTACATATTACTTACTACCGCTAGTATTGTACGATATCGACCGCCAAAATTAGTGTTGCTGTGACTGAGCGGGTCAGCTAATTCGCCGTCTGTCAAAGCCTTCAAAGCCAAAGCAACAGAACAGATGCTGGGTTTGCGCATATGCAATCAAGGGCTCAATATCGCCACCATCTTCTGACGACAAGCCCTTCGGGGTACGTCATGAACTCACGGCTATCAGCTCAACTTTCGTTATGTTATGAGCTTTTGGCCCTGGATGAACGTTGCTCAAGGACCTCCTTCATCGGCCGATACTGCTGCCATCACATCAGCGACATTAAACCCGGTCAAGTTTTTCCCTGATGGTTCTCTTATTAAGTAGATCGTGCCACGTGCAGATCAACACGTCTAGGCAAGCTGACGCAAGGCTAGTCAATCTCTTATAGAGGGATTGACAGTGCATTATATGCAAATATTCTATGATTTGACTGCCCTTCAGTTCTTCACTATAAACCATAACAGCCATAGTTATATTCTAACCCAATATATTTCTATCCTGACATACTTTTTACTAGTACATGTATCTGCATGTATCTACCTACATGAGTAAACTAGAATTGAGTAAACTAGAATTGTTATAACATAACAAATAACATGAAGATGTTGACTTGGGCATCCGAGTCCGCAACCTGTTGCTGTAGAAATGTTCCCGAACAGAAGAGGTGTTCTCATTCTGACTATTGGATGGCTACTGGCCCGAAAAATATTATTACACAATATGCTGTTATACCCCGCTTAATGTCTCGTGCGAATGGGCTGAACGTCATTTTTAGGGCTTCGCACTGTCACCGTATAGTACGGTTATACGGGTGCCATCATACAGGTGCCATCATACAGGTACTGTGCCCGTTCTGTCTGGCGAAATAACTTGCCCAGAGACGGACGGTATACGGACATCCCGTATACCGTTAGCAACCGTATAAACATGGCCATCATACGGTAATCGACGGCCGTGTATGTATCTAAAAATAACCGTCATCAGATCACACTGTACGTGTGTTTGCCATACACTTAACATCGTACCACGATGTGCTGGCACCGCAAGCTCTTCAGCGCTACCACCTGATCTTCTTTCACTTGCTCTACTCAAGTTCTAACCCTTACCAGCATAGAATACTTTCTATTTCCTGCTTCTGCTGCCTCTATTCTACTACTGTTTCATCCTTTGAGTTTGACTACCCACACATATTGCAGAATAATTTGCCCCCCGCTGGCCTGTGCACCTGTCAAATACTGCTGAATTTTAAGCCAGAGGAGTTCACGAAAGAGTATATAATGGTCCTTTTTTCGCAGACTTACAACCACATTCTGAGCATCATGACAGATCAGTGTGCCCTCGATGCCAATGGAAACTTGAAATCCCCCTCGAAATTCAATTTTTATCATGATGCAGATGACGACGTGCCCATGGCAGGACCTGGAGCTGCTCCGAAGCCCCAAATATCAGGTATGTATTATTCAATGGCCGTATTGACGACCGGCACGGCCGTCTATATACCCGTACCGTACCGTCAACCTAGTTCTAAGAGCATTGACGGTACGGTTACGGATCAGCCGTCGCCCATCACTGTACCGTGGCTATACGGCCGTATACCGTATATGGTACGGTGCGAAGCCCTAGTCATTTTTCATGCTTCACTCAACTTCCAGATTTTTTTGGCGGGCATTCACAGCTATTGGAAGTATTCAGAAGGACAGAAAAGACAATTCGAGCAGGGTCCAAAAGAAAAAGACGTTTTAGCGAGATTCACGAGAAGGCGCGTAGCATGCCAGCATGGCATTTGTGTCGGCATCGGCATTGCAAGACCCTTAGCCAAAGGACCGTAACAAAGACCCTTAGAATGAACGGAACCCTAAAAGGGGACCTGATTTGCTTAGCTTAAAAGAACCACTTTCCGTTGGTTCCATCCCCCATCTCTTTTGACCTTGCGACGTGCTCATGCTCTGCTTTCGATCAATGGCTCCTCTCTCCTCCTTTGCTACTGCCCTCGTACCCTTACCCCCATCTTTCTCTCTCGTCACTCCATCTATCCAGGCCTCTGCTTCTGCGTAAGTCGATTTATTCCAAGGCTCTCAATTTCTCAATTTCGAAAATTATATCTTCCTGTTTTTAATTTAACATATTTAATTCCATTCCATTCCTTGCTTTGTTACAACACTATACCTATACCATACCACTTGACTTACTTGTTCCTGTCGTGTCGCGTCGTTGTTTCTTTCTTTTTGTTCTCTCGCTGTTCTCCTTCCTTGCGATCGGGATCGGATGCAGGATCTTGAACTCCGGCTCAACAGATCTGCACCGCCCCTGTCACTCTTTTGTCACATTGATCCGTAACGTCTTTAAACCCGGCGTAGCATTACTTCTCTTCAAGACGATTGGTTACTTATACTCTGTTACTGGCATGTACAGGTCTAGACATCAAAAAATTTGAGTCGATCAGATTCAATCGTGTTATGAACACTTCTCTTTTTTTTATCCCTTGATTCGACATTGAATAACCGCTAAGTAAAACTATCTACTATCACACGATTGAGGTACAGGTCTCCTTGCCTACTGTTTTGGGCCTTCCGTTCCCTCTTCTGCCTTTGGTGTTCCGGAGTACTTCCGTTGTGCCTTGTAGAGACGACACTCGCGGATGAGATGTACACGCGTCTGAAATAGTTCACCGCAGGGGTTGGTCAACATCTTTGCTTGATACAAATAGTGAATAGTACTCGCCAATGTAAAAGCTAGAGCATAAACAGTCTAACACTTCCTCATACCGATGGATGCAATGTAATTTACTACGGCGTCTATGCCACCCAGCCGTTTCCCGATTCCGTGCTCTTGAATAAGTCAATCTGATGAGGCCCTATAGTCTTCCAACTTCTCGGTAACCATGACATCCCTCCATTCAGACCGGTCCTCGATTGTGATTGGAATAATCTAGGCACCGTAAAAATTCAGTAATCAGTACCAAGTGTTCTGCGAAGTGTGATATGAAACTTGATGCCGGCCTTATTAACAAAATCAATGCGAACGAAGGGCTGTATGATGCGCTCGCGGCCATCGAAGTGTTGGCGAAGGTAGCAACATACGGTGTCGGGGCCCTTGTTGACTGTGAAAGCCTGAAGGTACAAACGTGTAGTGAGATTTGCGGTATGGAAATGATACCGCTGTCAATCTTGGGTTCGACGGCATATAGCCCTTTTCACACCATCGTGAGCCAATTGTGCCACTGGAAAAGATATATTTGAGAGGGACCGCATATTTCAGTCTGAGAACGGGAGATCAGCACGGCCATCGTGGGTCCACACGTTCCTCTTCAGGATGGATCGGCAATTGGCAGGCAGTAAGAACACTAGACCTGAGACACGGTCCCTCTTCAATGAGCAAGCGTCAATTGTAGAACGTCGAGAGCGACCGCGTCTCAGGCCTATACCAACGCCAAGAGACGACTGCTGAACGGTACATCGATCCCGAGAAAATGACATGCGGCGAGATGGACAGCGAGCGTCAGAGGATGTGACGGCAGTCCAACAAGGCAAACCGAAGGTGATGGGGGAGGTATTGTTTCGACTGACGCGGAGGTGAGCTGTACGCGACTAGGAGAGGAACGGATCGAACGAGCCAAGTGGCCATTGCGCGATGAGGATCCCACCAAACGAGGTAAAACATGAGCCAATGGTACATTGTAACCACTGACAAGATGGTTACGCAGATGAATGAACAAACTGTCATTCCTCAACGACAAAGAGTGATGATAAGGTGGTGTTCCAAGTCGTTTGAGCTAACGGGTCTAATCCTTTTAGAAATTCCCTTTCTTTGACTGGAGATGATGACGAACCGTCGAGAAGGATAATATTGTTACGTCCTCTCAGAAACGGCAGTCTTTAGAAAGTATCTGTAACATAAAATAATCAGATATGGAGATGAGTTGATGATGTAATATGCACGCACCTTGTCCGCTCGGTAGACACGCTATCAGCCTGTGTTACGCAGGATGGTATCGCCCGGGTAGACTTTTTTGAGACAATGGTGTTGATGTTGATACGGACGCAGCACTTTGTGGCGACTGGTATGGGTATCCACGTCCATGTTGAATCAAGAAGGGCGTGATACCAGGTGCACACAAAGACTTGCATAGTAGATTGGGAAAGCGTAAGAATGGACATGTCCCCGCCGGTTGTCCTCGCTGTCGTTTGAAGGGCTTCATCTCTTCTAACTGGCAGCGACCGGCAGCAAGAAGTGTGCTCTTAGAGACTGCTGCATCCTAGAAGCCAGTCTTGACTACGACATTTGGTCATCTACGAGAAAAAAAATGATTGCACCCGTTCCTTTCCTCCGAGCCCCGCATCCGGCGTGCCATTACGATGCCATGAGAATTGGTTGGGAAATGCCTGCGGCCATCAAGCATGGCAACGGGGGGCATTTCTGGTAAAATCATTACGATAGGAAGGCTATGAGCACCTCCAATTCTGCTGCAGAAGTTCGTGTTTTCGTCATGAAATTCGGGGCTGTACTATAACGGAGCATCCTTGTTGAAGCAAGAAACACTCGCAGGTGATGGAGATGGTACTGGGAGATGAAGAAAACGCGACAGCGGTAGAATAGTGATGCAAATAATGAAATGAAGACAGAGTCGCGTGACACTAACGGTGAGGAGAGAAGACATATGGGACAAATGAGCCAACCAGTAATCTTCCCCACCAAGTGCGGTGAAATGCTAACTCGCAGCTCGTTTGTGGTCACCACCGGAGATCGTCATGGAGAGAGTCGACCATAACAGTGCCTAGGAATCTATCCCCATCCCTAGCAGCTCCCTCATGGCATCCAAATGGAGGTCGTCTCGATATCGGCTGATCCCTTTAGGCTTTCCGTGTACAGTTTCCCCCACTCTCTGATATCCTGCATTGCCATATATACCTGTCGTATAGATGCCACACAATGTATCAGAAAGTCCCGCAAAAAGGTAGCGGCATATCCTATGCTATATTTCGCTAGGTCGCGCACGAGTATGATGAATGGGACCGCGTCGGTAGAAGATGATAGTGAACCAGAACCATTGCTAGGCGTTGAGA